ATCCTTATACAAACAAAACTTTTTTATACAATTAAAAATTCAATTTGTTCTAATTAGCACTGCATAATCAAACAGTTGTGGAATAATTGTATTGCTTTCTATACAATAATAAATTTGTCTATAAAAAAAATTAAGTTTAAAATGAAAAAATAGCAATACAATTTACATGACTAAAACAATATAGAAAAAATTAAATGAGTGAAATGAGTGTTAATAAATAATAATAATAATTTCTGAGTAACATTTGTTGCTACTGACTAAGAAGTGTTCTAGTAATAAAGTGAACTATTTAAAAAGCTGATGATAGCTTATCAAATATTTTTAAACTTAGTATTTTTAAAGCCATTTAAGTCGAAAACAGATGAAGTTATCAAAACCACAGTGCGTAATCAGGAACGCATTACTGTTATATCAATTGAAAATAGAGTTAGTGTTCAATCTTTGGATTAACCACTGTAGTCGGCTTGCATTTGGAATCGAACAGTGAAACAACCCCCGACTGTGAGAAATTGCTACAGGTTGCACTTCCGCTGGTTTCCAATTGTTGCCATTGATTTTCTGCATGTGTGCTTTACATTTTTTTATTCAATATTTTCTTGTTAGCCATTGCTGTGAAAACAACTTTTACAAACGAAAAAACCGAAATAACAACCATTTCACCCGTAAATTGAAAACGAACAAAAGTAAGCAAGTAATAGCGAGAAAAATGAGAAAACTAAGATAACCAAAACCAATCGGGCAGCATCGGTAAACAATATTAACCAGCGACTGGCGTCTACATTGCTTCGACTCCGACTTCCGTTCATTTAAGCAGATTGTTGTTCAAAGGGGCAAAGGGGGAGGCAGCTCAGTTCACCACAAAAAGAAACTCCGAGCGACGCATCATTGGCGTGGAATTGCTTTGACTAATTTCCCAATGAATCGGCAGTTGCGGCTGCGCCCTGCGGCTCCACTATATGGATATATATATATATATGTATGTACATAGGTGGACATGTGTGCGGATCCATGTGTGTGGCAGGGCTATTAAAACTGGCCGGGAAGAGAGTGTGAACCGTTAGTAAAAGCTACGTTGATAGCGTCTCACCATCTCCTCGCCCGCTGCTTGATAAATAGTTTCCCTTCAAATATTTGCAAATATGCACAGAGGAAAAAAAAAACAAACTTGGCCTAATTTTAGGTACCACTTCATGGGAACGAAGCTTATTTTTGTGCCGTATCATTAAAATCAATTGACGGTTCAAAAAATCAAAATAGTACTCTAAAATACAAGTTTAGAGGCTTTACTTATAGCGACCTTAACAGTCCAATGAAACCATATTATATATATATATCGTAATTGAAGTGCATTTTACCATCAATCTGGCTTAAAAGTTAGAAGCTTTTAAATATTTGCAAAAAACCTGATTCTACGTAACAATTTTTAGCACTCCTTAATTATGAAATTTAATAAATAATTTAAAATTGAATTTAAGGAATAGATAAAGACTAGAATCCGTTTATTACATGATTTATTAATTGCCATCACAAATTCAGCAACTAATATTAATTTCGATTTTGAAAGCCAACATTTACTTAAAGAATTTATATTCCTTTAAAATAATTACCAACGAGCCCGTTTATAGTTACAATTTGTATGTCAAAATGACTGAAATTGCTATTTTTCTTTGTGTATTAAAACGCTGTCATAATTAATTGAGCCATCAGACAGTTTCAGCTTAAGCACTGCTTTTTAGCTAGTTCTCCGGAAGGAGTTGACCCATTTGCCGGTGACCCAATTGCATCTGAAATTGTTGTCTAATTAATCATCAGATTAGTTACTGTAACAACTTAATTCGACATGCCATGCGAATGCGGCAAACAATTGTGTGAAAATTGCACAAATCCAACTCGTAGATACTAAAACAGGCACACAAAGATTTATATATAGTTATACTTATATACAGGTAAAACTGATGCATATTGTGTAATGCTCTTGGAATGGAAATCAATTTCTGTTGACCAACCTCAACAAAAATGATATGCAAAACGCCGGATTTTAGTTTGGTATGCATGGCCAAATGCATTTTTAATTGCCGCATTGTTTGGGGAACTGCATATCATGCTGTTGCACAGTCTAAATTATCTTTCAAATCCGCAGCAAATCCCATTGAGAGAATTTCCACATATCCACTTTTTGTCCGGCCGGTTTTCACCCAAAAGAAATTTCTTTAGATGGCCCGCAGACCAGCTTTTTTTGTTTCTCTTGTCTGAAATTCGAACACTGAACAACGAACTCTGGAAACTGAACAACAAGTGCGTCAAATACAAAATCGTAATCATCTTGTTTGCCCCAAACAGCCATCCATCTATCCATCCATAGATACTCTGGCAGACACACTGTCAGCATTTCAAGTCAACCATTTAACTGGCCAAAACGAAAAAAAAAACTGGAGGCCAAGAATTTCTCTTTTCCAATTTGCTGGGATTTCTGTTTTTGGACTTTTTCGCTTGCCGACTATTTTGCCAAATATTTTCGGAGCCTGGGGCCTTAGGCACTTTCGAAGATGAACCGTTGAGCCACTTAACCCATTGCCAGCCAAATGGGTTAACCGGCACAAATCAAAGCACTCTGCGTAATTACGTGCCTAAAAATTTACATATCTGGGCGTGCGAAGCGCAGCTGTAAGTGCATATTTCAATTTGGGTGCAGCAACACCCAGATATATCTCGTGAATATACAGAGTCGAAGGTGACAGACCAACGCACTGACGTCAGGGGCGGTATTTATAAGATGAGGCAGCGCCAGATTCTGGTTATCTTAGAGCTTGGAGTGCGGGGGGGTGGAGAGGCAGAAGTTCGTTATCTGCTGCCGCATTTGTTTATGGGTCCCGGCAGTAAAAATAAACCAAAAATTTATTTTGATTGCAGTACGAAAGCGAACGCTCCCAGGCATAAACACAACACCACCAGCACCCACACTCTATGGGAAGTCTTGAATTTGTATATCGCGCCGGCTGATAAGCTGCTCCGTAAGCGACTTTTTTTTGGAGGCCCAAGTCGAAGGCAGTGCGGTCCCACTTTCAGTGGCAAAACAATGGTCGTAACTGGCGCGTAATTAACACACAAAAAAGGGCAGTGAAGCGAATTTGTTTGCCAAAAGTGTTTCATGTGCGTGAGAGGAAAAAGTGCCTGCATGTGGTGTATCCGCGAGATACTGTTGAGTGCGGAAATGGCCTAGGGCCGCTCTAAATTCACAAACAAACTACACAAACCATCCGTCGGCGACAGCAGCAACATGGCAGGTGAAGCGCCAGCAGCAACATCGCCAGCAGGTTGCAACATCACCAACAGCAGCAACATAAGCAGCAGCAACAGCAACAGCAACAGCAAGGAGAGTAGTCCTGATCCCGTCCAGCAGCAGTTGAACTCCAGTGTGGACAGTGGCATTGCGGTGCTGGAGGCGGAAACTCCAACCCTTAGAAGACGACAGCGATTGCACCAGTGCCAGCGCATCCTCCAGGTGTTGCAGCGGGACCATCTCACCCATCAGCAGCTGCGGGATAGATTAAGGTGAGTAAAGCCTCACGGGGAAAAAGCTATATAAAAATTTCATTATACTATCTCCGTTTGTCATATACCTTTTATTGCTTCTATAAAAGCGAATAAAGTTGATCCTAATTAACACTAATCAAGCCGGTTTCAGGTTTCTCTTTCGAAGAATTCAATTGAATATGGTTTTGACTTGGTATTAAATTAAATGTTAAGACCTTTCTCGTAATTCCGGATTTAAAAGCCTAAAAAGGTTATAAAATATGAAAAAAAGTTACATAGGAAGAAAAATAATTAGGAATTGTATTTTAATTTAAAATATGTGTATAGTTTTTTGAGTTAATTTCTTTCCATGTGCCCATAACGGAAGCCACTGACAGTTGGGATTGGCTTACTGGGCTGACTTGGGTGCGCATGGAGCCCACAATCTTATAGTCATTGCATTGGTCGCATGCATCTCCATCTGCAGCTCTCAGACTGCGGGCGGATATCAATTTATGCAAATTTGCCGACCTCAAAATGGAAATGACAAAATCTCGGGCGCAGTCAGTCACTCAGTCAGTCAGCCATGTCATTCCTACAGCCAGAAGTCATTCCGTGAGCAGTTTGGCTCTTCTGGGAATCCGTTTCGACAATTGTCAAAGAGAAACCCAGTGCTTCTGGCCACAGAGCTTTCAAATGAGTTTGCAATTTGTTTGGGAAAACAAAATACGAAGTGGCGGGGAAGTTCCATTAGAATGATAATGGGCGACCAACCCAGTTTAACGATCATAATTGAAGAAACCTCTTCAAACTGTATTGTTGTCTGTTCATTGAAGGAAAAGGTACACTTTATTGGGGGATAATTGATTATAAAGTTATGGGCAAGGCATTAAATATTGGAGTGGTATGGGAAACAATACTAATAATAAATGGTTTTAGGTCTTCCCCTACAAAGTTTACCCAAATATAAACCATTTTGTCTTTCTTTATTGTTAACTTAAAATATTCATACTACTTAAGAATTATATTTAACAATTTATATTTAAGTATCCCACAAATACAAATATACAAACATAGAGCATCCCAGAATCGACTGGCTAATAAACCTCGAAGCCATGATCATTTCGTTTTTCCACACGAGTATCGCCGCCTGAGGAGTGGAGTCGCAATCTTATCGACTATTCCATAATTAAGTTGATTAATACCAATTAATTGCCGTAAGCTTTGCATGGCCAATGGCAGGGCCAATCGATTTCAGAGGCCTTTTCTTTTGGCCACAAACTCTTGCCACCAGCCAAGCTGCGGACATGTGACTGGCAGCTGCCAAGTGGCATTTGCATTTGCATAACGTCCGTTGGACAATGGGAAATGCCAACGAATATTGGATGGGCTGGGGTCATAACTGTCCATCTTTCGTCGGCTCAATGGGGATTTGCTTTCCACCCTCTTGTGGCATGGGCGGCAAAGCTCTGACCCAGTGCGCCACTAAGGGCCAGTTCCATTTTGGTTACTCGCCCGCAACGCACACAAAACCTAAAACAAATAAATAAAATTAAAAAAAAATCCCCAAGAAATACGAGTATTAGGAACAACATTAGGCCATATAATTAACGCAATCGGAAAGAGTATATACTTGTATGTGACTTAACCTCCGAAATAGTCTTGACACTTATCTGCGAACTTTTCGTCGCATACCGAGATACACGAGTATATTTATCACTGGACGCGAGCGGAACTCTTATCAAATCAACGGTCGGCTATATACGCGATCCGCAATAACGAAGTGGGCAAACAAAATCCAATATAATGCCCATATACCCCAGTTATATATTGTGCAAAAAAGTAAACAATACCGAATATAACTTGGCTAAAACAAACCTGTCGCCTCTCCAGTCACATTCGCAGTCGGAGTCAGCTGCTCCTATCGTTAAGTTAACCTGAAGATCGTTGGCACTGAAAGCCCTTAGCCGCGTGATCTTAATCAGTTTTGTGTCGAGTAAATAGCCGTGATTTGTTTCAATTTCTGCGTCATGCATTCGGGTTTGTTTTCGGTGTCGTCGGCTTGGGTTTTCTGAGGATGGAGTGAGGTGATCGGTGGTGCGGGGGCAATGGCAATTAGCGGGTTGGATCGTGTGGCAAACACCTCAGAAACATATTCCCCGAAAGTGATTGATAATCGTTGTACATAACTGCAAACAGAAATAACGAGCCAAACGAAAAAATTAAATTTGTGGTAATTATTTATTCAGATATTCCACCGGTGAAGTTCACTTCGGTTCACTTGGAAGATTCCCAACTAATAAAAATAAAATTGCAAATAAAGCCCACAGCTTTAATGCCGACTCAAGTGAATAACACCATAATTAAACACCATTTTTCTTAGAACCACTCACACACACAAGAAACTATAATTTTGGCTAATAATTTATTCAAAAGCCAACAAAAGTTATGCAACTCTAAACTTCCATCTCGCCAGAAAACAGCAATACTGTCGATAAGAACTAAGCAAAAAGCACATACATACATTTATCAACTTTAATTAGTGCTAATCGCAGCGGGCCAAAAATAAAGACAAAGAAACACACTTAAGCAAATAAATAAACGAATAAGTAACGGCCAGTACGTGATTCAAGCGATTGCTGCCAATGTTTCTCAAACTCCTCACAAGTGACTGCATTCGAACTATGCGATAAGATTTGCATACTTAAGTGAATAATGTTTTTCTAAGTGATTTATGACAAGTGTTTAATGCATTCTTAAAACGCTTAAATATGGAGACTGGTAGTTATTCTTTGCATTATGTTAGAAATTATTAATAGCCTTCATATTCTACCTATTTATAATAGTCACGAAATCAAGTGTGACCGACTGGAATGGCTTTACTCAATAATGAGCTGTACCTAAAAATATTTACTTACGTGATGTTTTCACTGGGAACTAATTTAACTACAGGTGTTGACCTTTGGTTTAAATATTAAAACTTAAACTTCTTGAAACTCAAATGCCCTGTAAAGGGTATTTACCCATACAACATTACTTCGAAGTCTTTTAAATTTAAACCGAACAAACAAAAACTTTTTGATAAGATTGAGGCCAAAGTATGAATTGGCCGAAAAACACGTAAAATAATCACAAAGAAATGATAGCCACAAATGAAAAATGGTTTGATGGTAGACTTTTTTTGTTCTGATAGTAGAAAATAGTTTTATGGAGTTATCTATAGACAATTTCATGGATTTAGTCAAGTTTGAGGTTTCAAATAATGTGTGTGTGGTTCTTAAGAGAATGCAAGTGAATCAGTATTGTAATTAAATTCAATGCGAACTCCGCAGTGCTTAAAGCGCTACTTGCGCCCTTACATCTGCATCATGGAGCTGCCATTCAACCGACCTGGAAGTGGGAATCTACTGCTGGGACTCACCTCCGTGGTGGGTCTTATTGGAGGCGCCTACCTGCTGCAGTGCGGCGCCCAGCAGCTCTTGGGGTGAGTTAATCAAATGGAGATAAATCAAAACATTGTATCCAATGGATGGAAGTTCGGATACGTGAGCTAAACTCCGGATCTGCACGTGCGGATGCATTCAGAGATGCAGCTGCCGCTGGAGATACAAATGTGGCGCGAGATAAATCGAAATAGAAACTGAAACTAAACTTTCTTGACTGCAGCTTCAACCCGGTTACGTGTCCATCGTTTCGCACGACTTGATTGCGTTTGCGTGTGGGAAATGGCCAAATGAAGGAGATTTGACATAATTGTTGCCATTTCTCCGGCCGCCATTGGCCATTTGCCACTTGCCTCGGCTGCAGTTGCTCACTTTGGGCATCGAGTACGTAGCTTCGCCTTAATTAAGGATTGCGTAACCTCCGCCACCTGTTCACAATTCATGCTGCACCTGTTATGCTCTATTGATGGTCTGCCGGTCCGTTAGTCGTTTCATAACATTCCCAGACTGTCAACTGTCATTGACTTCTCGCGAATTTGGCCGTAAGAACTGTAGAATCTTGAAGAATGGCCAACGGAAGTCGTTGGCCAACAAAGGGCACTACTTTCCCCCATTCCCCTCCAATCGCCTTTTCCTTAAAAAGTGTCACGAATTGCCAATAACAATTTGCCGTGGCTAACAACGTCCCACGATTGTTTGGCTTTCGTCACCATTCAATGGCAACTTAATTAGCCGCTTTGTTGACTATTTTATTTGTATTATTACTGCTGCGGTGGTTACACATCATTTTTTAATGTTAGCATACTATGCGTTTCGCAACTGTATGACCTGAAGCAACTCCCACACTTTAATGCAACAGACTTCATTTTTCTTTTTGTTGATCAAGATTTTAGAACACATGAAAAATGCATATAATATTTTAAAATGCTGGTATAGGGGCGGCATTAAATGTGTACTTTTAATTAAATTGTGTTGTGAATGTTGTCCTACAAAATAATTATTTCTTTCACCATTAAGAAAGTTATAACAATACTATATTGTTATTTTAATGTTTAAGATACACTTACTAAATAAGTGTGTTTATAGTGAAACAAAATGTCAGTGTATTTTTATTTCACTTATCAGTTCCACGCGTTTAAAGACGTTTTTATATTGTAAATGTCCAACAAAAGTGGCAAACGCTAACAGCCAAACAAGTTGTGGAATTGTGGAAAGTCAGACAAATGTAATTAAAGCTTGCCGATGCCACAGTAGAGATATCCACAGATATTCTGAGTTTTTATTTGCCATTAAAGTGAGAACAAACGAGTTATTTTACCCTTGTGGCAAGTGAAAAGCCACAAAAAAGTTATATCTGAAGCATTTTTAACGGTCGAAAGTAGGATCTAAAACCACATGTGAGAGCGAGAACAATAACAAGTTGCAGGCGGAAAATGTGTGAGAAATATTTAAACAGAAGTGATTATAGCCATATGTTTTAAGCAATATATTTTTTGAGCACGAGTATGTGGTGAAAGGTGCTGAAAATACAGCCCACCTCGCATGTTTTTCAATGCATGCTTTTAGGCTTTAATTTTTAATAATCATAATAAATATATTGCAGATTTTGGCAAGCGAATCAGGCTATTTAAATTCATTTCCTAAACCGATTAGATAATGACAGTGATGATCTCACTAAAGTCAGATAATAAGCCTAACACATACTTCGTGTGTCGTAAAATTCTATTACTTCTACACCAACAAAACACTTTTATGATTCCACATACTCAGTGCAAATGTTTATTCTTCCAAGAATTTAATAATCTCCGGGTTGAACTTCTGGGAAATTCTGAAGATTCTATCATCAATAAAGTCTTTGTGAAAGCTCTTGTCCTGGTTGAGATATTAATAAAGACAGAACCTGAGGGCTTAACGCTTTCTCGTGCGGCAATATGCTAATGGGATACATGAGACTCACATATATTAACCCAGATTCTCAACACAGATTTCTAGGGAATGTCAAGACATGCGATCTGTTTTTGAGAAATGTTCCCCAGATTTTAAACTGATGAAAGTGTTGCTGCTATGTGGCGCCATTTGTTTCCAAAATAATAATTAAAATAAACTCGAATCCAGTCAGCAGTCGATTGATTAGTTAATAAACCGCTCGCAGCATGCATACATTACCTTTTGCCAGACAAGAACTAAGCTAACTCGTTTGCGGAATGTTTCTCACAATTAGCATTTGGAAATTAATGAAGTTCAGGCCAAAATAGCAAGCGGGAAAAATATTGCCAAAAATAAATTAGTAGACAAATGAATGCAGTAGACAGCCGATGATGATGATGATGATGATGATGCTAACTGCTGGTTTTGGACCACGTATCTTCCTCTGAAACGGTTCCTGTTCGACCACATTTCCAGCTCTTTGGAGAGCAGAGATTTCGGAGAAGAAAGGCGATAAATCTGCATGGAAATATGCGAAGTCATGGCTTGGATTCCGCTACATGGACCTGATCGACGGGGGGCTGTGGCCAGGGGGAGTTACTTACGTCACGAACGGGTTTGTTTAGCGCTAGAGAGTGGCGATCGCAGAGCTCCCGCTCTCCACGACTACGAAACCGGCATGGGATATGGATATGGCGCTATATGGCGGGAGAGCCAACGGAGGCTATTGAGACCCGATCTCAGCTGTTGACCGCCGACTCTCAAAGCCAACTGCGCATAACAAAGGCGAACCTTGTGCGAGAAAGTTGTCAGTGTCGTGGGACGCGGATCGACGCGATTTGATAGCGAATTGGCATTAAGTGCTTCCATTGGCGAAATCCGTTCAACGCGAGTGCCATGCAAAACCTCGGCAAGCCCAGCGACGCTAATCAGTCGACAAACATTTTGAATACCTGAAAACCCGATCAACACACCGGCCAATAACCAGAACAGAAATACAACACACAGGCTAATCAGGTCCAGGGAGAATGCTATTCTCCGCGGTGGTGTTGTGCCAGGTGGAGCGGCTGATGTGCCTGCCCATCAGTTTTGCGGTGCTGGGATTCCTCTTCATGGCCTGCACCATGGAGGTGGTGCTGCTCAAGCTGACCACCAGCGATCCGGTCTTCGGACCACCCGCCGAGGATTGGGAGGAGAATGGGGGCCCAGACGCCGAGGAGCAGATCTACTACGAGAATCTGGAGAACAACTACGAGCACTGGGCTCGCAGGAGGATGCGGTTCCACCAGCGACAGCAGCAACACCAGCAACATCAACAGCAGCAGCAGCAACACCTGCCCACCTAGGACATGGGACTTGGTTTAAAATTTAAGTTTACTTTTAGCGGTTATAGGCGGGTATACTGACTGAACTTTCTTCTTCACGTTTCGTAATTATTTGATTTTAATGGCCCACGCAAATTATTGAAATCTTTCGCCAGTGTAATGTTTTCGCTAGCTGTTTATGGTTGACATTTTTCCTTTAAATTATATTTGTTTGTTTGTAAGCGAAATTGCGAATTTTGCCATTTGAATAAGTTAAGCAGCAGACCGATTGGCGATTGCTCATTTCGAGCACGTACAAGACACCCAGGAATTCCCTTCTTCTCTCTTGTGTAAGAACTGTAAGTGACTGACATAATCCGAATGCATATCGAGACAGTGCGTCTGTTTAGATTTTAAGATGTGTGATAGAGCTACATGTATTTTAAGCAATCCGATACTGCTTTAGTAAGATAATTAAACATGACTATAAAACCCCATTCAGTGTTTGTTTGCCTGGTCCAACGGGTTTGGTTTGTTATGCAATTGGCTGGGGTTTCCAGGGAGAAAGTCAATTGCGACATGCAATTGCGTTTGGGTGGAGCGCCGCCATTTGGTTTGGGGAAGTGTTTGGTCGTTTGAAAAGCTTAGCAACACGATCGATGGCTACCCACTAATTGGTTGATTTTCAGCCAACGACCTTCTGGCCGTTGAATAACCCCAGCGGTTCGTTAGAACTGACCTGACTAATCGTCTGGTTTTTGTATTATCCAAACGTTATCGAACTAACATCTGCGATGCCTTCCGCCTTTTCTTGCAGCAAACTAGCCAATAAGAAGTGGAAGAAGGAGGAGACCAGCGAGGATCGCCATTGCAACGTCTGCTGTGCGGACTTGGATTTAAGCAGTGGCAAAAAGTGAGTAAAGTTCCTATTTCTGACAGATCACGCCATCAGAAAAAGAACAAGAATACTTGTTTTATATTGTTATTAGTCATTCAAATAAATAACATTTATTAAAGATATAATTTAGAAACAAACAATGTACGGCCTAGACCACGATTTTATTTAAAGGCCAAGATCCTAAAACATTTTATTATTAATTACATTTATAAAATTAAAAACGGTGGTTAACCAAGGCTGACTTTATAGTTTATCTATTGAATATTAACTTAGTAAATACTACCGTTTGTCAAACCAACTTGATTTTAAATTTTTGTGTTTGCACCAAATAAAAATGCAATACAGTTTAAAGAAAACTACATTTGAATTCGAAAAACCTTCAAACTTATATTCGACAAGTCATTTAAAGTGACAAAAGAACGATAACTTATAGATCAGCAAATTTTGTAAAAATGTCACGAATCATTTCGATGGTTTTATTTTTCATTATTTTATGCTAAAATCCTTTTTGTCCTTGAAAAATAACGACTTATGTACCAATTTGGAACACTTTTCTCTTTCCCAGCTACGTGACATGTTGCACCTGCGGGAAGTCCGTTTGCCGCGGGCCAAAGTGCGCCGACTGGCGGCCCAAGGACGCCAAGTGGGAGTGCCAGCTGTGCCAGAGCTCCAAGGAGTCGCTGGCCCACACCTCCTCGTGGGTGGCCGAGCAAATGTCCTTCAACCAGCACAAGTTCGTCTATCCCATGAGGGCGAGGAGTGAGGTCTACATACCCATTGTGGGCGATGGCAACGACAGCAGCATGCGTAAGTGGCGAATCCCCAAAACCCTATATGGGATATATAGTACCGATTTGGTTGCAGAGTTCGAGAGCGTTAGCCAGATTGGCCAGACTGCCAGTATGGACGAGCGGGCCAAGATCCGCGAGTATGTGGAGGAGATCGTGGCCGAAATGCTGGGCGGTAATTTGGACCACATTAAAGTGGGGCAGCTGTCCAAAAGCGAGAACTGTAAGTACTCAGATTGCCTGAGATTCGATTAGAGCAAATGCAATTCATGCAATTTGTGCGAATAAAATTCAATTGGCGCGGCAACATAATTTTTTTCAAAAATGGCAACAAATGTTGCCAAGGCTATAGCAACATTTGTTGCTGGCCTGCGAAAGTCAAATTGAAGCATACTTTTAGGCAAGCTTTCTAGTGAAAGCTTCCTGGAGAATCTTTTTGTCTACTTTGTTTTGTTTGCTCATTAACCAATATTTGCACACCCCACATACACACATGATTCACACACACACACATGCAAATCAGACTTGCAACTCTTTGATAAATTCCATGCGAAGCTGAGTAACCTGCTTATCAATGTGGAGAACGGTTTGTGCGCGCGTGCGCTCAAAGGAGGTAAGTTATTGGTAATCGATAGTAACTAATCGATCGAGCCCGCACGCTGTAATCGTCTGATTTGTACGCTAACCCTAATCCTATCGATTCGTAGTTAATGTAGGCAGTATATTGATAGTTTTCTGTATTATAAATATGTCTTATGTTATCCTATTAAAAAATCTAAACCGCTCTGTCTTGTCAATTTATTTTAGCTTTATTGTTTAAGTAACAATAAATTTCAACGAAAAATATATTACCAGGATACTGAGAAACTTCTATAGTATTTACCTATTCATTTTTAGCTTTCCTAAAAAAAGACATTCCGGCACTTATTATTGTAATATATTTTAAAAATATAAAAAATATTTTATTTTGCTTCAATTTGTTAATAATTTTAAAAATTGTAAATAAGACATCGAAATAACCAAGCAATTTATAATTTGGCTTAGGCCGTGGCCTGCATATGCTCAAGGACTTTAACGTAGGCCCTTAAACAAATCTATGAATCAATGATTGAAGCTATAGTAAATGCTAGTTGTTATCAGCGGCCATTATCAAAGAGCCCAATTAAAATGGCAAAATCAACATGCAGTGCCTCTGTCTCCCAGCAATCTCTGTTTCTCTTTTCAACCTAGTGAAATCGCGGTCAATGCTTACTGATAAGAAGCGCCAAAGAGTCAGCTTGCTGGCTTTGATAAGGTTTTTTAGCTATAGAAGTGCTGAAAACATTATGATACAACGTTTCTAAGCGCTTTTTCAAGTGTTGCCCGGCACTTAATCTTAGCCCTAGCGCAGATGGCTGACAGCGATAGACATTAATCATACGCACCGTTGGCACATTGCTATAGGAGTTCCGTGTTCAGAAAATTGGCGTAAATGACTTATTTACAAGACCACTCAAGGGGTTGTGTCTTAACAACCGATTGATTTGGTCACGCTTACAGCTTTGTTCGCTGTAAACGCTTGTGAATTACAAAGCCAAACTTCGCTACTCAGCCAAATCACACAATAAGGCCCACTGTAGGGTCTCCATACGTAGACAAAATATTAACTGAAGTGTGTGAGTGAGCGTTTAGTCTCTCGCCGCTCACCGTTCGGCAATCGCACGGCACCGCTTCAGTTGCTAGAAGCGTCCCGCCGTGATCGTTACGCCAATTCAGCTACGGGCCAACGGAGTCCGTCCAAAACGCGTGTGATAACATGGAATAAGACAACATACTACTAGTACATAGAACAAGAATTTTGGCCGGAACTTTTCCAGCTGCCGAGATAAGGCCCTAAAGCAAACAGACCAAGAGACCGCATTTAGTGATGAGTTATCACCAACCTTGACCCGACACTAAGTTGGCAAAAAATAAAATGAGCAAAAATAGAAATCAATAATCGTGAGTTAAAACAACGCGGCAGACGAGGAAGAGACCTTAATCAACGCTAATAAATATTAATGATCCCCGGTATCCCCGCTTAGAGCTCTGAATGTGTAATACCGAGATTAACAACAAATTATGATCGTGAAAACGATGATCGTGGACTTTCAACATGTTTCCGTAACCAAAATCACTGACTGTAGTTTATCTTTGACCTCAACTAAATAAAACCTTGTGCACCCAACTTATCGCGGGCTCAGTTAACTGATCAAAGTCGGACCCATCTGAAGGGGCATTATCGGGCCACTTGAACCCACTGGCAGGGCGGGAGTACTTGTATTAAATATAAAAAGTGGCAAATTGCGAGTAATAATTGCCCGAGTGATTTCGCTTGAACCCTGAACTTTGGAGTCGTAGAATAATATCAGACATTGAGAAGTGATCCGGCTGGTTCTGTCCTAGGAGCCAGTTTCTGGGGCTATTTTCATTGATGACTCGCATTTTAAAGCCCGCTCAGAATACAAAAGTTTTTGTCTGTGACATTTTTTGCACACCTGAATGACTAACGGGGGACTAACCATTCAGGCAGGTAGCCATCCAGCAGATAAAGAAATATGGGCGGTATTGTAACGCAAAATAGATAACTCGGGGTTATTCATTATGAGCTGTGGTATTTACCGCAATACGTTAATAGACTTAGCATGTCAAAAGAAAATGATAAATATGCGAACCTCAATCGCGATTTTCAGCCCGACTAGAGTTGCTCGAAGTTTGGAGAGCTCCGTTTACTCAAGCGTTTAGGGGAGGCGGTGACAAATTTATGTTCAGAGCTCAATTAGGGGAACAAAGCCAGAAAAAAAAACAGCTTAAATATTTGCTCAATATAATTAACAGCTCAGCCGACCGTTATATCAATGAAAGCTCTAAACAAAACCGAAATACAAATACCAACTCTGCATTGGGACAGCGACGGCAAACGTAAATAAACAAATAGGCGCGATATCAACGATTCAGCGGTATCAGACATATACGATATTTGCGAATATAGCCCATTTACACAAGTATATATATGCATGCAGCATGGACTTCACTTTGGGCCTAGTCACGGGCATGTATGCCGTTGTGGCCGTAATTGTCTTTTACGTGGTTTACGTCATTGAGGTGAAATTAGGTATGGCTAAAAGACTCACACACTCACTTACTTTCTTTGCCTTTCACACACTCACACTCAAATGCCTAGAAGTAACCGAGTTTTCACTTTTAATTGTATCGATCTCTGCTAACCAAGCATATTGCTATTGTGTGTGGTATTGGCTAGCATTCTCGACCGTGTATATTTTGCTCACAAAGCTCGACACTTGCTTTCAGATCTACCAGCCATCGTAAATGGCCACAACAGCAACAATAATAATAATAATAACAACAATGCCGATACCGAGCTGGCCGACATCTCGCAGACCCGACTACGCAGTCTCATCGAGACCATCATAGCGGAGACCCTGCGAAGTTCGTCCTTGAGTGCCAGCGGAGCCGTATCGGAGATCAGTCTGGACACCCGATCCCACGCCTCCGAGCTGGCCAACGGAAACGGGCTGAAGCGGCGCCATCGCACCGAGCACTACTTCGAGCCGAAGATCTACCAGGATCTGCTGGCCACAGCGGTGCTGAATAAGGTAAGCCGCACTGACCTACCACCTGTGGTTGGTAGTAACCCCCTGCCCCCGCAAAACCGACCAATTTGTAAGCCATGTTCTAGCTATTTCCGCCATTTTCACTGGCCGCGTAAGTCCAGTTTTCGCTTTCATTCGACCTGCACTTGGGCGGCTTCGATTGGCCAGTTGCCACATCGCCCAAGCGGACCAGGCTAATTAGTTGCAGTCCATTGTCTTGCCTGTGCAGACGTTTTAACCAACCAACCAGCAGCGGAAGAATACTGAAATCAATTTCAGCGCTAATTGGATAAATCAATTCGTTGGAAAATCTAAGTTTCATCAGCAGAACAAGGATCATGGCCGACGATGCAGTGGATCAAGTAACTATAGCTGAACAAGTCATTGCTGGAGTAACATTCTCGGGTAGCTGGTGAAATGAGTCAACTATCCATATCTCTACCACGCTTTGGTATTCAAATCTTATCATAACGTCACTGATCCAGTCAGCATTATAGTGCCCAATTCACTAATCTAAAAGTTTATGCAACGTGGCCAGTAATTGCCCTCGTCTAGGCACTCAATCAATATTGGTTGATAATCGATGACGAAACGAAAAAACGGACGTCAAGAGTCGTCGAGTGGCCAGTTAAATATTGCCGGGTCTAATCTGCTTAAGGGCTTTTTTTCCAGCACAAGCAGTTGACCCACAACAAATCGGGAACTCTGGGGTTCAACAACACTTTTATTGCACAATGCCAAGGTCGATGGGCTAAAATTACGCTGTTTTCTTTTTGCGTTTCTTTTCCAGATTGCGGATAAGGAAGGGAATACAAGGCTTTTGGCGGAGAGTACCCCGGACTTGAGTGTTCGCCACATTGACGAGAATTTCAATGCCGAAGCGCTGAGCACCACGTCCGGAAGCTCGATAGAACCACGCAGTGATTGCAGCCTCACTGATCATGAAATCGGACTGGATGTAAGTGACTTCTTGGACAGAATTTCAGCACGGTTAGTCAACTATCCTTTTTGGCTTACAGAATGGAAAATCAAAATCCCTGCAAGCGGATTTGGAAAGGGAGTCTGTCCTTAGTGATTATATAGCCGCACATATGGTGCCACTGCCAGACTTTTCAGCATCCGTCACCGAATCCGAGGATGGTAAGTGTTTGCCCCTATTCTAAACCCCACAAGTTTTTTTAACAAAGCTCCCTACCAGATATTGGATCCATCTCCTCGGGCGTTATCGGTGAAGGAAACTGGGAAGACAACTGGCTGTTCAAGAAGAAACGCAGCTCGGCCACACCGAGCAGCACTGGCATGCTAGTGCCCGCACCCAAGGAGAATGTCCGGGCCCAGATTGGCGACAAGACCACCGACGAGGTCAGCGATCTGTCGGAGATGGGCTCGGATATCGAGGAGAGTTCTCTGGATCTGTTGCGATGCAACGACCTGAACGATCGTCTGCTGAGCAAACACCTGATTGGTGGCCAGAACACTAAGATGGTCCTCGACGAGCTCGTTGATCGCACCAGTCTTACGTCCCACACATTGCTGGAGGAGCACGAGTCGGCATTTACGGAGACAACCAATGAATTTGTGGTGTCGCCAATGGCCGTGCCAGCTGATATTAAAGCTCCACCACGGACACCACCACCACCTCCTATGATATTCCAGGATGACTTGTTGAATGACGAGCCAGATCACACTCCAATTGCAGGTAAATTGCTTTCAACATTTCCTGTGTACCACCGAATGTTATATCTCATCCTTACTGCTAAGATTTCGATTAACCCTTACCCCTAGATAAGTAGCCCCTTAGATCGCTGACACCATCTTAGATTTAGACAGCCTGGAACCCCCTCCCCTTAAGTATCTCAGCCCACTTGTGCGTGGTCTTAAAGCATCGGCACTTAGCAGTCGTTTGTGTTGCAGCCCAACCCGAAACCGAGGAGCTGGACAGCCTCGACGGCTGCACTGGCTTCAGTACAGTCGAGTACATCGACGAAGAGCAAATGCACGAGACCGTACCATCGGTAATTGAGATCTTGGCAGCCATGGCTCTGGGACCCATGCTAGCGGTTCCAGCCTCCGAACAGCCTGGCGCCATGACTCCCAGTGAGATGCACACCCTCAAGGAGCTGAGTGACTTGGCCCTCGCCGAGATCAACTCTCGCACAGTGGACCTGGTGCGCTTGCATTCGCTGGATATAATTGAAGAGGAGTACGCCGAGCCTTCAGAGGCTATTTTTGATATTGTGCAGCCTCCACCACTCGCAGGGATCCCAACCTCAGATGAAATATCCTCAGAAGAGCAGGAGAGTGTTATACAAATGGAAATTTTACCACCCCCATTAACAATTGAAGTGGTTCCTGAGTTTGATACTACCTCAGTGGAGCCCCCACCGCCGATGGAAGTTGATCAAGAAACCGAATCTGTCAATATGGATCCTCCTGTTACTCCAGAAACAGAATTGGTTAAAGTGGAACCTGTAGAATCTGTCGTCGTAGATCCACCGTCATCTGAGCAAGTTTCTAATGAAGATTGTTTCGCCGTAAATCAAACAGAGCCTGTGGAACTTGTTGGAGAAGCAATTTCAGTAGCAGTGGACATACCAGCTCCTTTGGAAATTGTCACAGAAACTATTTTAGACCCAGAAGTGGTTTTACAGATAAATGCTATCGACGTTGAACCGCCAGAGCATAATGTAATGGTCCCAGAAACTGGTTCTAGCACATTGGAAAATATTTCTGAAACACATCCCATTGTGGTGCAATTACCACCACCTCTAGAAATCAGTACAGCTAAGGAGCCCGTCTCAATGGTGGTGCCGGATTCGCAATCACCAGAAACTATAGAAACTATTTCTGTCGACTGCCCAACCTCTTTGGACAATTTTTCAACATCTTTAGAAGAGGTTTCCAAGACAAAATCTTGTGAATCGGAACTCCCAACACCTCTGGAAATAGTTCCCGAAACGCAACTAGAAGCAGTCATTCCAGCATTAGAAACACAAAATGTCCCACAGATAATATCTGAACTTTTAGATATTATTCCAGAACCCAAATTAGCGGAACTATCTGAACCTGCTGAAATTGTTTCACAAACAGTATGTGGCGATGTAAATCCGGTAGAATCTGCTGGAAGTCTTCCAGAAACTCCTCCCCTTTTATTGGATCTCCCAGCGCCAATTGAAGTTGTTCCAAAACAACAATCGAATGAAGTGGATCCACCAGAAACTATAGAAGACCTTCGCCAGGTAGCATCTGTAAATGTAGAAATGATTATAGAGCCCGTAACAGAAGCTGGTGAACCAAAAACCTTATGTGGTGGAATGGATTCGCTACAGTCTGCAGAAACACAATCCTTTGTAGTGAATATACCTGCGCCAATTGGAGTTGTTCCAGAACAACAATCTAATATAGTGGATTCTCCAGAAACTGTAGCTAACGTTCCACAGATAGCATCTGTCCCTGCGGAAATTACTCCAGAACTCGTAGCAGCAGAACTCTCTGAATCTGTTGAAATTGTTTCAGAAACAGGATGTAGCGAAGTGGATCCGCCAGAGTCTTCAGAAACTATTTCTATATCACAGCCTATTGTAGTGGATCTACCAGCGCCAATTGAAATTGTCCCAGAACAACAGTCTAATGTAGTGGACCCACCAGAAACAAAAGAAGATGTTTCACAGATATCATCTGTTCCTGTGCAAATTATCCTAGAACCCATAGCAAAGGAACTCCCAAGGCCTAACGACATTATTTTACAAACAGTAAGAAGCGAAATGACTCTGGCAGAGTCTGATCCCCTAACAGAAACTATTACCGTAATACCACCAGAGCCACTAGAAGGTATTTCAGAAGCGCAACCTGAAAATGTTACAGTTGTCTCACAAGGAGAATGCAAAGATGAAGAATCATCATCGCTTTTGGAAATAACACCTACGAATATCGTTTCATCTCCAATAGAATTCGCAACAACTGTGGTAGTTCAAGAAACGAGTTCGGTCGAGGTGGACACATTAGTAACTGAAGAACACATTCCACAGACAGAATTTGTCGAAGTTGTTTATCAAACGGAATCCCTTGCAGTAGAACCACCAGCGACTGTCGAAATTATTTCAGGAGAACAAGTTGTGGACGAGACGCTACCTCTGCCGCCTGGGCCTGAATCTTTCGCTGAAAATGCACCAAAATCCGAAGAAGTTGTTACAGAGGCACATTCTGGCGGACCACCTGTAGAAATTATTTGTGAATCGAAAGGTTCAACTGTTGAACCAATACCTCCCGTAAAGGAAACGGTTTCAGAAACAGCACCACTTGTTTCAGACAGCGTAAATGTATCAGTGCCTTTGGAAAACATTCCAGAAATACATACCTCTGCAGAAGAAGAGCAAACTATCGCTCTTGATCCACCACCTCTTCTAGAAGTTGTTCTACAGGGGGAATCTGTCAACGAAATGGATCTCCAAACGTCTGAATCAACCAAGATGCCACCAGCTCATGAGGACAAGGATTCTCATGCCGAAAGTGAATCTGTCGTTCTGAGTACACCACCGACTTCCGGAAATGATCCAAGAACACAGCCCACATCGGATCCATCGACACTCCAAGAAAAACAAGCCCCCACAATGGATTACCCTGTGCCTCTGGAATTTGTTTCACAGCCATTATCTGTCGCTGTAGATCACCTAGCAACTATTGTGAACATTTTACAGATAGAATCGGAATATGTTGTTGCCCAAGCTGAAACTCTTGCAATAGAAACCGCAGTGCCTGCTAAAAGCATATTAGCAGAAATCTCACCCACTGAAACAATTTTACCAGCATCTGAATATGTCGAAGCTAACGCGCCTAAGCCTGAAAATAGTCTCACTGAGGCGGCGTCTCCAGCGATGGAACCAGTAGCTCCTGTGGAAGCTCCTGTGGAAGCTCTTCAAGAAACCGAACCCATTGCTATAGATTCACCAATTCCAATAGAAGATGTTATACAGTTAGATTCTGTCGTTGTAGAAACGATAGCTCCAGAGGTAGCTAAAGCTGAATCTGTTGAAGTGTTCCAACCAAGTACTGCGGAAGTTTATCTCGAAACTCCAGTTGAAGACCAATTGGCCGCGGGAAAACAAGAAGAGCCTGCGAGTATTGTTCAGGATATACAAATAGCCTTAGTGGAACCCTCAGCACCCATTGATCTTGAGGATAATGCTGTCGCGATGAATTCCCCTACTCCTGTAGAAAATCTTTCTACCGATACAGAAGTTTTTCTTCCATTGCCTGTGGAAATTGATCAAGAGACTGATTCTACAAGTGTCGAACCTTCAGCCTCTACGGAAATTTCCTTAGAGACTGTGGAATTGGTTTTGGAAGCACAATTAATCGCTGCAGATACAACAACGGCTGTGGAAGTTATTCGTGAAGATGTACCTGTCTCCGAAAATCAACCAACGGATGATGGACTTGTTTCTGTGAATACACCAGATTCTGAGAATGTTCCTATAAATCAAGAAGCTGTCCCTCCACCTGAGGAAACTGTAAAAACAATTGCACCCCTGGAATCGCCTTTAGAAGAAAAATCCCACGCAGTGGATACCACAGCTTCTGATGAAATTGCTCTGGAAGAAGTCGCTCCAGAGCCCTTATCAGAAAAAGAAGTTGATCCTCAAACTGCACAAGTCGCCGTAAACGAACCAGAAGTTGAGCAAAATGTAGATGAAATAGGTGCCCAAGCTGATTTTATTGCAGTGGATCCACCACCTTCTGTGGAAATTGTTATAAAGGCGGAATCAGCCGAATCTTCTAAAATAAACGAAACTGATTTTGTAGAAGTCTTAGTGAGTGCAGAAATTCTTTCCGAAACGCAATGCCTCGCAGGACATTCACCAGAATGCTGCCCACCAGCTCTCGTAGAAGCAGTTTTAGAAAAAGAACCTCCAGAATGCGTAGAAATTGTCCCACAAATACAATTTGTGGCAGTGGATTTATCAGAACCTCTGAAAGTTATTGCAGAGGCAGACTCCGCCGAAGTAAAACCGCCCACACCTATGGAAGATGTCCCTGAGACGGAAATCCCTTTTGTGGCAATTGTGCCAGAAGCACAAGAAGCTTCTGTGGAAGTTGATCCAATAGATCAACCAGTCTCAGAGGATCAATCAGCAAATGCAGAAGAACTTAATAAAACCAACATGGACGTAGTAGATTCCTCGGAGTCTCTAAAAATTGTTTTAGAGGAAGAATCCCTAGCAGTGGAAACGCCTAAGGAACATACTCCAGAGACGGAATCTGTTGCAAGTCCTGTTTCCCAAGCCGAAGCTTCCGCAACAAAAATAACAGAATTTGCAGAAAATGGATCTGACATTATGGATATTCCAATGGTTTCGGAAAGTATTCCTCAAACGCAATCCCCTGCAGAAGATATCCCTAGAGCTGTGGAGGATGTGGAACAAGATGAATTTGTCAGTGAGGAACCCTCAGAGTCTGCACAAATTGTTCCTCAAGCTGAATCCATGGATCCATCGCATTCTATGAAAGTTGATTCGGAAAGAAAATTGGAACAGCCAGCGCCGGTGGATATTGTTCCGGAGACACAAGCCGTCACAATGGAAACAGATCCAAAAGCTGAAGCTGCACCAATAGAACCTTCAGTTCCCACTGAAAATGTTACCCAAGCCGCAGAAGTGGTTCCAGAAAAAAAATCTGATAATGTGGAAGTTGTCCCAGAAACGCAATCTATTGCAGAGGATTCTTCAGAATTAATTATAGATGCAGCACCTCAAAAGCCTATTGAGATTGTTGCAGAGGCAGAAACTCCTGCTGTGGAAAATCATCCGGAAAATATAGAAGTGGACCATTCAGATTCTCTGAAAATTGCTCCCCAACCTGAATCTGTTGCAGAAGAAATGATGCCAGAGGCGGTGACTACCGCTGTGGAAACCGCCGAAACTTTGGAGCCCCAAACGCTTGCAGAAGCGATGGATTCTGTCGCTGTGGACTTAGTTCCTGAAACCTCACCAGCACCTAGAAGCATTGAAACACAGTCTGTCGATTTGGAACCCCTAGCTCTTGTGAAAACTATTTCAGAAACAGAGTCTGCCACCGTGGATTCACCAGCACCTGCACAAGTACATTTACAGCCCGAACTTATTGAAACGGGGCTCTCATCGAATATGAAAATTATCTCAGAACCACAACCCCCAACGACTGTGGAAGTTGTTCTAAAATCTGCTGATGTAGAGCCCACAGCTCTTGTGGAAACTATTTCAGAGACTGGATCTGTTGCAACAGATACTACAAAAGGAGTCGATGTGAAACTGGAGACGGCTCTTAAACCACAAAGCCCGTCTGCAGAGCCCCCAGTGCCTATGAATGTTGAAATTGTTCCTGAATTACAGCCTTTAGCAGCAAGGCCCCAAGAGCATGAACATGTCGACCAACCAGCGCCAGTGGAAATCGTTCCTGAAATACAATCTATTGCAGAGGAAACCATAGTTCCTGCTGAAAGTGATGTGGAAACACAAGGTGCCGTAGGCGTTTCTAGTGAACTTCTTCCTGATGCAGAATCCGTTCCAGCACTGTGTGTAGATAATTTGGAAGAAATGAAGACTGACGCTAAAGAAGCACCACCATCTGGAGAACCTATTTCAAAGCATACTATGGACTGCATAGCGGAGGCAAAACCTTTAATGCCTGAAGCGTTAGACCAAGAGTTGGAAAGCAAAACAGAAATCCCAACAGACATGTCTCCAGTGAATCCGACTGAAGAAGCACCACCATCTGCAGAACCCACTTCAAAGCATACTATGGACTGCATAGCAGAGGCAAAACCATTAACGTCTGAAGAGTTAGACCGAGAGTTGGAGAGCAACACGGAAATCCCAACAGATTTATCTCCAGTGAATGCTACTGCGGAAGGTATCCAAAAAAGTGATACAATAGACTCCACGAAGAGCGATTCTTCCGCTCTAGGTAAAGCGACCCACAAGTATCTGCGAAGGCAGCCAAACATTCTTGACACAACACCGAGCGATGGAAACTCACCCATCAGATCCGAGCCCGTAAACCTCATGGGAACCATTTGCAAGTTTTACATAAAGGACAAACGACTGCTTGCCACAATCGAACGCAGACGCCGCCGCTCTCTGATCATGCACAAGTACCTCAGTTCCTTTGATTCCATGGAAGATAGTATAGACGAAGTTTCCTATGAATCCCAATCTAGCCTCTGCGACGATCTGAATGAAGTTAGCCTAACCTCCTCCATAGATTTGCAACCCCCGACAGGCAGAGCAGAAACTCCAACTTCTGAAGTTGACCCAATTCGTTTCGTAGATGATTGTTTTGCATTTGATACAGATAAGACTGAAACTGATGTGGTAGATGAACTTAGCATGGGTGCAGAAACCTCCGAAGGTTTGTTTAGTTTTAAAAATGTGTCTGAATCTCATTCAAATGATATACAAACTGAAATTGATAAGATAAATGAAGGTAGTATTTTAGCAGAAGCGTCATTAAACATCGTTAGTACCCAAAGTGATTCAGAATCTGTAGATTTGGAAAGTGAAACTGATATAGTCATTGACGGTAGTTATGATTCAGATGCATCAAAATGTTTAAACAACGCGATAGTTAAGCCTGAAGATTTAGAAAATGTCGCGAAAGTAGGTGATGATTTAATTCTAAGATTAGATATGGCCAGCCAAACATCCTCTGATATGGCTGATGAACTAGATGTAGAAACTGATTCCATCATTGCGTTTAGTTTGAGCGAAATCACATATAACTTTATCAACGAAATTCTCTTCTCAGATCAATTAAGTTCAGAGTCAAATCAAAGCGATGAGAGTGAACCCTCCACTGCCTGTGAGACGTTCAATGGAGAAGGTGACTCCGAACAGGAGTTTGTGAGCGAGAGGGTTTTAGTCCTTGAAGAGCAGCGATCACTATATACTAACACCAACTCTAACAACAATCTGCACTCCCACTTGCATCTTCCACTAACCCAATCTAACAAACCGATTTCGGAAACTAGACGCACTAACGGAAAACTAACAAATGGTTCCCTTCGTTGGTCTGGTAGCTACACTACCGAACTGCCAAACGGTGGCCCATTGGTTGCCCAGCAAGACGATGTTGCCGATGACGATGTTGTACTGTTGCGGCGATTTGTGCCAGGTAACACACGGTTGTGGCCATAACTGTCATCACTCGGTGTTTGTTGTTGTCCCCGTCTGCTTTAATATGTGTTTTTGTGTTAGTCTGGCTCTACTGTGTTTGCGACCCGTCGAAGGCTGATCCCAAACATTATAATGGGTCGATTTATTTCATGATGAATCCAAAGGAATATTAAGTAATCTCTAGGTAACTGGACATATACATATATGTCTCAACTGCGACCATCCCCTAAAACAAAAGAAAGTGCTGATTTCGTTGAATTTGAATTAATCAAAAATTATTCAAAATTTTATTTTTATTAATATTTGTTTGCTTTTAAAGCTTTATGCCATTAAAATTCACACTTCTTTGTATACATAATACAGTTTAATGTTATATTAACCAATTTAAAATTATGCAATAAAAAAGACAGTTTTGAATTTTAATGGAAAACAATTCTTTTGTTGATGGGGATGTGTGTAAGGCTATTAAACCACAAGTTAGACAAGAAAATAAACAATAGATTACTTTTTGCTCCCAGAAGATTCCTTAAACATTAAAATAAATCGGCTCTTTCGGTGTCTCATCCATAGCTTCCTTAACAATTCCAATCCAAACGCATTTTCAGGTTCCATTGCAGAGCGAGAGGTGAAGAAGTGGTACAATGCCGTTGAAATGCCAAATAATCCATACGCCCCGGAGGCCCTGAAGCAGCGCATCAGCGGCACCCAGGAGCGGTATATGGATGTGCCAAACATCAGTCCGAGTGCGGAGCAAAAGGCTCTGGCATCGGCGCTGACGGAAAATCCGGAACCGTCTTCGCCGAAAACGGACTATAAGCGGTGGGTCTGCAAAACAAATAACTAACGGCCTCAATTCTATAATACTAATTGATACCCAATACTTTGCTACTCCTGATACTTTAGCTACAGTCGCGACTATTACATCAATAATGCTCCTACCACTGACAATACGGGAAGTGTAAAGACTTCATCCTCCATCCCTGATCCGCAGCGTGCTGCTGAGGATGCAGAGGACATCGTGATCAACGAGGTAAATCAAGAACCAGATCCACATCCACCGCATGGCCGCATTTCAAGTAGCGCTCAGAGCACCGCTGCCGACCTCTCTCATTGGACCCTATCCACGCCAGTGCGCCGTAGCAGTTCGCTAAAGTTTATTAACAGCCGTCCCTCCCCCTCCCCCTCCCTGTCCATGGGCTACGAGAGGTCGCTGCCCCGGGAACGACCTTCCACGTCGGCGTCCCATTACCGTGAATCCAGTCTGGGGTTGGGTGACGACGACGATTTCGATTTGAGATCCCAGCGCTCCTGGCGCAGCAGCTACAGTTCGCTGCCCAAGCGGCACACCCAGTCCTCCTTGAGCCTCCACAGCAATGGTAGTGGGGTGTCCTTTGGTTCGTCCGTGTCCAAGAGGCGTCCGGCGGCAGGAGGTCCCTCCGCCGGCGTTCTAACCCAGTTCGAGAAGCAGCTGCTGCACAAGGACCTCAAGCGGAACAGTTTTCGGGCGGTGTCCTCGACCTCGAAGGATTTCGTGATGAATCCGCTGTTCGAGAGCGAACCGCTGGGCGGGAAGCTGGCCCTGCGCCCGGAAGCGGAGGACCAGGGCGACTCGGGGGTGGACAGCTGCCTGAACGGCTTCAGCGGCACGGACACCAAGTACAGCAACAATAGTCTGCTCTTCTAGATCGGGTTGGGTCTTAGCCCCTACGGATATTTGCCAAATTGCATAGCTTAGTCAAACAGATGTTAAACACTAGTCAGTATAGCAAAGCCAATTTCTCTGTATATAAAATCAAGATGGGCTGGGGCGGGAATACATATACAAAAAGAAAACACGCACAGAATCTCCTCACGCACTGGATGGGCATCCGATGACCTTTCCACTGCACCACCTCTTGCACCAACCCAGAAACCTGCAACATTTCTGCGAATGAGAGTGTCGAGCTAGTGTTCTGATCGTACCTTTAGTTAATACCACTTACGTACTGCTAATGCCCTAGAGTATGCAACGTTTGTTTTTAATCATTATACTTGCTGTTAATTTTATGAAATAATATAATAATTCCTGTACCGTATCTGTATGCACACCGCTAACGCTCTTTTCTTATGAACAACCATAAACACATATGCCTAGCGATATAAATAATGCATTAATTCCAAATAAAGCCAAACAATAAACAAAACCAACAATGAAAACAAACACTGAGCCACTGAAACAAATGTTTTTAGTATCCCAAAAAAGTATCGAATTGGTGAGTACAGAATCGAGAATTAACCGAAATAGTTAGTTTTGTGTTTGGGTTGCTTTTGGATTTGACTAACAGCATTTGTTTCGAAATCATTTGAAGCGATTGTAGCTGCCTGAATGTAAAGAGATCACCTTGCCCGCATGTTGCTGCCTGAGCGTTTTCACCCACAAAATTACACCGCATCACCTTTTGCTTTACTCTAGAACAAATCCACTGCCACGCTCACACTAATATTAAATACTAAAACACCTACACTTCTTCTTTCCATTGAAACCCTAACATCCCCAACTAACCAACAAAACAACACACAAAAACAACTGCCAACTACCAAACCGTAAATGTTTTATCAAAAGGCTCAAAAAGCAAGCGAACCTGCCACAGAGCAGGATCCGTCACAGGATTCGGTGTACAAAGCCTTGCCAGTTCAGGTCCTGGATGAGTCCCTGGATTCCCAGTCGAATCCCTCGCTGTACTCCCTGCAAACCACGACTACGACCACCAGCGATGAATCGGATACGGTGCGCATCTACGATTTTAATAAGCAGGAAACGACGGTTATCAAGGCTGCTCGGGAGGAGCAGCAGCCCAGCACCTCCACCACATCGTCCATGGAGTCCGCCCAGAGTGCTCCACCTTCAGTTTCTTCCTTTGACTCGTCGTCCTCTAAGAAGCGGGAGCGACCTGTGGTCCTTCAGTTTGGCCCAGGTGATTCGGCACCCACAATAGGTTCTCCTGCCGGTACTCCCACGAGGGGATCGACTCCTCCTGCTTTTAGATTTCTGCAGCCCAAACGGCGCCTGATCGATCCCAGTCAAGTGCTGTCTGTCGATGAAGATGATGTGGTAAGTGTGCCCTTCAAGATAAACCGGATATTTGGGGTAAACAATTCTCCTTCGACAGCCTGAACCTTCTACTCCCGCGGCGGAGAAGCCGGTCATCGAAGATGAAGTGGCCCACTCCATGCCCTCTGTTAAGGCTCTGGCTCAGGCCTTCCTCCTGACCAGCAAGCACACACAACCGCAGCGAAGATGGCGGGCATCGGTAGGAAATTCAAATGCTTTTTATCGTTATTTTGATAAGTATTGCAAACAAAATGTGTAATATATTTTTAGGTAAGGATAGCAGCCCCGCCAGATACGCCAGATAAACCAACTTCGTCACTAGCCAAGCGTCACAAGCTGGAGCATGCGGTCTCCATGGCGGAAGTGGCCGATGAGTCGACGATCGCCTCTGACTTATCATCTCTCGAAACGTTAGTTTCGTCCCCAACCAGAGTTATTTCCATTCTAAATTACATTTTATTTCAGCGATCCATCCATACATTCGGAGAGCAATCCGCCCATCGCATCGCCCGCGAGTCCTGTGCCCGTGCGGCATGGCTTCCTCCGTAGCAATATTGCTTTCTTTGAGAATTTAAAGTTCAAGTGAATATGCGCGTGTGGTTTTGTAAGTGTGCGCCCATTGGTTGATCTTCCCGGGAAGGGAAAATGCACGATAATGGCGAGGCACACGGCCCATAATCCAAACCAAATCTTCGCCAAATACCATGTGCCATGGCCTCCATTCCCCAGCCCGAAAATTCACACAACAAAGTACTTAACTTCAATTGGCACTCAACGTGCGCCATTTTTAATTGTAGTCCGTATTTACTATTACATTATTCTTATATCCATGGATACTATTTATTTAGCTCTAAGATATGTATTATGTACTTTTTAGGCGTAAGCTAAACTGTTTTCAATTTCAGTTGAACAATGTTACACTTCACCCGTACTAGTTTAAATGTTACATAATTGTACTCAATAAAACATATAGAAAAGAAAATATCTTGCGGGAGCTACAGATATTCACAACACAATCGGATCTTAGGATCGTAAAATTAGTTTTGGCTGCCAGGAGTGATGTGAAGCTTAGCATAAATAAGTATATGCAACTTGGAAGCACGCAAATCGTAGTTATTTAAAAACGTACAGTACACAAACCCTTATTATTTTTGACAAGAGTCAATATAAAGTTATACGTTCAGGTATAAAAATAAATTCCATTGCCTGGGACCGCATTTTTAATGCGGCCGGCTGATCTGTAGAGAGTGAGAGTGTGACAGGTGAGAAGTTGCCGGTACATTTGGAATGATGATCACTTCGGGTGCAGGCATTGACCCAACTACTGGGCGCTGTGATTGTGATGCGGATGCTCCGCCAGGTAGATGACGTAGACAAGCGGTATGACAACACACAGGGCGAGTATGAAGATCAGCAGACATATCCAGGACAAGTCGCAATCCGATCCAGACCAGTCGATGGCACTCAAAGAAGGTCCAGGGATGGGACGCACCAGTGGAGCATGCCTGTCCACCAGCAGGTGGTTCAATAAAGCAGCGTTTTCCTCGAAGGGTTGCTCCATATTAGCTGCAGAAAAAGTTCAGAGCTTATTAAATATTAATTGCACATTAATAAATTAAACGGCATTTTTATAATAGTTACAAAAATTAATCTTCATAGTTTTCCGTTCATGGAGGTATAGGTTTCGCTTTATTTCAAGATTTTCCAGCTGCAGGATGTATTACAATTTTTCTCGCAGAGGATACAGAAAAGTGCTAATAAAAATAAACTTAATTGTAGGTCATATAGCGGGGGGTGGCGCTGAACTTGGCGTAGCTCTTGATAACCTTGTTTACGGCCTCGAGGAAGTCCTTCTCAGTGGCCACCTTGCGGCGCGCCCGAATTGCGAACATGCCCGCCTCCGTGCACACCGATCGGATCTCGGCACCCGTGGAGTTGGGACAGAGGCGAGCGAGCAGATCAAAGCGAATGTCGCGCTCCACAGACATGGAGCGGGCGTGGATCTTGAAGATATGCGAGCGACCATCCTGATCGGGCAGGCCGAACTCTACTTTGCGGTCCAGACGGCCGGGTCGCATCAACGCCGGATCCAGAGTGTCGGGTCTGTTGGTGGCCATCAGCACCTTAATGTTACCGCGCGGATCGAAGCCGTCCAGTTGGTTTATCAGCTCTAACATTGTTCGCTGTACCTCATTATCTCCGCCGGCTCCATCGTCGAAACGCGCCCCACCGATGGCGTCGATTTCGTCAAAGAAGATGAGGCAGGCTTTCTTGGAGCGTGCCATCTCGAAGAGCTCACGCACCATACGAGCACCCTCGCCCACGTACTTCTGCACCAGCTCAGAGCCAATTACGCGGATGAAGCAGGCGTCCGTGCGGTTGGCCACAGCACGGGCACACAGGGTCTTGCCCGTTCCAGGTGGGCCGAACAGCAGCACTCCCTTGGGCGGCTCAATGCCCAGGTTGACGAACTTCTCTGGGTGCAGCAGCGGCGTCTCCACCACCTCACGCAGCTTCTCGATCTGCTCCTTGCAGCCGCCCACGTCGCTGTAGGTGACATCCGGCTTATCCTCGACCTGCATCATCGTCACTGTGGGATCAATCTTGGGTGGCAGCGGAATGTAGATCTGGTACTTGGTGCGATCAACGCCGACGCGCATTCCCTCCTCAATGTCGGTGGGAGCGACCGAGTCAGCCAGGTCCACCACGAACTTAGCGAACTGCTTCACATTGATAATGTATTTGGGGTCGTCGGAGTCCGCGTTGATGATCTTTGTGCAGCGGGCCACCTGAAGGGGCTGCTCGTTCTGCAGGATCTGCTTGTCCGCGGCCAAATCCCAGAGGGCGGGCGGCGCCAGGCCGGTGTCGCTCTCCTTTATCCCAGTCAGCTCATTCACCTGCTTCACCGCCTTCTGGATGTCTTCCTCGATGCTTTTAATAGACTTGTGATACTGGCTCTGCCCATACGTCTTCAGCAGCTCAATGTCGCCCTCATCCAGCGACTTAATCTCCTTGTCCTCCTTTTCGTCATGCTTCACCTTGCGCTGGTCGTCGCCCAGGTAGTCCGGCATCTTGTTCAATTGCAATTGGTATGATTTCGATGGCGAAAAGTGAGTTAAGATATGTTTTCTTTTTGTTTTACGGCGAGAATGACTGAACAATTTGGTATAGAGGTGGGAGAAGCACCGTTGGCACTATCGACTCATCGATTTATTTTCGTATTTGTCAACACCGATAGCTAATGATGCCTATCGGTTTTTGCACACTGTTATATCCGAATGTTAAAATGGAATCCGTTGACTTTTCCAAAAAACCACAATTGTTTAAATTTGTAATTAATGTTCAAATACATTAAATACATTTGGAAAAACTACATTCAGGCCAATATACACACCTCCGAGAAACGCGCAACCCATAATAAAACGGAAAGAGCAGTTAAACATAAAATGATTCCCTATTTTCTCCAGATGTTTTATGTCCTAAGCACAAAAATATAAATTTTATAAATTTGTACTTGTTCCAAATTTACATAAAGCTAAAACCGTTAGCTAATAAGTATTTTTCTTCATTACTAATTTTTGCAATTCGAAAGTCCTTCTTAAAAATTGGAAATTAAACAAAATTAAAATTGTTAACTTAATTTAAGCATTGCGAAAATTGTGAACATTTTACCCTTCTTTCATTTTTATTTTTAGAACCGAACTAAAAACTGAACCTTTACCAGCACTGGCTGGTATAAACACTGATATTTTAAGTGTAACCAGGCCGCCCAACGACTTCAAGGATAATCTTCCCCAGCTTTTTGACTCACCTTCATCATTGGGTGCACCCTGGGCTCCCTCGTAAAACTGCCCAGCCGCTCTGCTCGTCGACGGCTGGTCGGGATCCAGAGCGCCAGAAGCATTTACCGCCGCAACCAGGAGTCGCTCATCCAGCATTTGGCGCGCATCCTCGAGCGGATTGCGTTCGGGAGCTGGTTCAGGCTCCAAGTTATGCCTGGGACTGTTGTTTCCGCTTCGGTGGACTGCGGGCAGGGCTTCGAGTCCCCCGTTGCCCAGCAGGACGTTGTGCACGGTGACTGGGATGCGGATTACGCGATGCGCGTGGATCTCATTCTCGCGGTCGATCTTGTTCAAACGCTTAATGTCCGCCACGGAGGAATGGAAACGCAGCGCCAGTGCCTGAAGAGTGTCGCCCTCCTGGACCTTCACCTCCAGCGTGTTCTCGTAGCGTCCCAGGCGGGCATGGCCATTAGGTCTTCTGGCCAGCGGAAGCAGGTCCTCGAACTCATCATCGTCGTAGGCCGGACGGGCGAAGATGTCTTCCACGTCGTCGGGGTCCACGTCCTCCAGGTTGTGATGTTGCGGGCGCCTAGAGAAGAGGTCAGTGATCATTCCGTTTCTTTGGAAAGGCAACAGTCGAGTTGGCGTTGACTTACGCATTGCGTCGCATTGTTTTTCTTTTTGCCTTGACGGATGTCCCAGATCTCGGATTCACTCTCAGTTTTTGTTACAGTAGCGTCAGAGTTCTTTGTTCAGCTCTGGCCGATTAATTAAGGCAATTAGATTTATTTACGTGTAAAAATTGTTTTCTTAGCAGCAGCCCACAAACAACAAGTCACAGATGACCGAATATATCGATAACTTTCTGTTAACAGCGGCCTGTTACTTTTAACAGAGTAAACACAGCTGTTTTCGTTTACCAGCTAATTTATATTTTTTGTTTTCGTAAAATGTCACTACTTGCGTTTTTAAAGAGCCGCTCCGTATTCTGGATGAGCCTCACCGCCTCCACGACGGGATTGGCCTTCTTCGTCAAGTGGGTGCTCGTCCTCACACACAGGATTTGCTAGTTTTAACCACGTTTCGTTTTACAGGGACCTTATGCAAGGCGGTCAGTTCACCAAAGAAACAAATGAAACCGGCAAAGTGGTAATCGTTACCGGCGCCAACACAGGAATTGGCAAGGAGACAGCTAGGGAAATTGCAAAACGCGGCGGCACAGTCTATATGGCATGCAGGAACATCAAAAAATGCGAAGAGGTATGTACACTGTGGTATTATTCGTAACAACCTGACCAAAAAGTTCCTCTGTACAGGCACGCGAGGAAATCGTTCTGGAAACAAAGAACAAATATGTGTACTGCCGCCAATGTGACTTGGCTTCTCAGGAGTCCATCCGCCATTTCGTTGCTGCGTAAGTCTGGAGATCAATAACCAACTACTTATATGCTCTACAATCGCTACCCGTAGCTTTAAACGAGAACAGGAACACCTGCACGTGCTCATAAATAACGCCGGTGTCATGCGGTGTCCAAGATCTCTCACCTCAGATGGGATCGAACTGCAGCTGGGCGTGAATCACATGGGCCACTTCCTGCTCACCAATTTACTTTTGGATCTACTGAAGGTACACCGAAACTTTACCATACATAAAGCCCATTATTAAACCTAACTATTTGTAGAAATCCGCACCCAGTCGGATTGTAAATGTCTCCAGTTTGGCGCACACTCGGGGAGAAATTAATACAGGCGATCTGAACAGTGACAAATCCTACGATGAAGGGAAAGCCTACAGCCAGAGTAAATTGGCTAATGTACTTTTCACAAGAGAGTTGGCCAAAAGATTGGAGGGCACCAAAGTAACAGCAAATGCCCTGCATCCAGGTGTGGTTGACACAGAAATTATCAGGCACATGGGATTCTTTAATAACTTCTTTGCTGGGTGGGTACAAAAATATGCCTATAAAATATATTTATTAACGGATATCTTTTCTGATTAGGCTATTTGTAAAGCCCTTATTCTGGCCCTTTGTTAAGACTCCCAAGAATGGTGCACAGACCACTTTGTATGTGGCTCTTGATCCCGAACTGGAAAAGGTGACTGGCCAATATTTTAGCGACTGCAAGCTAAAAGAAATGGCACCGGCTGCCACGGACACACAAACTGCCAAGTGGCTCTGGGCAGTCAGCGAAAAGTGGACCAGACCAACGATGATCAAAATACATTAGTTCGTATTGTACAAAAATGTTTTTAACAATTATTCTGTTACTTTGCATAAATTTTCAGTTTTTTACAACCAAAAATGCCCATATTTCTCTTAATTTAGTATAGTAATCTTGGCTAACTTTTGCGTTAGCCGGCTAAAGACAGTTGAAAGCTCAAATTTGAATGTGTACGAACGTATGTACTCGGAAACCGGTTAGGGGGCAATTTCTACATCATTTGTTTAAAATAGATATGTATATCCATTACATTTATAACTTGAGCCTTCGGTCCAAAAGTTTAGGTTCATTTCACCAGTTGGAAACAATCACCTTCCCGTGAACGTTACTCGGATTTCTTTCGCAATTATCTATGCTAAGTGTGTTGAATAGTGGTTCCCTGATTACAGGCTACTCATAGAACGCCACACTATCAGTTTTATCAGTTGTCGTCGAGTAATCGCTGCGACGATCACTTAAAGGCTCGCGATATTTCGCCCGCGGTAGCACTTTTAAATAGACCACGAATTCGGTCGGACCGATTAACAATGGACATAATTATAAATTTTCTGCAGAAAATTGCCCCCATATTGCTTGCCCATGGCATTGTTGGCATTATCGCCTTTTGTGTAAGGTAAGTGTGACACCAATTTCAAATGTAACGCTGAGAAGCGTTATCAACGATTAAAAGGCAAATTTTTTCCCGAATTAGGCTGTATATGCAGGGGGAAAAGTTTAGGAAGCAAACCGATGAGACGGGCAAAGTTGTCATCGTTACTGGCGGAAACACGGGTCTTGGCAAGGAAACAGTAATTGAGTTGGCGAGGAGAGGAGCCACCGTTTACATGGCCTGCCGGAATATAGAAAAGGGCGATAGAGCCCGAAAGGAAATAGTTAAAGAAACCGGAAACCCGAATGTTTTCTCCCGGGAGTGCGACTTGTCCTCCTTAGATTCCATTCGGAAGTTTGTAGAAGAGTGAGTCATAACATAAACCAATTGCTTTACCTTTAAATCTGATATTTAATTCATCATAAGCTTCAAGAAAGAGCAAAGGGAGCTTCACGTCCTGATCAACAATGCTGGCGTATTTTGGGAGCCGCGCAGACTGACGAAGGAAGGATTCGAAATGCACTTGGGGGTAAACCACATGGGTCACTTTTTGCTGACCAACCTGTTGCTCGATGTGCTGGAGAGGTCCGCTCCTAGCCGGGTGGTGGTTGTGGCCAGTAAGGCTCACGAACGAGGTCAGATCCAAAAGGAGGACATCAACAGCAAGGTCTTCTACGACGAAGGAGTTGCCTACTGCCAAAGCAAGCTAGCTAACATTCTCTTTACCCGCGAGTTGGCAAAGCGTCTGAAGGGAACAGGTGTTACGGTCAACGCCCTCAATCCTGGGATAGCTGACACGGAAATAGCCAGGAATATGATCTTCTTTCAAACAAAGTTCGCTCAGTATGTGGTAGAGTGTGTCCTCTTCAAATTGTCTTTCAATATTAGACGAGTTAATTCTTTGCATTTTCAGAACAATTCTGAGGCCGCTTCTCTGGTCCGTAATGAAAACCCCAAAGAACGGGGCTCAAACAACGTTATATGCCGCCTTGGATCCCGATCTCGAAAAGGTATCGGGACAATACTTCAGCGACTGCAAACTGGCATCTGTAGCCCCCGCCGCTCTAGACGATCAAATGGCCAGTTGGTTGTGGGCCAAGTCCGAGAAGTGGGCGGAAATTACTATTTAAATGGGGCCATAAGGGTATTTTTATCTAGCTAGTCGCTATTTTAATTGTATAAAAAGCCATTGAAAAAACTGTAATTTTATTTAGAAATCGTCAAAACAGTCATAACTGCTAAGAGTTGTATTTGTATATTGCTTTAAGGCAAAAGTGTGTAGTGGAAAAATGTTTTCATCCCTGTTAAGTACATATAAAATTACACTAGTTCAATAAATAAACTCCAGAAACGAAAGTCTAATTTAAAAATATGATTTGTGATACTTTTTTCAATGTTCTTTTAAAAACAAGTTTTTTTTTTTTTTTGCTCCTCCGCTAATCATTGCAAAACGTCACCTCCATTTTAATGGTCAATAATAAACTAGTTAGTTCCGATCAGACCAAAGTTATAAATGGTATTTCAATTGTAATTCTTTTTTGTTTTTTTTACACTTTTTTCGTCTATATATATGTACTAATTATTTAAGGAGTAAGGTATACCCTTTCGTTTAATATTAATGACTCGGATTTTTTGTATCTATTTGGGGTGCTACTTATGTGTGACACATTCCTTGATCGATTGGCCACATGATATAGTGTACTGTATAAGAGATAATGCTGTCAGAATCACTGTAAGGATATAGTCCAGGACAAACTGGCGATCGCAAGTGGTGCCCAGAATGATCCGATTCTGGAGCGGTTCCAGTTTCTGGTGAAGGATGAGGGAGGTATGCTGGGAAAAACTAATTGATGAGAGAAATTTAACAGTACAGAACGACCTCACCTCGTTGTCGAGTACCATTATGGCTAAAAGACGTGGCTTTACTTTTCTCATATACAAGCCATGAATGATTACAATGTGCTGCTGTAGTTGCAACTCGGCTTCGCGAAATCGGTCAGTGCACATTCCCAAGATCAGCACATAGAGGATCGGAATAAACACGGGCCCCAAACACCCGTCCGCAATGATGTACATCTTGTTCTCAAGGTCATCCTCTGCAAAAAGACTGCACTCCAAAAGAAGTTCCATGTTGAAGATGCAGGTGAAGATCATCAGGTAAATAGAGGATGTCAGCCAGGACAGGTTTTCCTTAATGCATTTGTGCAAGCGATTGATGCGAAGATGCAGCTGAAAGAGCAGGAACAAACGCCTGTGGTAGCTGCCCTGAATGTCCTGCCGATTCTCGTTACACTCGATGAATCGCTTTAGAAACAGGATAATAGTGCGATACCAGTTAAGCATGATTAGCTGGTATATAAAATATCCTGCGAAGCAGTACTCCAGCAGCACCCAGTAGAGAAAGTTGAACAGCAAGAAGTAGGACTTGTTCCAGAGCGAATCCAGCAGGATGTAGAGAACCCACAGTTTGCACAAATAAACTCCAAGCAGTACTGGATCGCAGCTGTATACCATACCGATTTTTTGATCGATCACGCTGGTGATTTGCAGGATCTCGTTTACTGTATGCTTCACAAACCTCCGATCCTTTTTTGAGTGCAGAAAGATGACCAAGCGCCGCAAAACGTTAATACTTATGCCCTGCATTAGAATACTCATTACAAAGTTTTGTGCAGTGCTGCCATAAACCATACTGGTGACGATGTATATGGCCACCACGAGTGCAAAGTAGAGTCGATATTGGCTGGTCAGTAGGATTACCTTAATGGCAACTACAATCTTGGACCATATTCGATGGTATCGGGTTTCCTCCATTTGATTTGTACGCTCATTATACTGTAGCTTGAAAAAGTGGCATCCGCAAGCGATCCCGTAAATGGTCAAAGCACTCCCTTTAAAAAACAAACGGTGTACAATCTGGATGCGATTTGTGCGATGCCAGCGAAAATCATCTTTATTCCACATTGCTCCTGGGCTAAATGACTGAATTTCTGTTTCACCCATTTCATGTAATTGCAGCAAATGGCCATTTAGAAATGGGCTAGAATGATAATCGAATCCAATTTGGGTTTTGTCGACTTATTATTGACATTAAATACGTTGGGTCTTTAGCAACATAAAATACGTGCTAAAAAAAATTAATCAAAGTTCTTAAAAATAATTGAGGAATTAATAAATAAAATATATTTTTAAATCATTTATCATCAGTAAGTTCTTGAATGTAAATAGTAATTTATTACAATGCAGTTTAATTTTACACATTATTTAAGAGCTTTACGAGTAAAACATCAACGGATATAATGATTTCTGTATTCCGTAAGTATCGAACTTTGATCAGACGAGAACAAGTCTAGGAAGTTGTCAATTGTTGATGTTTTTATAAAGCTGGTATAAAGAAAATTGAAAGTGGCTCTCTTTTTGCCAGTCGACTACTGAATCTACTAGCATTTGGAGCAAGAAAATGAGTGCAGCTGCCGATTACTTATTAAACCCATTCGTATATGGAATAGGTCTTCCTGCCATTGGAGTATATCTACTAAGGTGAATTTAATAGCCTCTTAGTGATTATCCTATAACCCTTGCCTTTCAGGGAGTATATGCAGGGAGGTCGATTCACCAAAAAAACCGATGAGACTGGCAGAGTAGTGATTGTGACCGGTTGCAATCAGGGAATTGGCAAGGAGACCGTGCTGGAGCTGGCTCGGAGGGGAGCCACCATTTATATGGCTTGTCGCGATATGGGAAAGTGCAAGCAGGCACAACAGTGGATCATCGAAGCGACCAACAATCAGAAGGTTTACTCGCGAGAATTGGATCTGTGTTCCATGGAATCTATAAGAAACTTTGCAGCTGGGTAAATCAAGCCTTTATTTCAAAAACAATTAAATATTTAACTTAATTTTAAAGCTTCAAACGAGAGCAGAATAAGTTACACATACTTATCAACAACGCCGGGATTATGGACTGTCCCAAAATGCTAACGAAGGATGGTTTTGAAATGCAAATAGGTGTGAATCACATGGGTCACTTCCTACTCACTCTTCTACTCCTCGATGTCCTAAAAAGTTCCGCCCCCAGTCGAATTGTAGTCTTATCGAGCTTAGCGCACCGGTTCGGAAGAATAAACCGAGATGATCTGAATAGCGAAAAGTCCTATGATCGAAAGATGGCTTATTGCCAGAGCAAATTGGCCAATATCCTTTTTACGAGGGAGTTGTCCAAACGGCTGGAGGGAACGGGAGTCACGGTAAATGCCTTACATCCTGGAGTAGTTAATACGGAGCTCTTTCGAAATACACCATTCTTCGGGTCGAAGTTTGGAAAGTAAGTTTATTAATCGGTTGGACTCCGCAAATCGAGTAATATCTGGTTTGGTTCTAGGATGCTCATTGCACCATTTATATGGATTTTTATTAAGACTACAAAGAATGGAGCCCAGACGTCTCTGTATGCAGCTCTGGATCCCAGTTTGAATAATGTCTCAGGACTTTATTTCAGCGATTGCAAGCCAAAGAAAGTTGGTTCTGCAGCCCAATATGGTGATGATGATGAATTTCTGTGGGCAGAGAGCGAGAAGTGGACGGGTATTAATATTTAACCGTTTTAATTATACTTTTATATATTATACACAAATTTCAAAGACCTTTTAAATGTTTTTCCAGCAAAAAATGTTTTCAAACATTTCTGAGTCCCCAATAACATGTTTAATGTTTTGCAGATCAACGGTAATAAATGTATAAACAAGTGTAATAAGAGTAAGAAGAGTTATAATAGATATAACGAAAGTACATAGATTGTTCAAAGTCATCTGCAAAATATTAAAATGTTATTGGGCACTAAGAAATGTTTTCCCCGATTTTTGCAAATAAGCTTTAAACAAAAAATAAACATTTTACAATTTAAAAATTGTTTGGTTTCTTATTACAATTTCCGTTAAAATATAAAAAAAAGGATTTTCTTTATTGAGAAGCATTTGAAAGAAACAAACGCTACTAGCACGTTTCTATTATTTTTTCCACCACTGTACGTATTATTTTCAAAACATTGTGAATTAATTTCTCTTGCTCTCTACCCAATTTCGTTCTCTTCTCGCAATTTCGAATTATACTCATCGTGAGTAAGCATTTAAAGCTGTCGTGTAGTTTTTCACAGATAGTACGTTTTGTATTTAAACGACAGCAGCAACCGGCTAACTCGCATTCGCCGAGAGAACCGACAACTGAAGCTATTGCAAAATAAATTATACTTATAAACAAAATGAGTTGTTTGACTGATTGTTTGTTGTGTCCAATACTTTTATGGCCAGCTATTATTGGTGGAGCTGCGTATTTTCTGAGGTAATTTCGATATGAAATACTTCAGTGGCTTATGAGTAGTACGCGCATGAATTGCATAAACTTAACTTACATATGTATGTTTGTGTTGCAGAAAATACATGCAGGGCGGTCAGTTCACCAAGCAGACCGATGAGTCCGGCAAAGTATTTATTGTCACCGGTGCCAACACCGGAATTGGCAAGGAGACAGTCCTGGAGATTGCCAGGCGGGGAGGAACCGTATATATGGCTTGCCGGGATATGAACAGGTGTGAAAAGGCCCGCCAGGAAATTATCAGGGAGACGAATAATACCAACATATTCGCCCGTCAATTGGACTTGAGTTCACTGGAATCCATTCGTAAATTCGCTGCAAGGTGAGCAAACATGACTATTTAATAATAAATACATTCAATGCTATAATTACTTTCTCTGTTATAAATCAGTTTCAAGAATGAGCAGGACAAGCTCCATGTCCTGATCAACAATGCAGGAGTTATGCACTGCCCCAAATCTTTGACCAAGGATGGTTTTGAAATGCAGTTGGGAGTTAACCACATGGGTCACTTCCTGCTTACTCATCTGCTGCTGGACGTGTTAAAGGTATTATGGTCACCAATGGACTTTCATAACACCTCGTTAACCTAACATACTCCTTAGAAAACCGCACCTAGTCGCATCGTAAACGTATCCAGCCTGGCACACACACAAGGTTCCATCAATGTTGATGACTTAAACAGTGAAAAGTCATATAGTAGAATCGGTGCTTATAGCCAAAGTAAATTGGCCAACGTGCTGTTTACTCGAGAATTGGCCAACCGTCTGAAGGGAACTGGAGTCACCACCAATTCCCTGCATCCCGGTGCTGTGGACACGGAGCTGCTAAGGAATTGGAAGTTCTTGGAGAACAGCTTTGTGAAGTATGTTTTTAGTAATGGTTATCATAGAGTGGGTAGAATAATAATTTTTGTATTGTATTTTAGGTACTTGGTCGGGCCCTTGCTTTGGACGCTCTTCAAGACACCAAAAATGGGAGCCCAGACAACTCTCTACGCTGCCCTGGATCCTGCACTAAAGGAGGTCTCTGGACTGTACTTCAGCGACTGTCAACCAAAGGATGTGGCAGCCGCTGCTGAGGACGAAAAAACTGGAAAGTTCCTGTGGGAAGAGAGCGAAAAGTGGACAGGCGTGAATACATCTAAGAAAGATTAAAAAATGATATATGCCAGCACCCGCCCTTTCATTATTTAATATTTTAATATTTTATATATGTATATAAACGAGTTTAACAAGGCAACTGTGAAAGCCAACACTTGTATACTTATCTACACCACCGATTCAGAAGCTTTTTTATATGGATATCTTATGACTAAGAAAAATATGAAGGGACCATAACGATTATAACATTTATGAATAAAACTCACAAAAAATCGTACTATTCGATTTTTATATAAAAAAAAGATTTGTAGGAGTTCAAATCTAGATTTATTTCCCATTACTAAAAATATAACAGAATTTAAGTTTAAAATATCGCATATTATAATTATTTGAGATAAGCAATAATAAGCTAAATAACGATTTATAAAAATGTCAAACTGGCTATTTAAATAACTAAATAAGTTGTTCTTTAAAATCATAGTTTAAAATATTTATTTAGTCTAAAACATAGAAACAAAAACAACATTTTTATTTATAGAATATATATGTGGTTCAAACCTACATGGAAATTTATATATTTTAAGAACGATTAATTTCGGTCCTTGTTTAGAGAGAAATTAAAAACAAGTGATTTAATCTCAGTCCCAAACGTAATGACAACTCTGTTTTTAGGGAGCGCAACAAGAGAGTTGTTAAATTCTAAAACATCGCAAGCCATTCGATAGTTGCGTTTAATAGCAAAGTGTGTCATAGAGAGAAAAAAACCTTTCGGGGAGTCGGCAGATAAATGCAAAATATGCCTGTTTTGGAGCACACTAATGTCATGGCCGAGACACCGACTGCAGCTGAGAACACCACGGCTCCGGTGGACGCAGATGCTCCGCCCCAGGCAGTCCGGGAACTGACGCAGACGGATCACCTGAACAGACGCCTCCTTAAATCGCTTCTGGACAACATGCAGGCCTCCGAAGGTGTAACACATGACAACGAGAACGTCTCCAACGAGGAATCCGGCAACGAATTCGAAGAATAAATCTTTTTATTAATGTACAGTAAAGCTAGTGGACTAAAACGTGTCATAACAATCGTCCATTCGAGTGGGGAGTACCTAGATGCGACGGCGCTTGTTGCTTTGCACCGGCGGCGGAGTGGTAGAGGGACTTATGGATTCATTGGAAATGGATCCGCGGGTACGCTTGGCAGGACGCTTGGGCAGCTCCTGGGGCTTGGAGACGGCCTTCTTATCGGAATCTTTAGTAGAATTAGCCGGAACGGGGACTTTGGTAGCAGGTGGAGCTGCAAAGACCGAAAAATTTGAAAGATGCATTTTGATAACCACAAGACTGACCTTTTCCATTGCTCTCACTGACTGCAGTGTTATTGAGTGATTGCTGTGCCTCTCCAGCTTCCTCGCTGCCATTAACCTCCACCGTTTTTTTGGTCTGCAGCGTTCCGTAATCCTGCTCCGGCAGACTAAACTCACGCTCCTCGTTAGGGAAGGGCAAGGACTCGAGGTCGTCCAGTTCCTTCAGTTTGTACATGGTGCCCAGGTGGCGCCAGATCAGCTCGCTGGGCATCTCGCGGTTCAGGGACTTGGACAAACGCTGGGCGATGCAGGACATGTAGAAGTGCTTGTTGATTCCGACCGGGCGCAGACCCTCCATGGCGTGAAAGAGTTGAAGCTCCTCCTCGGCAGACCACTCGTGGTCAATGGTGGCTGGCAACGGAGCTGCCGATCCGGCTATAGCCAGACCCTTGTCCTTGGCCATCATTTTGCGGAGAGCATGGAACTAAAAGTGGGCTGAAGGTTTTGTGCAGCAGATATTAGCGATGATAGTCGGCGGCGCTCACGCGTGTAAACTATCGCAGTTGGGCGCATCCCTAGTTTGGGTGTGTATCCACTTTTTTTCATCAACTTTTGGTTGATTTAATTTTGGCCTACAGCGTTCGAGAAAAAAATATATTTATATCGGATTTGGTAATTAACAAATAGTGTGCACATATAGTTGTGTGTTGTGTGTGCATCCGTCGAAATCTTTACCCTTTCACTTTCATTCTTTTGTTAACCATACGGCGCATATGACTCCGTATGTTTGTGTGTGTGCTCCTCCTCTATTCCTAAAAAGAACTATAATTTTAGGTGTTTCCAAACAGTTGCGGAGTGTTTTCTGTAATTAACACAGCGTTTCCATGTGCAGGGACAAGTGCGTCCACCGCCCACGCCCTATTTTTCGTAAAAAGCAACCTTGCACTTTTTCTACGTCAATGTTTCCAGTTAAACAGCAATGCGATCGATTAAACTAATGCCTGCGCTCACATGTGATACTGTTTAAGCCCAAAAATGTGTGTAATGGTGACTCACCAGCTATCCTAACCTTCTCCTTATCCTATACACTAAACTAATCTTTCTACCAACTATCTCTATCCTAGAATCGGTCATATGTATAATATACATCCATAGAAATTAGCCTTGTGTCGCTGTCGCCTGTTAAATGTTGTACTCGTGTGGGAAGAATGTTTGAAGAAACCGAAATCTAAACTATAACCAAACTTGTTATTTCCAGCCAGCCATTAAGATCCATCCAAACCAGTACACCCAGAAACATACGATAAGATAAGCCCAAGACCAAGCCATTAGGCGAAGCCACACAAGCACAAGCACACACCCACCATCCTGTAATTGCATTTCCCAGTATCCGTATCACTGAGAACCTTTTCAACCATAGGCCTATCCGAGACAGCCATCATGGACGTAATGTCATCATCCCTGCAGCAGCAGCGCATCGTGGTGGAGCAGCTGCGTCGCGAAGCATCCATCGATCGCCAGACCATCTCGGAGTCGTGCGCCAAGATGATGAAGTATATCACGGAGCACGAGCAGGAGGACTACCTACTGACTGGGTTCACCAGCCAGAAGGTGAATCCGTTCCGCGAGAAGTCGTCGTGCACCGTCCTCTAAGGAGGCGGTTGTCGCCAGGAGAGAGGAAGGCCCGTTGGTGCATTGGAGCCGAGGATATGCGGCGGACGTTTAGTTTATTTTTAGTTTAGCAAGATGGATTAAGACGCGAATGTGTGTGAAGTACAACGTTACCAGTACCAGTCAACGCCACATGGATCAATATATCTTTGTCTAAAGGCAACAATAACTACGATTGTCATAAGCAATATAGTTAAAAGAAGTTTGAATTCCAATTAAAAGGAATATATATTATATATAACCGATATATCAATGTGTACCATTCACGTTAACAAGTAATGTCCGAAAAAAACACAAATTCGAATCAAAATCTAAATCGAAGCATTTGTTCCAAAGATATCAGAGTTGTTTCCTTCCCGATTATTAACGCTGTTAATGTACACGAAATTCCCAACTATAACGACAATTAATTAACCGAAACACATATATATTCAAAGTTATCCACATAATCCGACATACAAATTATTCAATAAACTTAACTCAACCGAAACAGAAATACATATATTTTGACTTCTTATTTCGAGAAATATCTGTTACATTGATTAAAAATGAGATGTTAACATGACGAGATAAAGAAGAAAGAGAACAAGATGAACCCAAAATGTATGTATTTAAAAAAAACAAAAAAAAATAACCACCAGCAGGTGGATTGTAACCACTAACGAAAAATATACGCAAATATCTTATTCAATTACTTAAAAAGCTTTAACCACGAAGCAGAAATGCTATTATAACAAGCTAGTTGAACTTATCGCAATATTTAGTGCGTTTATTATCCAGTTTTAATTGGTCAGAATTTTACTATTATAGTTGCAGTAACGCAGCTCAAGCATATAATGGAAATATTATAATCAAATATTAATCTCTTTATCGTAGTTTCTCCATTTTAATTCCAAACGGCGCATAGAGCCATTATCTAATCACATGAAAATTTTTCTTTAAGCCGATTTTTTATTTCTGTCCGTTGTTGTCGCCCTGCGAAACAACACCACTCAAATATCCGACTAATCCGAAAATTGTAACTTTCACCAGTTTAGAGAAAATATCCAAAAGAATGTGTGATTTTTTCCCTCTTAAAAGAAATTCTATACACTCCACTTACACACGAATATTCACATAAATAAGTTGAGCGTAATGAATTAAATTGTTATTGGCATGAGAGAAAAGTTACAACCTAAAGCAAGTTATTTTTGTACAAGCTAACATGGTATAGGGCATATTTGTACGGTATTGGAATGAGAAGTAATGATTATCCTGTATGGAAAGTACGATGATAAAATCACACAGTCGCACATACATGTTGCATTCTAAATTTACGATTTTCATCGGGACCGAGTGTCAAATTCATACCGGAAACGACATTTCAGTGTTGATGGAAATCATGAAAGTTTATTTTAAATGATCGGTTCTTCCAATTTTGCATTTAACTCGTAACTTTAAATTGGTGATGATTTTAGTTAACAACGTTGCAAAATTTTGACAGAGAGTACTAAGGATTACACATTTTTCAGAGATTATTTATCTTTTTCAAAAATGTAGACAAGGTTCTGAACTATAGTTTGCTGTCGTGAGCAAACAGCAAAATGTGGCCCAGAATCGAAATTTGAAAGTATTTTTGGGTCAAAACAAATCGAAACTGCAGTTGGTTTGGACGCCCACGTTCCAGCTTAAACATTCCAATTTTCGATTTAACGGACTATTACCGTGGAAACTTTTGAGTTATTACGTGGAATTCGCCTGAGAACAGTCGGACCATCCAATAGAGCACGGATGGCTCGATCCTGTCACCAGATGTGAAATTTTTATAACTATAATAAAAAGAAAGGTTGGCCGTATTAAGAAATGAACATCAGTAGCACTCGTACTAAAAATCAAGGCCATTAAATAACACGTTTTATTCACTTCAAATGAAAAGCGACAACGAGATCGTATTTTTTCGAACATTAATACAAATCTTTTGCGACGCAAACGGGGATGAGTCCTCACAAATATTATTGAAATATATCTGCGAATAAGCATTTGAAATATGTATTGTACTCAACAAAATGAATAATCGTTTGCTTAACTTTCAAAAATAAAGACGATAACTAACTTAGGATTGTTATCTAGCGGTGGCGCCGGTTTCGGTGCAAAAAAAAATCGTTGTTTTATTTCGAAACCCCTTCAGAAAAATACATTTTTTCAGTTTTCGTAAGTTAAGTTTATTAATACAAGAAACTGTGTGCATGGTTGTGTATGTAGGTGAGTGTGAGAGTGGTTAATGAAATTTATAATTTCCATGGGACTCGTTTATGAAAATACAATGCACTCTTTGTGGGAGCAGGAGAAACTAGTTAAAGTAGGGATTACGAATCACACAGGAGCCGCTTAACTCTCGTCGTCGCTGCCGGCAGCTTGTCGCGGCTTGGGGCCTCCGGCGCGCTTTGCCATGATGATCTGGTCTACCTTCAAGATGGTTGTGGCCGCGCCCACGGCGTACTTAAGGCCCCAGAACTTGGCCTGGTACAGGTCAAAGAGCTTCGCCTTTGATGTATCGATGGTGCTAGCCTTCTCGGCCTCAATGTCGTAGCCAATTGTCTTGCCGGCCTCAGAGTTGTGCGCCAGGTACAACTGGTTGACGATATCCGTGCCATTGGTGCCGGAGTTCTCGGCCAAAGCTTTCGGGAATACTTCCAGAGCGTTGGCAAACTTGCGCACGGCGTACTGGTCCAGCCCCGGCAGAGTATCGGCATAAGCGGACAGCTGGGTGGCTAACTCGATCTCGGTGGCACCAGCTCCGGGAAGATAGCGGCCATCCCGGGTCAGGCACTTGAAGTTGTTAACAGCGTCGTCTAAGGCGCGCTCAATATCATCCATGAAGTTGTCGGTGGCTCCACGAATAACCACGGTGGCAATGCGCGAGTCCTTTCCCTCATTTCTGGAAGCGAGTTAAGATTAGCTTTTAGTGGTTTTCCCCTTACATATTCTTTAGATCCACCCACCTGAAGGCCACAATTGTGGTGTCGCCCAGTTCCTCGATGCATACTTTGTCGCAGTAGCCCAATTCCTCCTGACTGGGCGTGGTAATGCGCGGCAAAACAGTAGCGTTCACGGAGCGGCTCAGGCGACGCAGGTCGAACTTGGAGTTGAGGCGCACGGCCATCAGACCGTATTTGTTGAGGAAGTGGAGGGCCATATCTCCGACCTTTCCGCCGGCAACAATCACCTTGACCCCAGTATCGGCAATCGCCTTGATCTGGCTTTCCAGCAGACTCTCTTCACCGGAGGAGAAGCTCAACAGCTCATCGGCCGACTTGATCAGCACTGTGCCCTTCGTCTCTGTCTGGATAATGTCGACGGGGCAAGAGAAAATCACGATTTTGGCCTTCTCGGCGAAGGTGACATCGCCCTCCACGAAGCGCTTGAACACCATGCCGCGAACCACTTCCGACTTGGTCAGTCCGCTGCCCAAAATCTTGCAGATGCGAATGTTGTCAACGTTGAACGTGCCCTCATCCGGCAGGATGGAGACGCAAGCCTTGCTGACCAGTTCGTTGAGGAAGTCCTCCTGGCCGTACTGCTTCGACATGATCGACGTGCGCAGCACCTCTTTGACCTTCTCCACGTTGCGGAAGTCCTCGATTTTGTGGCTCACAAGGGTGGGCAGGATTTCAAGGGCCTTCTCCAAAGCCTTCTCATAGCCGTCGGAGATCTCAGCAGTAGTGATGCCGAGACGCAGCAGCTCCTCTGCGGACTCGAGCAGAGCGCCGGCCAGCACTACCACGAAGTTGGTACCATCGCCCACCTCGGCGTCCTGCATCTGACTGGCCATGACTATCAGTTTGGCGGCCGGATGCTCCACATCCAGCTCCCGGATGATGGTGCCGGCGTCGCTGGTCACGAACTGCTTCTCGATGTGATTGATAATCATCTTGTTCATGCCATTTGGCCCATAGGCGGAGCGCATGGTCTGTGCGAACTCCTTGCAGGCGCTGATGTTGCGGTACACCGCCTCCTCCAGCCCACTGTACATCTAAGGACACAGCAGAAGCCATAAAATTAGTAATTCTTCGGTCATATGTGAGCTCCGTTGCATGAGGATGACTAATCACGCGCCTCTCCGAGACGGCATGTTTTTATTTTCAGCCAAAACTTAATGAAACCGATGCCCCGCAGGTTTCATTCAGTGTTTTTCCCTATTGTTGCACTCACCCGGGCGCCATCCTTGAGCATCTGCGATACTCCGGGAGCTTTGGGAACGGATAAAGCCATTTTTGTACACAGATTTCAATTTCACACGGAGTCAGTCGGTAAATTTCAGCTAGAGTTATAACCTCAAAGTGGCCGCGAACATTCTGGATGGGATAGGGATGGGATTGCCTTATCGATTAATGTAAACTGTGACTGCTACTTTTTGTATAAATATTTTAAATTTATTTAAATTAAATTAATTTTTAAGGGAAAGAAACGGGATTGAATGTGATTCCGAAGATATAAGTCATTATGTTACGTCTTAACATTTTTAATCCACTAAACATAACCACTTTTTAAGACCGTAACAATTAAAATAAAAAAAATATATTAACATTAAAAATAAATTTCTTATCTTAATAACCTTGCAAAGGTTATTATAATTTTTTCCAAAATATTGTAAAACATTGAACGACAAATTTCCGACTCAATAAATGGTTATTCAATAATTGAAAATTAGATTTCTAACATTTTTGTATTTTAAAATTTAAAGTTAAAAATTAACAACAAATACAACAAATAAAAAAACCAACAAAAATGTATCCGGATTTGGCTGTTTATTAAAGATTAAGAATAGTTATCTATAGCAGGTCATAAGTTGACCATGTTAGGTACTTACCTGGCAAACTTATGAACTTCTATAAATAGCTAGCCTTAAAGGTTCTCATGACCTTTACTTATGAGGTCACATTAAACAATTTTTTAAAATCTTTTTATCTATTAAAATTATGGATTTTAATTTAGTAGAATATAATTTTAATTATTTTACTAATGTTATCCCTTTCCGAATTTCTGTAAATTAATGGTTATGTTGTGGCTTTATTCTCTATATAACTGACGTAAACTTTTAAGTTACATTTTTATTTGTAATGTTTTGGTTTCCCCAAACAAAAATTTACATTTTATTAAAGCGATTTTGACAACAAATTAAAGCTTCCTGTTCCAGCTGACAAGTGAACCGGCTAAGCTTTGGCGTACCGATCCGGCCACACTATATCTATGGGTATATGGGTGCCATTTTCGATCATTAAATTATCAACCTCAGAAACAAAAGGTAGTATCTTAACAAGAAAATCAAAAGGTAGAAAGGTAACCATTTTGTAAGCAAAAAAATATGAATTATCAGGACAACTTGAGCAAACCAATAGATATGTTTAAAAGTAAGTACGTTGCCATTCCGGAGTGGGTGAAAGAGAGATATGGTAAGCATTTTGAAGCATTGCACTCTACAATTTTCGGAATATTGAGATCTGAGAATGCACAACTGGACAGCCTCATCGTGGAGTATAGTTTGGAAGGTATGTTTGGGTAGCCATTATAATGGATACGCCTCCTCGTTTTGGGGAAGTGGCGTTGGAACCTTGGATGCTCCTAAGCCAAAATTGCATCTACACACCCATTCCCAATTCCTCCGTGAGTCATAGTAATTGTAACCGCAGTTTAATGTGCATTCAGGTCGCAAAGATATGATATACTTTTTTTCGCACTATCAGTACCCGTTCCCCGTATTCTTTCTCTTCGCGTTCCGTTCCTATCGTTTTACGTCGCGTTTCGCGAACGTTACTTATCGCTTAGTTGTATCTACACATCCATTCCTGATTCCTCCGTGAGTCAGAGTACTTGTAAACGCAGTTTATTGTGCATTCGGGTCGTAAAGATATTATATACTTTTTTTCGCACTATCAGTACTCGGTCGTATTCTTGTACCCGTTCCCCGTATCCTTTCCCTTCGCGTTCCGTTCTTATCGTGTTACGTCGCGTTTTTCGGTCGTACATACTTATCGCATAGTTTCCGTTCCGTTCAACTTCACAGGGAGCTCGGGAGATATGTTAAAAGTCGCGAAACCAAACGAATTCGATTTGGTATTTAAGTTGCAAATTCCGTATTACGAAAGCATAATCGTGACGCGAGATTCGAAAGTTCCGGGCAACGTATTACTTGATATGACGCGTGTATTAAAACTTCTCAGTGACGATCGCCGCGAGGATTGTCAAAGCATCCGGAAACTGCTTCAGAATAGACTCGTCGACGCGCAGAACTTTCTCGTCGTGGACAAGCTGCGCTCCTGGCTCCAGAGTCTCTTTAGCCAGGCTCTTAATCGGATCGCGGATCGCGTGGAGGTAGATGGCGTTGTGTCCCAGCTGAAATACAGGACCTGTGGGCCGGCCCACACCATCTACGTGGATGGGGAACTGGAGTACTCGGTCGATTTCGTACCTGCCATCCGCCTGGGTGCCGAACAGAACGTGTTGGGCGATGATCAATTAATATATTATAAGCGCGCGAACCTTCTTTATTGGGAGGTGGTTCCGAAGCCCCCGAAAACCCAAACAAAGACCAGCAGCATCTCATTTAGGTCCTCCTTTTACGCTGCCGAAAAGGCTATGCTTCGGGGAAAGCCCGAAAATTGCCTGGATGCCATTAAGCTTATGAAGAAATTTCGCGATGTAAAGACGAACTTGAGCAATCTCAAGAGCTACTATATTAAAACTTTGTTTCTTTGGAAGATTAGGAATGAACCGGAGTCCTACTGGCAGAAGCCGCTCACAGTCATTTTGCCCGATGTAAGCATGACTGAATCGAATTGCGGGCTAATTAACTAAACCCTTAAATCCCCTAGATGTTTGACGAGCTGGCGGAGTGTTTAAGGCAGGGAATTCTTCCTTTCTTCTGGGACCCCAAACTGAACATGATCGATGTTTTGACGCCAGACCAAGTGCTGGAAATGTACCTATGTGTCCGGAGAATACCAGGCGCGCTGAGGAGAGCCCGCAAGAAGCATGACTCTCGTCTGGTCGTTCTTCAAGTCTTCAGTAGGTTATTCTATCATGAGTTAGTGCCAAATGCCTCCAATGTTCTTACTTTTTGTAGGCAACAAGGAGGAAAGGGATCTGCATCTGGGATGCTGTCATAAGCGGATTGGAAAATCAAAACGAAATGTGATTAAGAGGTTGAAATAGATAAAATACCAATATGAAGTCCACAGCAACCCTGGAGAAAAGGATCACCGGAAAATAGCAACTATAAGCTAAAATTAGTTTCGCAAAATTCTTCGGATGCATTACTAAATTCCGGAATCAAGAATGTCTATGGGGTCGTCCATATATTATTATATCAGTGAATAGATTTTTATATTTCTAAACTTATGTAATATATGGACAGCCCCTAATTGACTATTTGTGGTACATTTTTGACAAAATTTCCAATTTAGTTAAAAGTTTAACGGAAGCATTAAAAATTGGCAAGTCATAATTAAAAGTTAAAAGTTTAGTTCCGCATTAAGTTCAATGAACGCATTTAACGGAAGCATTTAAAATTGGCAAGTCATAATTGCATTGCGAAGTTGTTCGTAATTGGTGAATTGGTCGATATTTTTATATTGTTTATATAGTTAAATCATAACAGAATATGGCACATTGGCTTCATAAAATTGTTTATAATTAATCAAGCATGATTGTAAAATTAATAATGGAAAATGTTTGTATTATAAATTTGGTATACGAGGATGGGGAATATTTGTAAAACACTTTTCAAAATGTACAATGTTCAATTAATTATAAAAACTATGTCGAAACTTGTCTTTGTGTCATTGGATATTGTTTTCCAACATTAAACATTAAAACATTTTTATCAAAAAAATATGTTTTTTTTTACTGAAAATACAATTTATCATTATATTTTTAAACGAAAAAATGTTCAATAAATTATTAAAACTATGTCGAAACTTGTCTTTGTTTTATCATTGGATATTGTTTTCCAACAAAATATATATATATTTTTACTGAAAATACAATTTATCATTATATTTTTAAACGAAAAAATATGCTAACTTAGGAAGGAGAAGATCTTGAAAACTTAAGAAGAACTAAAAGAATTGTAAATGTTGAAAATTTTTAAACCATTTAGGTGTTTAAGGAATACCCCATTTAAATAATCATGACTTATCCGTGACAACAAGACACCCGTGACAAACAATCATGTTATTAAGCGTGCGTGAGCGAGGTAAAAGACTCGATCACGCTCACATCTCTAATTCAAAACAAAAAACCATGTCGCTGGGCAAGAAGCACGTGTTGGGGTTTTCGCCCAATGGTGGCCAACTATTTGCCTCGGTGGACGAGCAGGGCGTCCTGCGGATATGGGACACGGAGACGAACACCCTGAAGCAGGAGTTTACGCCCAATCTGCAGGTGTCCGGACCATGTACAGCGCTCACGTGGGTTTCGGTGTCCGGTCCTCGGCCCAAGAAGTCGCGAAAGAGTCTGCAGGCACAGGATGCAGCCAGCGAACAGCTTCACATTGCTCTGGGAACGCTAAAGGGGTCAGTGGTCATATATTCCCTAACCGAGGGAAAGGTAAGTTTAAACAGCCTCGAAAAAAAAAAACCCCAATACATTATTATCAATCCTTGCAGATTACTCGGACGCTCAGTGGCGACACCCATGATGGACCAATTACCTCGATCGCCTACGACAACGCTGACCACTTGTTTACCGTGGGCGCCGATTGTCGGGCGCTAGTTTGGTCCTTATCGGAGGAACGCTGCGTCGCTGAATGGCAGGTGGGGCCGGAAAAGCCCCAGAACATAGCCTATCTGCAAAAAAGCCGCACCCTGGCAGTTGGCTCCCGCCAGTTGAAGGTGTACGATGTCAAGACAAAGGAACTGGTCGAAACCTTCACCGGTCACTCCGGCGAGATAAACGCCATCAGCAGTGTTGCCTGCCCAGATAACACTGAATTCGTACTGACCACCGCTAAGATGGAGCGTGTTATCTGCTTCTGGAAGGTCGACAAGAAGGGAAAAAACAAGCCATCCGCGTGCACGCTGCTCATGGAGGATTTAGCCTACTGTTTGACCAGCGAAGTGCGGGAGGACGGCCAGCTGCGTGTGGCCAGTGTTACCCGGAATGGCAACATACACATATACCTGCTGAACGTTAACAGGTAAGGCTAGGACTTATAAAGCGTTGTCAGTATTAACAATCCCCACCTTCAACAGTTTATCCGCCGAGAAGTTCGTAAAGCCCAAGGTGTCGCTGCAAATTGTGTCTGATGGCGCAGATACAGTGGAACCCATTCTTGCTGTGGCGGCTCATTTTGTGACAGACTCAAATCGGTCGCACGAAATCCTCTTTGGCTATGGTAGTCGCCAGCAGCTGCAGTTCGAACGTTTCACCCCCAACTATGGCGAGAAACTGAATGTAATCGTCCGCGCCGATCCAAAGAAGCTGTACGCTAAAAAGAAGGGCAAGGAGCAACTGGGTTTCCAGGCCGCCACCAAGGTTCAGAAGCCTATTGTTAGCCAAAAGACCGTGGAGTACAACAGCGCCCTCCCCATCTCCCAGAAGAAAGTGCAGAACGAGGTGCCCATGGAGGCTCGCCTGCAACACCTAAAAATCCATGGTACAAAACTGAGTGGCGGCAAGTTGCAGACGCAGAGCAAGACTCAACTGCTCATGCAGGCATTACACAGCAAGGATCAGACGTAATATATCCTTTAACAGCCATCGATGCTTACTAACAAGTTTGATTTTAGGATGATTCAAGCGGTCTTAAGCACGCATGATACAGAAACGATACAGCTGACGTTGGATCGACTGCCGCTCGAATACGTTGGTCCTCTAGTAAACGAACTCTCCATCCTGCTACAAGGAAAGCACGCTAAGTGAGTTTCTTGAAATTATAAAAAGTGAACCGCTTACTAATTGGTCATAAAACTGTAAGGCAAACTTTACTTATTTAATTAATGTTATTTTTTTCAGTGTCAGCTCTGCTCTGCGCTGGCTGAACGTGCTGGCCTCCACCCACACGAGTGTCCTAATGTCAGAGGACAAGGAGGCATTGCGGGAGAAATTAGCCATTTGCCTGGGAGTGGCGGAGCAGCGCATGCACTGCCTGTCGCAAGCATTACAGTAAGTAAATATTTGAAAAACATAAGACAAAAGACAGGGCTCTAATGGTAAATGCTAAATCAATTGCTGGTCTTCTTGGCATTTTTTGACTTAATATTATGCTTGGGCTTGTCGATGGTACCGTGCCGACTCTCGGAGATCGCAGCGAAGAACGTCAGCTTGGTGTGCAGGATGGTGTCGATGTAGAAGCGTTGGAAAGTGAACGAGTTAAGGCAGCGTTCGCCCAAACCATAGTAGAGTGTGTTGTAGCCCTCAAAGCGGTAAGATATCATTACCGGATAATGTGTCAGCAGTAGCTTGGACACACTGACGATGAATCGCACCTTGGCAACAGCCAGCGGATTTGGACACCGGGCGGTCGGCCGGGAGAAATGGGCATCCACAAAGAGAATGGTTCCCTTAATGGGAACCTCATGTCGAATCGGATTGCTGATCACCACACACTTGGTGTCAGGCGAAAGTTCCCACCGGCTAACAAAGTCCCTTATGTCGGCAATGGCATTTGAATACTCGAAATCCCCGATGGTCAGCATTTTGCGCGCCAAGCCACTGGATGCAGAGTCCGCTGAAGCGCCGAGGTATGCCGTGTAATTTGTAGGGTTTTTAATCGAGTCGTCGTCCTCTCCATTGGCCACCACAATGTCGGTCAAGGCTGTGGACACTAAGCTGACGGAAGACATTTTCTGTCGTTTTGGGAATTTGTAGACAAACAAACCGCGTGGATCGGACTTGATTATGGCCAGCGCTTCGCAGACAGTGGCTTCGACCAGATCAACGATGCACTGTAAGTCCGCATCATCGCAGATGGGCTTGTTGCACGCGTTGATAAAACTGGAAATGCTGGGTATATTGGCTATTGGCAGCGCATTTCCTGGTCCGATTCCTTGAACGACTATATTTTGATTCGGTGTTTTTATAAAATGGGAGCTGGAGGAGGGCTCATTATAGCTAAAGCCATCGACGCACAAAATATCCATTCTGGAAAACTAGGAACAACGAATTTTTTCAGTGCTTTTACTTAGGAAATGTTTGTATATGTTTAAGTATATTTATTAAGTCAACTTTGCAATGCCTTCTTTTCAGAATAACGGGGCGAGTTAACCTGATAATCAGCCAGATGAAACGCAATGCGGACAATCACCTGAACGATAGGAACGCCTTGATTCTGGACGAGGACCCAGGTGAGTGTTCCACACTCGGTGCAAGATCCGTAGGATCAATACATTTATTTGCAGAAGAGCCAACCGAAGCTCTCGAAGATAGCTTGTTGGCTGAAAATAATTGGAGCGACCTTGAGGATGAGCAAGGCAACTCAAAAGGTGTTCCGGATGATGATGAGCTGATGGCAGACGACGACCTGGCGACCGACGATGTTAACGCAGACACAGACTCTGATGAATCAATGGATTAGCCTGCCTCCCTGTACATTAAGTTTAAATGAAATTCCTTGTTTGTCGTGCGGCAATAAATTAAACTACAATTGTTTTCCAAACACAGTTTTCTACACCGAATTCATCAATTTTTATTTGTGGTTTTAAACTACGTGCAACAACGAATATGGTGAGCCAATTGTTGGTCTAATTCCGACATGAGATTTTATCATCGATACACAAGCAAACAAACATTTCCAATTCATAAATACAGTTGAATAATGTGCCAATAACAGAGGTTTGTAGCTCGAGTAATACATAAGCAGCGACTACTCAATAACGGCTCAGAAACTACTAACAATTAGAGCATTTGTGTGATCATTTTAATTTGCAACAAACAGCCGAACATGATTACTTCCAATTGGCTTTAATGAAGTTGATTAAACCGTTTGTAGAACTGTCGTGCGTAGAGACCTCGTTGCAGTGGTCCAGCTCCGGCTCGATGGCCTTGGCCAGCTGCTTGCCCAGCTCGACGCCCCACTGATCGAATGAGTTGATGTCCCAAATAATGCCCTGAACGAAGATCTTGTGCTCGTAGAGCGCTGAAAAATCAATTGAAATTAATATGTGCTTGTGGTTCTGATCAGTCAGACGTACCAATCAACGCGCCCAAGGTGAAAGGTGAGACCTTCTTTACCACAATCGAGTTTGTGGGCCGGTTGCCAACGAACACCTTGTGAGGCAGCAAGTTGTCCAGCTCGTTGCCGCACAGTCCAGCCTTGGAGAGCTCGGCCCGGGCCTCGTCAACCGTCTTTCCCGCCATGAGTGCCTCCGTTTGGGCGAGGAAGTTCGACAGCAGAATCTTGTGGTGCTTTCCGCCGGCAATGGGATTGTGCGTCTGGGCAGGGGCGATAAAGTCACAGGGGATCAGGCGGGTGCCTTGGTGGATAAGCTGATAGAAGGCATGCTGGCCGTTGGTTCCCGGTTCTCCCCACACAATAGGACCAGTGCTGTAATTGACGGCCTTGCCCGACTTGCTTACGAACTTGCCGTTGCTCTCCATGTCGCCCTGCTGGAAATAGGCGGCAAACCGGTGCAAGTACTGATCGTAGGGCAGAAGGGCGTGCGTTTCCGCCTTAAAGAAGTTTGAGTACCAAACGCCAAGCAAGGCCAGGACCACAGGAGCCTAAAATCAAATTGTAATGGTTAAGTTGAAGCTTTCGATGTCACACGACCATGAATTCTTACATTTTTCTCGAATGGCGTCGTCCTAAAATGATTATCCATATAGTGAGCACCATCTAGGAGCTGCTCAAAGTTCTCGAATCCAATGGACAGGCAAATGGACAGTCCAATGGCCGACCACAGGGAGTAACGACCGCCCACCCAGTCCCAAAAGCCGAACATATTGGCGCTGTCAATGCCGAACTCGGTCACCTTTTCCTTGTTTGTTGAAAGGGCAACAAAATGCTTGGCCACAGACTCAGGCTGGAAAGAAAAATCCAAATTTATAGATAAGGGATATTTTGATTTAGTAGATTTCTTAAAATATATGTATATTCTAATTACAAATTAAGTTGAATAAAAAATTAAAATCTTATAAATTAATGTTAAAAAAAAAAATTAAATCAAATGTTCGTCATATCTTATCAATTTTTCTATATGTGTAATAGAATTGACTTAAGTATAGAGCGGTATTAATAAAGGTCATTTAAATCAATGCCTTCCAATGAAAAAATATGCGATTAAGTGGTTGGCGCTTACCTCCTTGGAATGATCCAGGAGCCAGGACTTGGCGGAGGTGGCGTTCGTAATGGTCTCCTGGGTGGTAAAGGTCTTTGAGGCCACAATGAAGAGGGTGGTCTCGTAGTTGACCTTCTTGAGCACCTCAGCCAGGTGAGTGCCGTCGATGTTGGAGACGAAGTGGGAGTGCAGGCCCTTGCCATATGGCTTCAGTGCCTCGGTAACCATCAGTGGGCCCAAATCGGAGCCACCGATGCCGATGTTGACCACGTCGGTGATCTGCTTGCCGGTGCATCCGCGCCATACGCCGGAGATGACCTTGTTGGTGAACTCTTTCATATGGGTCAGTTCCGCACGGACGTCGGGCATTACGTCCTTGTCGTCCACCAGGACGGGATCCGTGCCACGGTTGCGCAAAGCCGTGTGCAGGACGGCGCGGTTCTCCGTGATGTTGATGTGCTGACCAGAGAACATGGCATCTCGAGCGGCGTCCACGCGGCGCACCTTGGCCAGGGCGAGGAGCAGGTCCCAGACTTCGTCGTTAATACGGTTCTTCGAGTAGTCCAGCAGAATCTCTCCATCGTTCTGGGTGTGCAGGCGAAGGCTGATAAACAAACGAAAATCATTTGACCTCAGAGCAAGTACGAGGCGGAGGTCGTTGCTGTGACCTTACGCAAGGACAAATCGAGCGGCGACGACACTCGAAAGCCGATAGTGAAAGTGAGAGTGGGCGCAACCCAATGAATAAACGATGGGGGATACATAAATGACTGTATGTATGTGGGCGCAACATACGTAACTTTAACCCTCTAGGGCGAAATTCCGTTGGTAAACCCACCTGTATTTGGAGAACCTTTTGGAATCCTTCACGAACAGGTCCTTGATGTTCAGGTCCTTGCCCTTTGTATCGTAGTATTCCTGCAGCTTCTGGAAGGCTGCTTCCTGGTTGAGTGGAGGAAGTGCACCGGCCATTTTACTTTAGTTTTCCAGAGGAGGAAAAAGATGTGGATGCGGAGTAGAGGGAGGCGGGGAAGGACTCGTTAGAAACTCGAAGAGGAGCGCAAAGCGAACGGAAAAGAGAGCACAGGTGAACTGCTTCAGACACTCGCGACACTTTACTTATAAACGCAGATCCGGCTGCTAAGTCGTCGGTTCGATGATTTAATCTGGCTCCGGGAAATCTCCAGAGCACTGCGCCACAACTTCGCCGTGTTTGCTATTGATAGGTACTGAGCGGACCTGCCGATTTTCCAACGTCCTTTCTGGAATTTGATTCGCGAGCACCTCAATGTCAAATGAAAAACAAGCTAGTGTTGCCACGTCGGTCGTGCTCTTGTTTTGCCGCGCCGGTTGGATCGGAGCGGCTGCAAATTTACTGTGTGGATTGATTGGATTTGAACTAAGGGCTCCCTGCTCCTAGATGATCTCTAACGATCGACAAAAGGACTTAAATTGGAAGTGTAGAAACAAATTAACCGCCGCTATGTACCATATTTTTTCTCTGATGTGGCAAGGCTGCGCGATTAGGGTTGACAGGTGCTAACAACTATCGAATATTATGTATTATATTAAATCTAATAACAATATATATATTTTATTAAATTAAATCTATTTAAAATTTAATTTAATACAAAATATTCGATAGTTGTTGGTACCTTTTTTAGATTTTATAACGATTTCAAATATTAAAATATTTATCTAATCAATAAAATTACTACCATAAACTTCCAAAATAAAAATTTGTAAGTAAGCAAGAAAGATTCCAACAAATTATCATACTGCTCTCTGGTCGTATAATCATTAAAATAAATAACAAATAAATAACAAAAAATATTTCGGACATAGTTTTTTAACCCGTTAAGCCTGTTTTCTGGTCTATATGGTAAGCCTATTTTTTTTTTAAAATGAGTAATATTTAAGAAATTTAGTTTTTGTGTGCTGGAATTACCACAGCAAAAAATATATATAACATTTTCAATAAAAACTTTATGTACAAAATTTTTGATACAGAAATTAAAACAAGCGATCAATTTGGGTGACATCACAAAATATATAAATTATTTTAATTTTTTTTTATAAATGCAACTCGTACAAAATATTTGATTATACTATTTATTTTATATATAACATTATTTATAAATCTTTTTGTAAAAAATGATTAGCCCCTAATTTCTTATTTTCAATACAAAAATTAAAACACGCGTTTTGTTAGGCTGATATCGCAAAAAAATGTATATTATTTAATTATTTTAATTTATTAATTTTTTATCAAAGGTTCATATTTATCACTAATATAAACTACTATTTATATATATATTGCATTTTATTAATAAAAACTTATTGTAAACAATTATTAGCAATTACTTTCTTCTTCTTAATACGGAAATTAAAACCATCTTTTAATTAGGCCAACATTAAAAAAATAAATAAATTATTTAATTATTTAAAAAATATATCAAAGAAAAAAGTACGTATAAGACAATAGCAGTGACCCAACTCTGGTGGGTATCTTAGATATACGTTAAGAGCTATCGCCAAAGCATAAAACTGTTTGGCAACGATGAGCGCGTAGGGTTGCCAGGTCGCTGAAATTCGCTAAAAGATGGCGACGCGCACTTAATTTTTTGTTTTTTCCCACATAATAAAATAGAATTAAAGCAAAATAAAAGCATCGTCTGAGCAACAATCAGAGACTGTTAAATCGCGAAGTGAAAATACCTAAACAAATAGCATTGCAAGGCTCCAAAACGAATTGCGAGTGGAGTGAAACCAATACAAACATTAACATGTCGGTGGCCAGAAGAGAGCAACAAGTGTGTGAAAATCGAATTGTGGTCGTTTAAAATGTTTGGAGGAGCAATCAGTGCTCCTGGCGGCAGGTAGATCGCCACCATTCGCTCCAGGATATCCCATTTCATCAAAGAAACGTCAGAATATCGCCCTAAAAGGCCAGGCAGTAGCGTCTGCACACGTAACCTTGTGTGCGCGTAGCACGGAAGCTGCTTGTCGGAATCGGGTTTGTAGGTATGTGGCTGCGAGTCGCCGCTTAGATTTGCTGCTTACCCGGATTTTTCACTTGGATTTCAGTTGGCCCTGGCCACGGGCCATTCCCAGATCCCCAGGACGTCGGGTACGTCACCGAGGAGGATGGACACCACATCCGCAGCTGGATCTGGAGCCGGAACTGGCGACGTCTGCCCCTGCTCCACGGTAGCCGCCTCAACGGCCTCTAACGAGCAACCGCAGACCAAGCGCCAGAAGATCGACCAGCAGATAAAGGTGGGCTCCAAGACCCTGCCGCCTCCACCGCCGGACATACTGGACCTGGACGCCAACAGCAACAGCCACCTGTGCTCCTCGCTATCCTCGTCCTCATCACACTCGCTATCTACGCCCAGCAGCGCCAACAACTCGCCAACCATCACGCCCTGCAGCTCACGGGCGACATCCTACGCCCAATTGCTGCACAACATCTTGCCACAAAATGGAGACACGGACTCACACAGCCAATCGGAATCCACACAGGACGAGGTTGATCGGGTGGCTAAATTGCCCGACCTTCTCACCCTCAGCACGGCTAACAACAGTAGCAGCCACCTGAGCAGCAGAAACAACTGCATCCCAACGACAGCAGCAACAACCATCGACGATATGCTGGAGTTCGAGCAGTCCTTGACCCGCCAGTGCCTGTGCGGGGTCTCAGAGCGAACGCTGCGTAAGCCCTTCCAGTCCCATTACTCACAGGACACCAACGGCCAGAAGCGGATAGCCTATCTGCGCGAGTGGCCCACCAACAAGCTGCTACAGTTCCTGTCCAACCTGCAGCTGCTGTTCGACATCTACCTGAAGCAGAACGCCAAGGGCTTTATCTGCACGCGAATAATGGACGTCTGCGACGCACTGATCCGTAATGACCACAAGCTCATCGACGAGATCATCGTTCTGGCCGGCTACGACAACTCGTACGTACAATTCCTGGCGGGTCGTGTGCTCGCCGCATTCCTGGTGATTGCCAAGCAGGAGCTGAACGACGAGTGGCTGCAGAAAATCGTAGATCAGCTGTTTAACTTCGAGCAACTCGACCAGGCGGCGGTGCAGAAGATCCACTTTAGCCTGGACATCATTAAGCGCATTGTCGAGTGGAAGGACATGGAGATCCATCCGCTGGACGACGACTGGATGGCGGCAGCGAATAGTGCAAGCGCTGCCACATCAGTTGTCCCTCTGCCAACGGAGGCGTCCGTTAGCTACATGCACTTTCCCGTGCAGGAGCAGCCGCTGGCCACCAACTACTTTGCGTTGCAGTTTCGCGAGGATACAGATGCTGAGCGAGATGAGGAGCGGGAATCGCCCGACAACCGCGATCGGCACCGGCGGCACTTTGGCGAGGAGATGAACGTTGCCTACGAACCGCATCCCGCTCCCCAGTCCACGACAATGCCCAGTGGATGCCATGTGGTCACGCTCACCGATTCGGAAAGCTTTGACACGACGCACCTTAAGTGCATAACTATTCAAAAGCTGGAGCACAAATGGCCAACGCTGGTGAAGAACATGTCGGAACTGATGGCACCGACTCACCAGGATGCAGCTGAGCACTGTGTGCTCAACTTCCTTCAGCTGTGGGAGAACATCATCTCGGTAAAAGCCAATCTGTCCATTGACGAGACGCGGCCCTACTACGCCCAACTGGACAAGTTTGAGCTGCTGCTCAGCCACAGCCTATCCTGCACCGTGTACAAGCAGATGCTGTGCCTTTTCAATGAGGCATTGTGCTATGGCTCCACGCTGGCGCTGCAGGACATGCTGCCCGAGGAGACGTGCAAACTGGCGCACCAGATCGTCTGCCACGTACGTGGCTTCCGCATCTTGGAGTCGTTGCCTCGTCGCCAGCCGGACAACATGGTCAGCCTAATCGGATACAATGGCAGGCCACTAGTTTATGCCAATGGCACTATTACCCTGGCCCAAGCGGCACATTCTGTTGGTGGCGGCCAGGATGACGACAGAGAGAGTGGAGTGGCGCCACTGGACCTCATCGAAATGGACAAGACGCTGCTGCAGAAAATGGTCCTCCTGGTGCTCAAGTCGATAGCGGTGACGGTAAAGGAGATTCGCAGCGATTCCTCGGATTCTTCCATCGATTCCAGCGACTATGATGCCTTCCAGGACATGATGCTCATTGAACGCTCGATCCGCGATGTTCTGAGCAAGCTGGAGACGTTCATCAAGCAGACGCTGGAGTTCCATCCGGAGTGCCACTTCAGCAAGATACTGATCCACCTGTTCGACGACCAGGACGACCATCTGATTGAGGCCATGGTCTGCACGCTGGACGTCACTTCGGGCATCTCGTTCCGCAACAACGCCTTTCCCGAGCTGGTGGCCATGCTGAATCCGGTGTACACATTCCTGGAGTTCCTCAAGATGACGTCGAACAGCTCGGACCTTCTTCTGGACCTGCTGGTGAGCAACGAGACCTGTTTCCTGCTTTACCTGCTGCGTCTGCTCAAGTACATCCGCATGAACTGGACAATGTTCGTGCACAGCTGTCACACTTTCGGCATGGGCAGCGCCATGCTGGACGAGGCGATGGGCGTGCTCATCCGACTGCGGCTGCAGATATCCCGCCTGGTGTCGCGCCAGCTCTATCCCTACGACATTTCGCCGGTGCTGCGCCTGCTGGAGAGCTGCGAAAGTCTCTACGAGGGTAACGAACTGAGCTGAATGCGGCGCAGGCCTGAACTTCCAACCACATGCAATTAAAATACGTAATTTATTTTAATATTTAATGGAATAGGAGAAACTAGCGCAAAATTCGATGAAGAAGGAAGCCTTGTAGAATACGTGTATTAGCCGTAGGTACCGCTCCGACCATATCTCCGCACCCCGATCCAATAACGCGATAACCGTAGTTAAGTTCTTGCACCCTTTCATCCGCTTCGCAGGCCTTTTAACCTAGATACATAACTGTATGTAATTGTCATTGTAATGAGCATCACAAGTTCGTAGTTAGTTCGTAGTTAATGGTTATATCATAGGTACTGAATTCCAAACTAAACACTACGCTAGCCTAAGATTTTTTTAATCTTGCCCTAAGTAGAATAATGTACAATAGGATGGCAAAATGGCAAACGTTGATCCACTCTCCGCGGAAAGTGAGCATAAATTCGGTGTCTTCAAGAAGAATATTCTTTGTACGTTTTTTAAAACACTTGAATAATATAACTTAATTAACTGATTAAAAGAAACGCATTAAGAACTACTAAGTTTGATATTTAAAATTATTGTGTTAAAATACTGTAGTCTCTTTGCAGTTTCAAAGGTGGTTGGTCTGATTAGTACTCGGAATTTAATGGCGATTAATCATGCGGACGCGACGTTTTGGATCGACAGTTCCACTGGGAGTGACACTGACATCCTGAGTCTGGCCAGTGAGGCTTATCACCGAGCCACGTCTCGTCAATTCGGGTGGATATGGACTTGATACGTGAACCGTTTGATAGTTAATGCTGATCGGAACCGAAGAGCGACGATTTAGGCGGGGCTCTAAAGAAGAAAGTAGTGTTTCTTAAGGACCGTGGCACAATTAGTTGGACTTTACCAAAACGATTGTCTCCTGAACCTGGTCTAAATGGATGTTGTTGTTGACTCGGCCGGCTGACCAAGGGAGATATGACCCTGTGATGGTATTCCAGAACTTTCGGAGCAGCCTTTGTAAAGCCTCCTTCCTCGTTCTGTGTATACTTGTATCGATCCACCGACACGGAACGCTCATCGCCGAGTATATGCCGTCGCCGGAAGATCGGGGACTCATCAACTTTGGCATGCATATGGGGAAATGGAGATCGGTCAGTTTCAGGTGAGAGATCGCAGAGATTTGCAGGAAAGCCCATTCAAACAGAGGAAATGAAACGCAAGCTAACATGGCTACGTAAATTGATCACAGGAAAGCACATAGTAATTGATTTATTTTACGTTTACACACATATAGGACAGTAATATATACTTGAGTATGTACAACCTTACATTCAGTACAGTTTCACAAAGAAGTGAAGGGGAGGTAAACAGTGGAGGTCGTTCAAAAACATAGATAGTAAACGAATTATCGAACCCGAAAAGTGCGGTAGTAGGATAGATGTATAGAGATTAAAAGGACACACTATAGGTACACAATATACAGTACATTTTCCGAAAAAGTCAGAAAATTAGCTCCCATTCAAGAGTGGACAGTGCTTTACGATACAGAAAATTGGCTAACTCAGTACATAGTAGTAGATACATTTAGATTTTTACGATAACAATTCACTTGATCCCTCGTTAACACGGTGTGTAACCACCTGGCCCAGCGAGTTAAAATTTTGGCAAAGATTTTGGTGAAATACCTTTTGATGACCGCCGATCTTGCTTGTGGATTTGGGCGTAGGATTGCAGAGAGCAGCGGCGCAGTCGTTTGTCCCCTTTGTTCTGCTGCCGAAGAGGGAATATTTACGGGTTTATATGAAGTGGTATGCATGGCAATCTTACCGATTTGTAATGCTGATTGATGTCGGAGGCGGCCTTCAGCAGCAGATAGATAAAAACCAGGGCGAATAGGTAGATAATGGGCTCAGCCGTGTTGCTCTTCTTGGTCGCATCCTTCTTCTTGCCCTCCAGGGATTTACCCAATCGAGGTTGCTTGCTGACCCCATTTCCAATGGCATTTTTTGATCGTTTGGTAGGCTTGCCTTGGGGTCTCTTTGAAACTTGGTTTTCCGATGAACTTCGATCGGAATCCTTGCCGAAAATATCAATCTTCTGACAGGACGTGTCTGGAGTCTGGGTTTCCAAATCCTCATCCATGGCTTCTGGCTGCGAGTCACCCTCTTGGAAATTGTTCAGGTCAAAAGCAGCCACGCCCGGCTTGAAATAGTACCTGTAGTTGCGCTGCACACCAGCCACTATGAGATACACAGTGCAGAGCACTACAAGGATGCCAAGCGGCACCACATGGTGGTTGTTTGTATCCTTGTTCCTGCTTGCGCCACTCGATTTCCTGTGCCTGGGAGTTGCAGGTGCTTTGGTCTCATCAGGCAAAGCAAATTTATCCCCAGTTGCCGATTTCATTGCCCGGTGTTTACTATTTGTTAAGCGACGACTGTGTGTATCTGTTGACTGCGAGTCCTGTTTGCGTTTGCAACGGAAAATCGATACGGATTACCTTCACAGCCTCACATTATGGGTGTACATCGAATTCCGCGAGTCCTTTAAAGGTCAAACGACCACAGTGGAAGCGCCGACTAGTGTGCTTGTTTCTGTATATTTTATTGAACTTATTGCTCTACTTTTACAACAGTCTAAACTGTTTCAGATATAACACTCTCCGCCACCACTAAACCACACATGTTTGTGTGTATGTCTAACCTGAACTTTGACATTCAAGTGGCGAAAGCGTTAAGTTTGAATTCTTGAATTACGAGTCTTAAATGATATGGAAGTAAACACTTAACAAATTAGATAATTATTTACAAATAGTTATAATGCTTCAGCATTCAAAATATCCATTGGACATTCCGGTGAGTTGGTCGAGTATATCTGAAATAGATCCTATTTTATTTTAAAACCTATTGATTGCAAAACGTTAAATTTACCTGTAATTTGCAGATCTGCTGACTGATTGCTGATCGTGGTGTAGAGTTTTCTGCTTTCAGCAATGTTTTGGCGCTTGAACATGACAGTTCGTAAACTTTCTTCTGAAAATTTAATTATTTTAATAATTTACTTAGCCATATTTTTAAATACCAATCCACTTACTTCTAAGCACATTTCCATTAGGTTTTGCTTGAAGCGATTTAATGTCCAAGGCATTTGTGGTCAGTTTATTGTCCTTGGTTCTATTTACTCTGGCCCTACGTTGTGTATCGTAGAGAATACTTCCGCCGTGACCTGTTGTAAAGCCCGAGAATTGGGTTAGATCTTCGGGATCCCCTTTTGTTTCGTTCGACTCATCTACTAAAAGGGGGCCCTGGGTATTGGGAAGCCCATCGTCGTGCTTGCCAGCTCCAAAGCAGCCGTGCAGCTTTCGCAAAACCGTACGCAGGATCTTGAAGCGCTTGAGGATTCGCTGCGGCTCCACCTGGGATGCGCACATCAAAATGGCCTTGCACTCGCGCAATATGCGGATGAATTGGTGATAGTACTCCTCGCCCACTTGGTTCTTCGTTTCGGCCAGCACCTTTCGGTTGACCTCCAGATGAAAGTGCTCGACTAGCAGCAAGGAAATTTGTGCCAAGTCCTCCAATCGCTGCCTGTCATACAGCTTTTCGGTGGCGCTGATGCCTGAGGTAAGAATCTCCAGGCAACAACCTAAGAGGGCGCGACTATCAATAATTTCCTGTAGCGCCGCCTTAAACTTGGCCGCTTCCTCGTTGAAGTGCTGCTCTAGGACATCCGAGTGCAAGTCGGAGCCATGGGCCTGTAGAGAAGGTATCAATGTGGTGTCCAGCGACTCAAAGGAGGCCAGACAGCTGCGCATCATTGTTTTCACTGAGGAGAAATAGGACTTGAGTTAAAGATTTTCTTTCTGATGTATTTGTTCTTACTTTTTAAGTTTGGGGCAAAGGAAATGGCAAATATGCCGATCTGAGTGGCCCGATCGATGTTCACGTCAAAGTCGGCTATAAATTCATCAGCCAATGCATCATCATCCGAACTGTTCCTCAGCAGGGTCCTTATTTTGTCCACTGAAAACTTCTCAAAGTCCAGGAAGCAGGTGAATACCAAACGCAACAGGGCATCGTTGATAAAGTCTTCCAATTGAAAGAGCGCCTGCTCCAGGGTCATGGCCTTCAGCTTGAGATTGGCGTGGTGGGATGCACTAGGCACCTGGCACTCTTCTTGAAAAGCATTGCATTCGCGGATAACCTGGAAGGACAGCTGGACAATAGGGGAATCGTATTGGTTGAATATACCCACCTTTTGGCACAAGGCACTGAGAGCCTTTTTATCCTGCGACAAGGCCACATTGGCGAATCCCAGGGATTGTCCCAGAATCAGATCTATGTTGGCACGAACATTTTGGCTGAGGTGGAGGACTTCCTGGGGGGATTTGGAAAGGTTCGAGGGGTCACAGTTTTCCTCATTGTGGGACGTGAACAGGGCCAAAGTGTCGAGAGTGGCATCCACCAGTTTTAGAAAGGAGCGCTCCGGACAAGCTGCATGCCCTTTTGAGCCGTCGCTGTACAGATGCAATAGACGTTTAAGGCACCATCGTATACGGTCCAGGAAGTACTGATGACTGACCTGGTTTAAATTGATTATAATATTATGCTATAAAGATTATAAATAATGAATTTACCGAAGCCGAAGTGCCGCATGCCAGTTTCATGGTGTTCTCCACCTGTCGTATGCAGATCATTATCTGGCTCAGGCAGAGGCAAACCAACTCCGAGGACTCGTTCTGCTTCTGGGAGCACAAGGAGCTGTGAACCAAAGTGGAAAATTCCAATAGCGCGGCACATAAGTCCTGCAAAAGAAAGCAACAAGTGAGTATCTTTTTTTGCAGACAATTATCCTCTTTCGGCGTACATTTAACCAGTTTACGTCTTCTCCATTACTCCTGTTTAATATAAGCAGGCAGAGCTCCAGTTTCTTTTTCAGAACTTCCATAATTAGTAGTAAATTGGAGTTTAGTTTATAAAGCCTAGTATCCACTTCGACGTAAACCGTACGCCAGTCATGAGAGAGAGCGAGAGGCAAACAGCTGGCGTTCACTTTTCGTCGGGCCTTTTTTTCACTTCGGTCTCCTGATCGACGAAAAAAATACCAGAAAATTGCATAGCGTTGCCAGTCTGCGGAAATGAACTTTGGGTGAACCCTAGCGGAAAGATTAAAAAATTTAATCTTTTGGCGTGCGCTTCTCACTGAACATTATAAGAAATGGAGGGAAAAACTCAAAAAACTCACAAAAGTCGATTGCAGGTGTTTACATGTGAGGACAAAATAACATTAATACTATCTGGGGTGCCTCTTGTCAGAGCAAAATGTTTTTAGGTCCAGAATGTACGAAAAAACACAATAAAAGTGCAGCTATGAACTTTAAATTAGCAAATAATTATCAATAAATAAAAAAAAAACAACTGTTAAATTTAAATTGTATTGTTTTTTTATTTCTTTGTACAGCGGCAGACTTGTCTTGCCAAGGTATTTGATAATATCTTTTAAAGGCTCTTTCCCGCAAATACGATATTTGAATTTTAACTGCTTGTCAACAAACCCAGCTGATTGTCAGTACGACCGTAGCACGCTTAAATCCGATGAACTCTCGAAATTTTGGTCACACTGGAAAGATTAAAGTTTTTACGCTAGCATACTCGTTTGTCGATCTGGATACTAGGCTTAAAGCAGAAAAGTAAACAACTTTTTCAAAAAAAGTGGCTTGAGTTTTGTGCGAATGGCAATGGTATATTTGCACGCACTAGTGCGTTTTATTTCTTTGGTATTTTTCCCTTTTTGCTCCTATTTCAACTCAACATTGCGGAAAATAAAACTTTTAAACATATTAAAATAATTATTTTTCCAGTTTGATTTTACAAATTTTGTAAAACCCAGGGTGGAAGAAGGAAATATTCTCCTCTGATGGAGTTGTTGTTGTTAACCTCCGGTTAAGTTAAGTAAAAAAAATAAAACTATGGCTGTTTACTTGATTTACTGCCAGCGATAGAAATCCTTAGTCCTATTTTTATGAAATCCCAGATAATAAATAAATCAAAAAATATGTATTTGTATTATTAAAAATTTCATTAATCCTTAAATGTTTCGATACTTAGATTGTCAAACATTCTGGTGGTGTTGGGAATCAGAAAGCAAGTTAGTTTCTGAACAAATATTTGTTTACTTATTTTGGTTATCAGGCGATAAGAAGCTTGGACTCTAATAAAACAAAGAACATTTAAATTTTTAAACATAATAGCTACTTTGCATTGCAAGACGTATTGTCTTACTAAGCAGTGGTTATTTTGGCACTTTTTTCAGTAAGCAGTGTCATATTCGACACTTTACTCAGTAAGCAGTGGTTTTAACATTCGTTAGAGATAAAAATGCATCGAAGTTAGCATCTTTTGAAGAATCGATGTTTATTTGGCGGAATAATAAATAAATATTTGAATTTCCTTAATTTTTACTTTATATATTTCGGGCGATTACATTACATTACAACATTAATTACAGTGCAATAATCAAAGTTAATTTTGTATGGGGTATATAGTGCGTTATAAATGGAGTGGAAATAGAGTGGAATATAACAGAGTTTGAAAGAACAATGCGTAAGGTACATATGTAGTGGAAAATTACAGAGTGCTTTACAACTGGTGTGGAATCTTTAACAGTTCGCAAAAACAGGAGTGGAATTGTTAACAGTGTGCAAGAACTGGAGTGAGATTTTCAAAACCTCGATTGTTTTTTGGCCAAACACGATATCACCGATATTTTTCAAACATCGATGTTGGCATCGATGTTTCTCCACCTCTACTCTTTTAGCAAAAACTTGTAGAAAATTGTCAATTCGCTGGTACTTGTATATCCATGTGAAGAAGAGATAAGCCCAAAACTCTTCCCGTCGCCCACGCCACGTCGCACAGTTGCGCACCGCCAGAAATATTAAAAGCAGGCCAAAGAGACCGAGAGAATTACGGAAAATGAGTTCTTCAAATGCGGGACAGCGCACCAAGCTGATACAGGAGAAATGCCAAACCCTTTTGACGCAGATGCTCCGCGACGAGGATAACAAATACTGCGTGGACTGCGATGCCAAGGGTAGGTAGATTAGGTCCGAAGATCTCCATCTCTTCTGGACGGAAGATACGCCTCTTAGTGACGCACGAATGTGCATATACACACCACACATGCAGATGCACTGCGAGAAAAGCACTTGTCTAGTGATTAGCCATTAAATATACCTTTCTTCAGGTCCCCGCTGGGCCTCCTGGAACCTGGGCATGTTCCTCTGCATCCGCTGCGCCGGCATCCATCGAAACTTGGGAGTGCACATATCGCGGGTCAAGTCTGTCAACCTGGACACCTGGACGCCGGAACAGGTCATCTCACTGCAGCAGATGGGCAACTCGCGGGCCCGCGCCGTCTACGAGGCGCAGCTGCCGGACGGATTCCGCCGCCCACAGACGGACACGGCGCTGGAGAACTTCATCCGGGCCAAGTACGAGCACAAGAAGTACCTGGCCCGCGAATGGGTGCCGCCCTCGCCGCCCAAAGTTGACTGGGCAAAGGAGATCGACGAGGAGCTGGAGCGGCAGAAGCGCAAGAAGAAGTCCACCCAGGCCCAGGCCACCTTGGGCCTCGGGGGTGTGTCCAGTGGCAGCGGCGACAAACGTCTAGCCGGCGCCCTAAAGAACGCCCCTCTGCCCGCACCGCTGCCCAAGCCGAAACCAAACCAGGTAGGTGGCTGCAGCCCCAAGACGACGCAGCGCGTCCAATTGAATACCAGCGGCGCCAGCAGTGCCGGCGAAAGCGACCTCTTGGGCCTGTCCTCGCCCACCAAGCCCATTGCCGCGACCAGTGCCAGCCAAGACCTGCAAAACGAAAGTTTCACCAGCTTTCTCAGCGCCGAATCGATTGCCGGACAGCCTGATAAGCCGAACGGCAGCAACGGTGACGTTGCCAATTTGCTAGGCTCGAAGCCCAACTCGCTGGCACAGGAGGAGCAGGACTTCTTTAACCAGGGCTCACTGGGCGCTTCGGGAAGCGAGAAGGACCAGTCCGGCAAGATGTCCAAGGACAGCATCCTTGCGCTGTACGGCAATGCGCCGGCCGCCCACAATCCACAGATCAACTTTGGCGGCTTTACGGGTATGGCCCCAGGCGGATACATGCATCAACAGCAGCAACAGCAGATCCCCCACCAGTTCATGACGCCACCGAACTCGGTCAGCATGTACAATTCGCCAGTCATGGCTGCGCCCAACGCGTTTAGCAACGCTCCCATCAGCAGTGCCACTGCCATGAGCATGGGTGGCACACACGGCTTCGCCGGCGCCCAGTTCCCTAGCACTGGCGGCAGTCCTTATTCTGCTGGAGGACAGGGAGCTGCAACGAATCTTATGCAAACGAACCAGAGCATTCTCAGTGGGATGCCGCTGTTTGGAGCAGTGCCCCAGCAGCAGCAACAGCATCACCCGCAGCTGGGCGGACTCTCCATTAACTTGATGCAGCCCCTACCCAGTGGACTGAACATGGCCCAGCAACAGGGATCGGGCGGATTTGCCGCCACCGGCCCAACCACCTCCTCAGTACCATCAAATCTGAACCAACAATTTGGAAACCTTAATATCGGTAATGTCTGGCAATAAATACGAAGTGTATTTATGTAGTTGTATTCCTTTAATTAATTTTAAGACACGAGTGCTTGTCTCAGTGTTGCAACATGTGTGTGAGACGATGATGCTGGTTTATATGCATTCGATTTGAACAACAACTTGCCAATTTAGTTAGTTGTCCTGAGAGGATTCGGAGCGAAACTATACGTATTTATAGAAGAATTCACTGTCAAGCAAGCTACTGTATTAAACGATGTTCATGTCCACTAACGATCGCGTCTGCTCGTTCAAATCTATTCCAATTATACCATAATACATACACGTGTAACACCCAACTAATTAAAATTCAACTACGAAACTTAATGCACTTCCCAATCAAATGTACATGTTTTTTGAAACATTAGCTAGGTATTTGATACACATGCATAAACAAATCGTCCACGCCAGGGTGTGAATGTAAAGAATAAAGATTTGGCAACGTACTTTTTAAATCCCTGATATCCCTAAGAACACATTCACGCCAGTTTGTCAATGTGAGTCTTAAATATCATGGCTGGCGAGTCGACGGATTTATTGTATTCGATTTTTAAGTTGCTATGTCTAAGAAATAAATCAAACCACTTCGAACTGTGTAATAATAAAATAATCAGACTATTGTAGGTGTTTTGTTTGTTTCAAATGTCGAAAAATTACATTCATTTTGAAGAAAATGCTTTTTTTTTTAGGATTGTATCATTTTGAAGAAAATGCTTTTTTTTTTAGGATTGTATCATTTTTAATTAATTTTGTCCCTTCTTGCTATACCAATGATTATGATTCATGTTTTATTAAATCTATGAAAATCTGGGAAATCTAAGTAGAACTAGACTTAATCGAACCAAGCCATTTACTTATCATAAATTTAGATTTCCAATCAATTTGAATTTCTACTTTCCCGCCTGACTTGCCATTCGCAGGAATTTGATTTTTGTTTTGCCATTTACCCCGAAACGCCGGCACACCCCGCCGCCTGCAATACACGTCAACTTGGAAAATAAATAAAGCAAAGCAAAATATAAATATTCGAGCTATCGAATCTCAGAAAAATGAGTGACAAAGTCCAAGAGTCGGAGCAAAAGCTCCAGGAGAAGTCTACCAAGGAGGCATACTTCGCCAGCCTCGCGGAGTGGACAAAACAGGCTACCATTGCCCAGAACGCGATGCTTATGTTTCCGTACTATTTAATGGCCAACTATCCTCAGTTGTTCCAGGGACAAGTGACTCCTTTTCCTGGCCTCCAGTCAGCTCCATTGGGGCAGTCTCCTTCGGCGGCTCCTCCTCCCCCAGTTCAGGGAGCGAGGCCAGCTGCTCCGCCAGGAGCCCCTGCTGCTGCTGCTCCTCCGCCTCCACAAAACTTTAGTCGGCTGCGAGTCCTGGACGAGGCCCAGCAATTGGAGACTATACAGCGACTGGGCGGCTACGAGTACGTCCTAGCGCCCTTCTGGAAACGTGCCGTGGCGGAGACCATCGACATTTTCATCCTGTTTGTCCTGAAGATCATCATCACATTCGGGGTAGTCAACCTGTTCGACATGGACTTTGACGTTATGCGTCGCACATTGGAAGAGGAAGACCTGCTTGTAAACGTTTTCGACATCTCGCTGGACTTTATAACAGTGTCCACCGATCTCCTTCTCATCGAGCTGCTGACAAAGTTAACAGTTTGCTGCTACGAGGCGCTTTGGACGTTCCTCTACAATGGTGCCACGCCCGGCAAGTCGCTAATGAAGATTCGCATCCACTATGTGGAGGCTGTAGTACCGCTGCAGGCGCCTGCCCTGCCACAATTCGTGCTCCAGCCGCAGAGGGTGCCGATAAGGGCCCTTCTCTATCCGGCCCAGACGCCTACGCTGATGCGCTCCTTTGCACGCTCCCTGGCCAAAAACTTGGTAATGACCCTGCTCTTCCCAATCTGCGTAATGATGATCTTCTTTAAGAACAACCGCACCGGTTACGACATCATGACGAAGACGATAGTGGTGGAGACTGACTCCAACGCCGTGTTCCGCACCCAAGTGCCACCGCAGCGCAACGGGTGAGCACGGACGGTAAACCAGTCAAAGTGCCTAGGAATTGTGCACTCTTTCCTATGCATATATAGACGCTATTGTTAAAGCTAAATTTAATGTCGTTATGTACTGCTATCCTGTGAAATAAAATTAAATCTCAAAAACGTTTGCATTAGAGTCTTGCGTTCATTAACAGTGTTTGAATAATAATTGTGATTTAATGATTAAATAATTTCTTCGCATTAGCATAACGATTATAAGATTTATTAATGGTTACTATCTAGAAACTGGGAGAATACTGAGCCCATATTCCTTTTGTTAATTCTTGCAGGACTCTTGTTTGCAGAAAGCTTTTGCAGGCGGTGATGTTTCGTTTATTGGCTCACTTTACATTGACGTTCTTCAGGGTTTGGGCCACCACGTTGCCCTTGCCGGGAACATGAAGGGCGGCACCCTTGTAGCAGGCCACTAGATCGCCGTTGGTCATCAGGTCCGGAGCACACGCCTCGAAGATCTTCTTCTTAGGGTTGAGCTGGGCATCGGGCTGGCGTGGATAGCCCTCGCAGTGGACCAGATCGCCGGGCACGGCTCCGGCGGGCGGACTAAGCACCTCCACCTTATCCGGCGTTGAGGCACACATGACCATCGCCTCAGAAGTGACGCCGCGCATCTTGGCCGGCTTCAGGTTGCACATGACCACCACCAGGCGATTCTGCATCTCCTCCAGGGGTACAAACTTCACCAGACCTGACACCACGGTGCGCGGGGCGGCCTCGCCGCAGTCGATTTTCTCTAGATACAGGCTGTCGGCGTCGGGATGGCGTCCCACCTCCACAATCTTGCCCACACGCAAATCCAAACGGCCTACGTCCACGGGAGCCTCTGGAGCGGCGGCTGGTTTCTCAGGGGCCGGTTTCTTTTCCTTGACCTTCTTTTCCTTGGGCTCCTTGGACACCTTGGTGGCCTCAACGGTGGAAGCAGGTGCACCTCCAGTCGGAGGTGCTTCTGGTGCCGCACTAGTGCAGAATCCCCGGGATCCTGGCACTGGAATCTGTTTTTTGCCATTCCTCAGCTCCAGCTGCACCAATTGGGCCAGTGCGGCCTCCACCTCCTTGGCCAGTTCGGCGTTCTCCTTGATCAGATCCTGCTTCTGGCGCTCCACAAGTTGTTGCTGGATGCCAGAAATCTGGTGGGCAGGAGGTTATCAAAAGTACGGCAGATGATAGCAAGCGGGAAAACTTGCCTCAGCTTCAATGGAGTTGATCAGCGCTTCGGCGCGCTCGTTGTTGTTGGCAATCAGCTGCAGATCGGACATGGTTCTCCTGTTTTTCTCGAATTTCGTGAAATACTTTTTACATGCGGATCCCACAGTCGTGGCAGTTTTACGTAGCATTGCAGTTCTTCTTCTTACACTTAACAGTCGCGTCGCCGCACATTGGACAGGTTGATTTTTTGGAAGGGGATTTTATCCGCAGCCCAGATAGGGTCACACTGATCAGTGCAAACGCAAAAACGGCTGGCAGTTTTGAGCAAAATTAAAAATAAACAATAAACACACGGAGGCCATCACCGTGCCGCAGATGGATTACGTTTATTGCGGCACCGACCCGATCGGCGCCTCCGAGGACATATTAAGTGGGTCAGGGGGTCACTTTTCGGATCAACGCTCACACACATACACATACAAGCCAACTAAGCTTTCTCCTTTGTTTTCTGTTTACTTTTTGCAAAAGGTGTTTATGACGCGGGATCTGCGCGAGGAACCGGGCACTTTTCGCCCAGCTTCAATGGCTTCAACATTGGCACCACGGAACCGGACTACGTGGAGCTGGTACCGGTGCTCGCTGACGGCGGGGAGCACTTTGGGGTCTCCAGCGTGGCGTTTGACGACTACGAAGAGCTGGTCTGGATGGGAAATCAGGGAGTGAGTCCATTTCCACAACCAGGGTTTCCGCTTCTAATAAATCCTTTTGTCGTTTCCCAGGGCCATGTAACCTCTTACTACACTAGCTCTATGCAAAAGTACACCTCCTTTCAGGTGCACCCCAATGACATTGTGCGCCAGATCACCACCCTGGACTCCGGAGTGCTGGTGCTCACGCAGACTTCGTTGCGCCACCAGATCCGCAGGGGCCTGCCCAAGTTCACCCATAAGTATGCCACAATCTGACCCAAAGTTGCCACGAAATCATATCTAATCCACCTTGCAGGTCCAACAACATGACCGAAATGGTAAGCATGCTGCAACTATCGCCAAACCGCCTGGTCATGGCTGGGCTGCAGGAAGAGCTCATCGACTTTGACTTGCGCACTCTCAAGGAAACCCGGCTAGAGCATGTGGGAGCCGCTGGATGCACTGTGCTGCGCAAGAACTCTCGCTTTTTATTTGCCGGCGACCAGCTGGGCACGGTCACTTTGCGCGACCTGAACAGCCTGAGTGTCCAGCATACAATCAAGACGCACGCCAATGTACTCTCGGACTTTAGTGTCCAAGGCAACCTGCTCATTTCCTGTGGATACAGTGGTCGTCAGAATAACATATCCATCGACCGCTTCCTCATGGTCTACGATCTACGTATGTTGCGCCTTATTTCGCCGATTCAAGTGGTGATTGATCCGCAGATGTTGAAATTCCTGCCGTCACTTACATCTCGTCTGGCCGTCGTGTCCAGCTACGGGCAGATTCAGCTGGTTGACACTGTGGAGCTCAGCGAGCCGCGTGTCTCCATGTATCAGATCATCACCAATGGCAGCCAGTGCCTTAGCTTCGACATAAGCTCCTCCTCTCAGGCCATGGCATTTGGCGATCAGTCGGGCCACATCAACATGATTGCTGCGGTGCAGACGCCCCAGCCGCAGTTCAATCCCTTCTCGCGAAACACAGAGTTTGCAGACGTTGTCCCTCAGCTGCCGATGGTCTCCATCACGGACACCAACTTCCCGCTGTCGTCGGTTATGCTGCCCCACTTGACAACGGGCACGCAATGGTTCTCGGACTGGCCGGAGGAACTGCTGCGCTATCGCTACCACAGGCCCAAGACCATTGATCCCGATGTGCTGAACAACATGAAAATGCAGGGACCTATTGGGTACTCGCCTAACCCGCGCACCATTCGCCGGAATCAAATTCCGTACGTTATTGAACAGGGAGGCATATGTAGCGCAAATGGGAATGGAGCTGCAGCGGTCACCAAGGCAGAAAACGGCGTCAAAATCATTCCAAGACGGTATCGCAAAGTCGAGCTTAAGTACACAAAGCTGGGCACACAGGACTTCGACTTTGAGCTACATAATCAAACTTGTTTCGCTGGACTGGAGGCAACATTGCCTAATTCTTATTGCAATGCCATGCTGCAGGTTCGAATTCCTTGATAGTCAGGCTAATCCTAATTTATTAACTATTCAATTTCGTATAGGTACTATATTTCACAGAACCGCTGCGTATAAAGCTGATTGAGCATTCCTGCACCAAGGAGTTTTGTTTGTCCTGCGAACTGGGTTTCCTTTTCAACATGTTGGATAAGAGTACTGGTTAGTTAGCCCTCAAAATCTTGCTCCTGCTTAGAAAATAAAGTTTTCTATGCGTTTTTCAGCTTCTTCACCATGCCAAGCCAGCAATTTCCTGCGCTCTTTTCGCACTGTACCGGAGGCCTCGGCATTGGGCTTGATTCTCACGGATCGCTCCTCCAATGTTAACCTTATCACTCTCATACAGGTTAGTAATTCCATTGATTTATAACCAGATATTTAATCTATGCACACCCTCAGAACTGGAACCGATTCATTCTGCATCAAATGCATTACGAAATCTTCGATTCCAGCAAGAACAGCTCCGCCTCAAGCGCATTTGTGCAAACATCTACAAACGGTAAATCTACAATTACATTTATATTCGAATTAAATATATGATTTTGTTATAGTTGAAAACACGAGCCCGTCTGAAACAAGTGGCTCCTCGGACATGTATGACTCCATATGTGGTGAGTAGATAATATAACTTTCAATAACAATTTTTTTTTTCAATCTTATTTCCCACTTTAAGCTGATGAGAGCTCTAAAGAGGAAGAACGGGAACGCAGTAAGATTAACGCAGAAACGGAAATCAGTAAAATCTTTGGGACAAAGCAAATTTGTGTAAACCGCTGTATAAAATGTCAAGTGGAGAAATCAAAGGAAAACATTTTACTTGCCTGCAATATGTCGTACCCTACCCACATTAAGGATAGTGAGCAGTATTTCAACTTTGACACCATTTTGAAGCGTTCTCTCAGCTCCGAGAAGAGCATACAGGCCTTCTGCGAGAACTGTAAAAAGTTTTCCCCAACTAATCAAAGCGTGAAGGTAATAATCGAAGCCGATTTGAAACATATCCTTACAATAGTTAGATTAAATAATTGAAACCTAGAAAAATACTTACTTTCTTTCATAAGTAATTAGTAATTCGAATTGTAGCTAAACCGATGTCACAAATTCAACCAAAACTAGTCGTCGACTCATATTTCTTCAATCCTTTTGAGCGACACTGCAAAAACAGCTTTTAAAACCCTTATAACAAACATTTCCAAGTTAACTTATAGTTTATTTAATTAATTACATTTTAAACAGGTCAATTCCCTTCCTCAAATGCTGGCTATTAACTGCGGCCTAAACAACGATAAAGACATTAGCTTCCTCAAGCGTCAGCTTAATCGCTGCAGCGAAAAGCCGTCTGCCGATGCTGCAACTTCTTTGAGCACTAGTAAACCATGCCGCTATGGAGCCAACTGTTCTCGGAGCGACTGTCATTTCATGCATCCGGATCGGTTAGCTATCTTATATCTGAACCCTGTCCTTATAATTATATTCCTCTCAAATTGCAGAAAGTCGCCTTCGCACACAAATCAAGCAAATAATACCAATAGTTCTCCTAGTGGTCGTCAGAAGTCATGGTTTCCCCTCACTTTTAACATGTGCATCAACGACCAAGGAGAACTGCAGGTGCAAACTCAATCAGATGCAGGAGCTGGAAAATCGGAGCAGGAGGAGGAGGGTGAAAAGTCACAAACAAAGAGTGGAGACAACAATCGAATGTACGCTCTACATGCTGTGGTCTGCCAAGTCGATGATGGCACCCAAAAGAACTTGGTGTCCCTGATAAATGTGCAGCGGCAATATCACACCATGAAACTGGCGGAATCCCCAGAGGATCCCCAAAATCAATGGTACATTTTCAATGATTTCAGGTGAGTTCGGTCCATTAATATTAATAATTTGTCAAGTTATAATATTGTTATTAATATTGCTAGCATTTCTCCCGTATCGCCACAAGAATCGGTATGGTTTACTTTGGATTGGAAAGTGCCCTGTGTATTGTTTTACAGGAGCGTGGAGGATGATTCCGAATCTGCGAGTACTACGAGCTCCACCGTCACTGAAAGTGATGAAACCGTTCCATCTGAGAGCAGCAGCGACTCACCCTCAATCTTATCCAACCCCTTTTTAGAGGTGCAAACCTAAAATAATTAGATTTGTAGCGGAAAACTAATCTTCTACATTTCCAGGACATGGTAAATCCTATAACAGGCAACGTAAGTACGGACGCCACACTGAAGCCGCTACAAACGAACGAGATGCCGCAGTCGGGTGACTTGGTCGCAATGGATGCTGAGTTCGTTACCCTAAATCCGGAGGAAAATGAAATTCGACCAGACGGAAAGACGGCGACTATCAAGCCATGTCATATGAGCGTGGCCCGAATTTCATGTATTCGGGGGTAATTTCATTGTCCACATCTTTAGATCCTCCAGATAAAATTAATTGCATTTTTAGGCAAGGATCTGATGAAGGAATTCCATTCATGGATGATTATATCTCCACTCAGGAGAAAGTAGTGGATTACCTAACACAATTCTCGGGGATAAAACCTGGTGATTTGGATGCCAACTTTAGCAAAAAGCGATTAACTGCACTTAAGTACTCATATCAGAAATTAAAATATTTGGTCGATGTTGGCGTAATATTTGTTGGACATGGCCTGAAAAATGATTTTAGGTGGGAATAACATGTACAACAATTTAAAAGAAATTTTAATCATTTTTGATTTTTAGGGTCATTAACATTTACGTGCCGTCCGAGCAAATAATTGACACGGTACACCTGTTCCATCTGCCACACCATCGAATGGTGTCATTGAGATTTCTGGCCTGGCATTTTTTGGGTATGTACTTGCTACTCTTCGACATTGTTCTGTTTTTTAACCGGATCTTGAACAACAACAGGTACAAAAATACAATCCGAGACGCACGACTCCATCGAGGATGCCCGGACCACTTTAGAGCTGTACAAACACTATTTGAAACTGCAGGCAGACAAGAAGTTTGCCAACGCCCTCAAAACCCTTTACGATCGAGGAAAGCTGCTTCAGTGGAAGGTGCCGGAGGACTGATACGTTGCCGAACCCTTTGCCCATTCGACGAATTGCATAATCAAAGTAATCGTCAGTACAAATGCTACTCCGATCTGAAAACCCCTGCTTTCCCTTTATTATTATGTTTTGATTCGTTTATTTTTGCTACGGAGCTTCTGGTATTTAATTTTGTATTTGTCTATCTTTATAACAAAATCAATGGAAAACATAAAAATTGTATATCTTATCAGTAATCTACTTTTGGTTGTTATTGTGCTAGACCTCCCAATTAAAAGATCATCAATTTGTTTACAAAATGCACAATCAGGTTGGTAGACAAAGGCAATGCCTTTACTGATTGGCAATTCGTGTGGGTCAATTCGATGAATTGAGTGCGTTCTGAAATTCCCATTCGTACTCCCTTATCAACATGGACGTTCGGGAATTTTTCGGAGGCTGTCGCTAATTTGATGAGTACCTGATCTTGGTCTACTGCGCAGCTACTTATAAATACCACGAGCAAGTCAAGCCAGTTAGTTAGAGCTCAGTATTCCGTCAGAGAACACAGGTCGTAATGCGTTTTTTTGGACTACTCGTGCCGATCGTTTGCGGTCTTTTGTGCGCCGGTGAGCAACCCCATCTCCATTGCCGCACCCAACTGCGATTAATGGTCGTTTAATTACTCTCGTAGCTGCCGATCCGCAACAAACATACGACGGGCGTAATGGACCCCATGTTTTCGGAACACCCGGCAATCAAGTCTACATTCGAGGTCAAAACGATGGAGTCTACAAGGTCCCAGGAGTAGGTGGTCAATTCCAGCACAATTCATCGCCGGCGGAACACGTCTATACAGATGAACAGGGAAATACTTATGTACATCGGAAAAAGGCTGGGGGGCCAGGTAGAGAAAAATCTTGCTTAAAGCCTTTACTTAAAATCTTATTAAATATTTCTATTCAAAGGAACTCATACTATTAGAGCACCTGGTCCAGTCGTTGCACAGCCCATATATCCCGCTGTTCAGGACTCACGCTATGGACCTCTGGTTTCAGTACCTCGCAGATCTCGTAGCCCTCAGTTCCATGTGGAGCGTCCTGGACGCACTGTGGATGTGGGTCCCGGTGGATTTGTGATCCAGAGAGGTCGCCGCAGTCCCCAATTCCATGTGGAGCGTCCTGGACGCACTGTGGATGTGGGTTCCGGAGCATTTGTGATTCAGAGGAGTCGCCGCAGTCCCCAATTCCATGTGGAGCGTCCTGGACGCACTGTGGATGTGGGTCCCGGAGGATTTGTGATCCAGAGGAGTCGCCGCAGTCCCCAATTCCATGTGGAGCGTCCTGGTCGCACTGTGGATGTGGGTCCCGGAGGATTTGTGATTCAAAGGAGCAGCCGCAGTATCAACGACGGCCGCGTCCAGGGAGAGAATTTTGTGGCTCGTGACGATCAGGCTGGCGTGTGGGATGGTAATGTTTCGGTGTGGAAGCGTCCAGATGGGCGAACAGTAACCTTGGGCGCCGATGGAAGCGCCATTGTTTCCGGTCATGGACAGACTCAACACGTGAGTAGGATAAATCCACAATCGTATTTCGACCAAAAATATTAATTTTTTTCAGTACTAAAGAAATGATGTCTAATTACCTCTAGAAGAACAGAATGGTGTAAAAAACTAGTAACGATTTTAATGCTCTTTTCAATAAAATAAGAATTAAAGGCGTATTTTTTTGGTATTAAATTAAAGTGTTATTAAAAAATATGACGATGCGCACAGTGAACTCGGTTAGTCGATAAAGCCGCACATAAATGCAGCTAAAGATCAGAAATATTACATTTTCTTATCAACAGACGGTTGTTTATTTCACGGGGTAATTGATAATTTTGATAGGAAACTCAACACAGCAAACTTACATATATACATTGTAAAATGATAATTTAAATATATATAAAGGTATTTAACATTAAAACAATAATTTTGTTTTAGAATGATGATTTAAAAATTGTGTATCTATACACCAAATATAAACTTGATCAGGCAGATGCTTTTTCCAGAAAGGTTTAAGTTAATATCTTTAATTTATTGAATACTCAGCAGCAAAAAGTATGTTAAGTTTTTTAAATCCGAATTGTATTGTGGTAAATTAAGATCAATCTACTTGAGAAATCAAATATGTTTACCCAACATTTTACTTAAATTCATTTTTTCGAAGATCTTTGAAGACCCACTCTACGACTGGGTTGCGTTTTTTCCTTTACAACGGGTTCTTCCGGTTTTCGAAGTTCTTTTGTTGGTTTCGTTGATTGCTGATCAACTTGCACATTCGATTTTTTAGCGGTTTTACTCTCATTTGATGCACGAGCACGCTTTTTAGGCTGCGCTTTCGAATCGTTTTTGGTCCGTTGCGTTTTTGAAGTGGTTTCAGGTTGCCCTTCATCAGATTCCTCTGGATCATTGCAAAGGGTTTTAGCTGGCGGCTTCTCCGCAGCTTTGCGTCCCCTTTTTCGTTTTGGCTGAGAATCCTCCGCTTCACTGCTAAGAGCACGTCTCCGACGTTGGCCTTTCTTCTCTTCAACTACGGGTTCAGCATCCTCTTCCTCGATTTCGCCAGGATATGTTGTGGATTGAGCGTCTTCATCCTCATCCTGATCTGGATCCTCAGCATTACTGTCCTCTATAGATATATTACGACCATCCGATATACTGCGCTCTATGGCCGCTCTAAGATCTGTCGACTTAATGTCAAAGTCACGCATGGTTCCCAAGTGCAGGTAATCTGTAAGCCTATTCTGGCTTTTAGTCTTCTTTGACAGTAGGATTATGTGTTTGTTGAAGTCCTCGATTACCATTATTACCTTGGGAATTAGACGGGTCTCTCGCAGCACTTTGGCGCGCTCTGCCTCAACCTTTCGCTTTTTTAAATGCTGCTGCGCTTCCTCATCAAGGGTATTCGCTTCTATGTACGTAATTAGCTCATAAATATTAGCTGGAAGCTGTTTGCCCACATCACGTAGTAGCAGTTCAAATCTAACGCGAAATAAAATATTTTTACAGTTAAAAACAGGTAAAAATACGACAAAATAAACTTACTTTGTGCTTCGAATGTGTTCAATGCTTGTATCTGATGTGTAGCTCGCTATATAGTGTCTGGTTAGATTCTTCATACAAGTGAAGTGTTGGATCAGCAATTTCATGAGCCCATCCATAGAAGACCCCAGAGGTATGCAAACGTTGGTAAGAGCCAGCAAAGTCCGTGATATGTGGATTATTTGAGTGCATATAGAACGATCCATTGCATCCAAGTTACCACGCCAATATATTTGATCGATTTCGGGAACAACTTGACATTTGTAGTTTAGATTATTGGCTTTGGTTACAAAATAATCCACATCGGCCAGCTGCTTCTGAACTGCTGTATAGAGATGCTGTAAGCAACTCTCGGCAGTCACTGTACTTATCGATTTTAGCCTTAGCTCTACGGAATCCATTGGAGTGGCTTCATTTTGAACGCCGAGGATGAAACCCAATTGTCTGGCAACACCTTCAAAAAAGGGACCCAAATGGGTCTTTTGCCGCTGAATGAATAGAATTCTGTGCACCAAACCCATTTCGCTATTGAGAATTTCGTTCTTTGAGCAAAAGTTTAAGAGCCAAGTGAATGATTCGGTTGCAGCACGTTCTCCGTAGTCGATGTGATCCAAAAGAATTTCCAGAGATTCCAAAAGGCAAATTGGCACTTTGGCAATAAAATCATCTTTGTAAATAGATTCATCACTGCCATAGTCCGTCATAAACTCATCTAAGACATCCTGTACAATATAAATCGCTTCCTTGTTCCTGTTCCCCTTTATAGATGCCATATCTGAGAGATAAACCTTGGGATTTAAGTTCTTTTAATTAGATTATTTCATTATTTGTTTGCTTACCAAATGTCTTGACGAAATCTTGGAACTTTTTGGGATAGATTTCGTGGGCTGTTCGTAGGCATTCAGAAAAACACTGAGTGGATAAGGCTGCGCTCTGCATATCGAAGTCTTTCCAAAACTCGGGCAAGCGGTTAATGCAGCGCTCATAAATAATCTTGGTAATGTCTGTCAACTGTTTAAAAGTCCGTTTACTATAAGCTAGTTGCTTATAATCAGGCTCTTGGCGTATAGTTTCCACCCTTTTGGATGTTACCGATAAAACATAACGAACAAGAGGCTCGTTCGACCGCAAGAGACCTGTCTTTTGAGAAGCAGCAAAGGCAACAACGTCACTGAAAAATATTAAAATAAGATTTTAAACGGAGCAAAGATAAAAACCACAGGGAACCCACTCGAGCAGTAAATGCAGCAGCTTGTCTAGTATGGCCAAATCCCAAATGTTTTCAGGTTGTGAACACATAGTTTTTACAGGGACACCATTCATAGTTAGATTGCACGCTGATGTACTATTATTCTTGGCCGTTTGCTTAAATTGTTTATGGGCTTTCTTAGAAGCGTCAGCCAATGACTTAAGACTCTCCAAAAGTTTGCAATGCTGGTTGAATAGCGGCAAAATTTGAGAAACAGCATCGTTTTGTGGCTTCGAGCTTAGTAGCAAGTGGCTAATTATTCCTTCAATAATATTTAGCTGTTGCAATACAAGAGCACATTTTATATGTGTGGCTGGGGGAGACTAGAGCGATTTAAATTATTATTTTTTCTTCTTCAGTTTTGGAATTTACTTACGATGTCTTCCAATGGCAATCTGTTGGCCACCATACGGTCCACACAAAAACTCAAGAGCCGATTCATCTCCCGAGTGTCGTAGCCTGATGGAGCTCGTTCAAAGATTGACAAACAGTTGGCAACGAATTGGATCAATCGGCCTAGGTTATCTTTTAGCTGAATCTCCATATGTTGGTCATCGCTAGAGCTAACCAACTGATCGTAGCGGATGCGAAAAACTGTGTCCAGATCGTCCCCGGCTTCTTCTGCAGAGGGGGTCTCAAAAAAACTGCGAAAGTGCCAGTCTATGACTTGCAGCACATGAGGCACAAGTTTAGCATTAAGCTCTACGGCTCTCTGAAGATCTGTATTAAATACATTTTAAAACTAGTAATCCTGAATTTCCAAATGAATTTGTTTTGGTTCAACGTACTCTCATAAAGGGTGCAACGTATCTCAAACTGCTGCTGCAAGCAATTTCGTAACATTCCAATAATTTCGAGGGTGAGCATGTCAAAATTACGTTGAGGATTGCTGCGACTTCCCAGGGTGTTCTGTGTCATTATTGAATATCCAGAAATGCTGTGCTGGGTGCAGAAGCTGGTGGCACTTGAGGACTGCCGCACAGCGTTACTATTGTTAAGCTGTTTAAGAATCATACAGAACCCATAAATGGCCATTCTTCGTTTTTGGATTCCACTAGAAGACATTGGCGAAATAGTAGATTAGATTGTTATTGAAAAATAAATAGTGAGACCCACCTAGAGCTCATTGCCTTGCAAAGCACATCAATCAGTGCATCGCGAACGCGATTGGAAATCTTCAATAAGGGTAGAATAAAGTTCATCATACTCATGGATTGCTCACCAGACAGCTAAATTATATAAAAAATGTGTAACATGACAGTAGAATATTCAATAAAACTTGCCCATTGCATGTGATCCATAACAGTTTGAATGGTCTTAATGCATTCGGAGACGGTGTATGTATCAGCAACACTCAAAAGAGTAAGACATTCTAAAAAAACTAATCTTAGTTTAACAACTTTTTTTAATTAAATACTTTTCTTACCTGAGAATTGATTCTGATCCTGGTATACAATCATCCACTCGGATATTAGTTTTATAATGCCCTGGCCGAATATGAAACGTTTACGTATAAACTTGGTTAGGAACGTTATGGCTAATGTATGCATCTTGGGAGTTTGGGATTTCAGCAGGTAAAATACCAAGTGAACAAGTCCAGGAGTTATCACATCCTTGCCGTCTTTGTTCTGATCTATAAGCACAGCGAACACCTGTTGCAAATCAACTTGTTTCCGCTGTAAAGTATCGCGATACCATACGGAGTAGTCCGCCAATGTTCGCTCTTCTTCATTGTTTTTAATCACATTACGCAAAAAAGGCAGCAAAATGGAATGAGAGATTCTTGCAGACTCTGGGTCTCGGTTAATGCTGGTCATGGAAATGATAGCGCTGAGCATAAACGGAGTAAGGATCACATCCGGCATATGCAGAAAGTTCTGAAACACGAGATAGTTCATAGGTTTTCCTTATTTACAAAAAAACTTGCTTACCCTTAGCATTATAGCCAAATGTTTTTCAGTTAGCTTGTACATGGTGCAGTAGTTCAAATGATGCAGAATAGTCTCCTCCGCCTCCCTTAATTCCTTGTCCGAATACGAGTCTAAAGAGCGAAAGACGGAAACAATGCAGATTTAGCGCGATTTATAAGTCCGGTAATGTTCGAGCTAACCAATGCTATCCAAGTTGGTGGAGTTGCTACACATGTCTGAGAAGAGGCGTTTGTAGAAATTGCGATGAAAATACTTATCCAAGGCAAGCAAAGGAATAATCAACTGCGATGCAGTGCTGCACATCGAAAAGAGCTGGAAACACAGGGCGGGCAGTTCCATGGGCGACAGCTCCTGCACTGCGCCAGAGAACTTGTTCAGCACCGTCAAGATTTCTCCACTGCTGAGATTTATGGACCTAAAGAGAAACCACTGGTTAGTTAAAGAAGGTGAGTTAGTTCCTGGTCTGTCACCCACTTAAACATGTCTGCAATTGGAGTGAGGATCGTGGAAGGCCATTGCATGGTGGCTATACTTCTTACAGTGCTATCCCTAAACTCAGTTCCCTCCATGAAGATGCCGTTTAGAAGAAACCGCGGCCTAGACAACATTAGCAAGAGTGCGCTTGGCAGCAAATCCTTCCAGCCCACGCACTTGGGGTCCCCTTGGCGCATCCCGTCCATGCAGTGCTCCACGATCCAGGCCAGCTGGTCGGTGGGAAAGGTGACCAGGTCCTGGGACAGGCGGGTAATTAGATCAAAGGTCTGCTTATAGCTGAGTTCCATGCTGCTCAGATGGTCCATAAAGCTGCGCACGCACTCGAATCGCTTCAACACGGCATCCTCCCTGTCCGGATTGAATCCCAGGAGTAAGTAATTCCAAAAGGTTATCCCTTCGCTTCGCGTCAATGTGGTCTTCAGCGTGGTTTGTAACTACCAAACAATAAATATTATTCATAGTAATTGCGATGCCTTGTAGTTCACGGAGTATTACCTGTTCAATTGGCGTATTTTGAATTAGCAATTCCAGTTCATCTTGACGCCCCTTCTCGCCCAGGTTTCGCATCCAGGTCAAAATTGAGTCTCGTGCCATTTTCGAGTCCTTTTAGTGAAATAAATTATAATTTAAACAAAATCGCGCCAGATTTCACCAACTACCCTAAATTAGAGATGGCAAACTAACGATAAAAATATCAATGGCACCCTGGTTATAGATCAGTGGTACGACAATCGGCTCGTGTTTTAAAGTACTTACTGAACAATTAAAATATTTTAAACAACTAAACTACATTCTAATCTTTTATATATATACATAAAAACGAATTTTTAATTACTAACAGCTTCGGCTGTAAGGCTATATAATTCCTTTTTGTTTTACATTCTTTATATTCAAAAATATAAAGGTCAAGCTGTTGCTCTTCGTCATGTTGTTAAAGAACTTAAATAAGAATCCGTTCCTTTGTTATGAGGTTTAAAAATGATCAAAATAGCTTTATCGTAAATTTTAGCGTACAAAAATTTAAACTTATGGATTTGATTTATGGATTTCCAGGCTTGTCTCCAAGCACATAAAAACTGGAAAAAACAGATTATATTTTTTCCCAAATCAAATTTAGCAATCTTAAGTAACAGAAATGTTTTGAAAATATTAAAAACCAATTGTTTGTTTACAAGCTGACCAAACTCGGTTAAAGAGAAACTTAAGAGCGTTGAAGTCTGGCTGAAAGCTCTACTTGTTTACTTCATGTGGCTCTTAGATGGAAGTACGAATATCCAACCGTTTCCCTTCGCCCTCTTTGGACTACAACCTGCCGTATATAACCAAAAGCTAAGCTGCAGCGCCAACAGTTGCGTGAAGCCAATCGCCAGGTGAACAAGTGAACATAATTAGTAGAAAATACATAAAATGCGCGGACAATTGAAAGCCCTGGGAGTGGGAAGTGTGGGACTGGCAGTGGTGCTCCTACTTCTGGCGGGGAGCTGTGAGACGAAGCCCATGGACCTGTATGACGACGTGAGCGACTTCTTCGACGCCATCTCGCTGGATGATGTGGCCAACACCGGACGCAACACCCATCCGGAGCAGTTCTGCCTGATGCCGGCGCGCAAGGGAGTCTGCCGGGCCCTAATCCCCCGTTGGCGCTACGATCCGGAGCAGAAGAAGTGCGTGGAGTTCAAGTTTGGCGGCTGCGACGGCAACGAGAACAACTTCTCCAGCTACAAGGACTGCATGTCCACCTGTGAGGGCATGTAGGGTCAACCGGAAGCGGATCGGGATCGGCCTTCCACGGCTGATGTGTTGCCAAAGGCGCCTGCTTTTACTTCGAGCTCTGCAACGTAGCGAACCAAAGGCAGCATAAGCATACTCTACTCTAAAAATCACGTACATCACAATCCATGCGATTAACCGTCTTTTCTACCTAATATTTATGTAGTTTCTGTCATTGATCCATTTATTTTGTACTTTTTTGGGTGTCCAACACCCGCCACCCATCTAGAGCTTAAGTTATTGTGATAAAATATTTTTATGGAATAAAGAGTTTTATAGAACACCAAATTTGGAATGGTGGTTTTTTCTGACGTTAAGAAAAGTAAAGCTATAAAGTGTATTTAATAAAAGAAAAGTGTTTGGAGGTACAAGATTGCTTTCTAAGAAGTAAAAAAACGAGATAGTGTAAGTAATAGTCCTTAGAAGCATTTTCTTTATTCAAAAGTAAATATCACAGGGTAATTTTCAAGAAAAATGCCATTCGAGAAACACAGAAAATTTTATTTTTTTTAAAGTGTTTTAATGTATTTTAATTGAGTTTTAAAGAGTTTAAAGACGACCATATTAATTATTGGCGGATTGATCACATTACGTTATTTAATTTTTTAAGAAAATGTTGAATATAAATTTATTTTTTATAAAAAAAAAAGTAAAATACCGATAAATTCTTTTAAAATTCAAAATGATATCCTAAATCCATGCCAATGCAAAAAACATAGATTATAGATTATTCTAGAAGCTTTAAATGATTAGTTTATTTATGTTTTGAATTGCAGTATAAGTAACACCCTTTTTTTAAAAGGTATTACATGTTGATTAATTGTATACATATAAACATGCTTAAAAGAAGGCCTTAAATAATTCAATAATTAATAACAACAAATTTTATTTGCTGTCAATCTCAAAGTTTATTTTCCGTCAAAAAGCGATCATGTTGATGCAAGCCAATGCCAAAAACGTAATTTCTAGATTATTCTGGCAGCTTAAAATGTTTGTTGATAACCAAACTAAGAAATGCTGTGCTAAAGATAGACAACTGGTTTTCTGAATATTTATAATCACAGTTTTAAACTACTGATTGGGTAACCTAAGACAAAAGTCGCGAAAACAATTTTCAACGGCCTCAAAAAGTATGAGAGATTGCTTGGCGCAATTGCCAGAGGCAAATATCAGCCGGGGCAGCTTAACTTTCATAGATTTCACTTGGAAATGGTCCAAAGCGAGCTCGAGCTCTCAATGCAAAACTAGCCCATTCATGCGATCGGTGATGAATCGATCGATCACCATCACCATAAACATAGCAATAGCAAACAAGATCACAAGCAAACAAGATCCCACAAAGGTCAAATACGGACGGATGACTGGACCAAATCACGTCAATGGGTGGCGGTAGTTGGGTGTCTAGGTCTAGGCAAACCACTACGTCAGCGGTAAAAATACGCACGGATACGGTACGGAGTCACTTGCACAGATGGACTGACAAACCGGTGAGAAACCGAATTCGAATCCAAAACCGAATCCGAGCCAAAGTCAAAATAAGTAAACATAAACAATTGAAAGGTGCGAATTTATGCTAAGCCGATTGGCAATAAGCCAGACGAAAAAAAGAAAGAAACAACACGAGATCTAATTTAGCCAGTATGCATACTTGGAATTCGAAGACGAAGTCACCGAAGCGAAACGCCGCCGAGGGCAAATGGCCGACATGAGTTCGGACTAGGGTTTCGATCTGGGCCTGGGCCTGGGCAAATTTCCAAGATTATTGTGCGGGCCTGCACCCGTTCGTATCAACAACAAAATCGTTGGATCAATGACCTGAAGCCACTAGCCAAAACAAAATGCGAAAATGCGGGCCCAGTCGTGGAGTTGCAACATCCCCAACGGCGACGCGACAAATGGACCGGCTGCTGCTCCAGCTCCATCAATGTGTTTGATACCCTTCTGTGGAGAGAGTCTGGACAGTGTCCAATCCAAATCCAAGACATTGGGGAAGTGAAAAAACTTAGAAGACACTTTACACTTTACATATTAATCACTTTTTTAAAGAATCTCCTTTGCTTGGAAACCAATTTTGAAGAAATCAAATATGTATAAAAAATGTTTTAGCTCATAGTTATCTATTAAAGTAAACTAAAACGAACTTGAAAGGTCGATCTTTAAAGTAAAGCATTATCGCAAAAAAGTTTTTCAATGAAGAGTGTTTACTGAGACGGCCTTCCTGCGTTTTTAATAACTCTTTCCCACCCAATTCCAATCGATGTCATAATTAATAAAGTTGGTTTTACTGATTTACAATGAAATTTGCTCAACAATTTACAATTTCAGAGGGGAGAGTGGAGAGCGCCAGATTCAATCAAGTTTGCGCATGCGCAACGCTTTTCGAGTTTTCCTTGCCACTTTTCGATGATTTTCGCAATGGCAACAGGCGGGTTGCGAACTTGGCTACGCTTCTGGCATATTCTCGCCTATTTTGCAATAATGGCAATACAAATGGCTAACAAAATGCAGCTGGAGAAGTCAATAAACCTTTTTAACCTGCATATCCACAGTAGCTTCAGCAACAAAAACAATTGCAACAAAGGCAACCGCAGCCAGCATGAAAAAAATAATAGCTAATGGAAGGCAAAGAAATTTGAAAAATTTTCGCCGTTTGTTGTGGGCTAAAAATAATTAAAATGCAGCACGCCATGAAAAACTCACAATAACAAATTTTCCGCCTTTCAGCGGCAGCAAAACAAATGCAATTTTTATCGCAATTGTTAACTGTGCGTATTTTCCTGTCACTCGAACTTATTTATTTAAGACACGTTCGCAGAGCTGACAAAAGTGCAGCAGCAACACGAGTCGGCCGACCACAGGTCCCAACAACAAACCATCAGCGGATTGAACTCACAATCCCCCAAAACCCGCCCCTTCACCACCTAGCCACCCAAGTCGATGAACCTTAATGCAAGCAGCCAGTAAAAGTCGGTTCTTCGTTTTCTCGCGGTTTATTTTCTGCCGGTGAAGCTGGTGGTGGGAAAAATACATAGTAATAGTAATAAACAAGGCAAGCCCATTATTGTTGTTGCAGCCGCTGATAGTGCAAATATGCATAATGAAGCGCAAACAGTAAAGCTACCATGCGTAATGGAAATGATAAACTGAAAACAGGGAGCGCAACTTTTATGTTGTTTGCGCGGCGTATACGTAATAATGCTTTTACCTAGGAGGAAATCATTTCAATAAGCTTCCTTTTTTCCCATACAAAGGATCTTACGAGATAAAATTAAATTATACAATTGCATTACAAACCAAGAAAAACCGATCACTCTTGTTAACAATTTACACAATGAAGAAAGTAAACTGATAAACGCCCCACAAAATATTAAGATCACACTTTAAATACCATTAACTCAACTTGCCATTGAGCTGAGGCATGCCACGCATGATACTTTCCCTTATCTAACTTAAAAGTTCTATTTACTACTTATGCGCAATGTTCAGACTTTTAAGAACAAATGAATGGTTGCTTCTAGTACACAAGGTCGTATCAGAAAATTTAAATTAAAAAAACCTACATTCCGCTGACGAATTTTAAACTTACTCTTATCACTTATTTGTTTTGATAAAACCCAAAAGTCATAATACAAAGTTGGGCCTTCCACAGATAATAAAAAAAAGTGACACAATTAAGATGTTAAATACTTATCTTATCCAAAAAAAAGAAAGTCTGACAGGCTAGAAGAAAACACAAAATTATGAACTTGAGTTAATATATAATTTATCGACTTTTTCAATTGCTAAATACAATAATATATAATTATCATAGACTTAAATACACAATGTAAATATATTTTTGCATATATATTCCGCTTTTTTAATATGTATATATACTTTTTATTGGATTTGCTTCTTCCCGTTGATAAGAACTATCCGACGATAGGCGTATGGAGCTTAACTTTCCTTCAAATATGCTCTCTGTTGTTAGCGTAGCAAAATATGATCTTGTTTCAGGGATTATGCTATGTTTTAACTTGAACAATTACCGACTGATTTGCGTGTAAACATACACAATAGTATTAGCGTAACTAGATCTAAGTATTATTGTTAGTTCTCTTGTTTAGCTTTGTTTCAATTTATCGTCAACGTTCGAGATGCGTATGCCTCTTATTTAGCGCAACATTTCGCTTGCTTTGTTTTCATTTTTTATATAACATTTCTGCATTTTGGCTTGAATCAGAGGATGGGGCGTAATAAATGGCTTAAACGGTAGCATAAAGATCGGATAACCCGGCACAGAACACAAACGGAGTAGCATCGAAAAATGGTGGAAAACAAAGCGGAACCGAGTGTGTGCGCGTGTGAGGAAGGGAGCGAGTAGTAAATATTAGCAGGCAATGTCCGTGGTAACGCTCTTGATGCTCTCGGAGCTGAAGTGCACGCAACCGTACTTGCAGACCAGCGTCCACACATATGGAATGAAGAACTCCTCGGGAGCATCCTCCTCGACGTACTTAAACTTAAGATCCGGGAACTTCTGCAGGGGAGAGAAGAAATAATTAAGAAAAACAATTCATCACGTGAAGAGAGGAAACTTACTCTTAGCCGATCGCTGGACCATTGACTAGCGCCCTTAGATATAACCTCAAGCACCTCGTTGACGCCCAGCTCACCTCTCTGCTCCTGCACGCGCTGCAGACGTGAAGAAAAGAAACCAACAACCTAGCGAAAAAAAAAAGATAATAGATTAACAAAGTCATACAAAAACACTATCGAATCCCCAAAACTGACCATGTCAATATTCTGGATGACATCTTGGAAGGCGTGGTGACTGCGGAAGCCCTCAAAGACGCTGCGCTTGTACAGAAGTGTGTAAACCAAGTTGGGACAGTAAACCAGTTGGTTTGTGAGGCAGGAGTTAAGGATTTCCAGTACCATACGCAAAACCTCTTCCAACACGCTCAAATCCTGCAGCATGTCCTCCGGCGTCGTCGCCACGTTGACAAACACCGCACTGTCTGCCGGCTCCTTGAGTTGCGCATCCAGGCGCGTGTGTTTTCGGGCCAGCGTTTCGAACAGCGAGACCAGTCGCTGTGCCACGTAAGGATGCAGGGCGCGGAAGTGGCCGGACATGTTGGCCAGTGCCGCCAGGCAATTGGTGTGCAAGTACTTGTCGCGCATCTTCAGCATGTTGTACTGTATGGTGCGGATGACGATCAGGATGAGTATGCCCCCAAGGGATATCTCCGATATGGTGCGCTCCGTATACCAGGTGATGTTCTTCAGCATCTGTGAAAAGCGAGAACTATTTAGTTGGGTAAATATTAAATAGGCAGTGGACTTACGATGGTGTGCACATTTTTGTTAAATCCTTCATCCTCACTCAATATCAGCAGGACGATCAGCGACATGTAGATGTGGTGTGAGTTGCTATCAGGCGCATTGTACAATGTCTGTAAGATGGGTATCACCAGCTGCTCCAGATCCTGTTGCTGCATGACAAACCGGTAGAAGCGCTCGTTGCGATGGAGCAGTAGGTAGAGCAGCAGCGTGGCCTGGTCAATGGTGACGATTAAGCACAACGTCTCGTACACCGCCGAGAAGTCGATCTGAAAAGAGACAGCACCCTGTTTTGGCGAATCCTTGGAATCGGCGCAGCCAAATAGGCTGGTCCGGTACGCGTTCTCCTGCGCCGTGCAGTGGTTTGTCAGGATCAGGATAAGCAAAAGACTCTGGTTGGCCAGCGGATAGTGTGTGCGGAATCGCTGCGAGAGCTCACTGCCGCCTGCGCCTTGACCTGACTTAAGCACGTCTGGCTGCTTTCGGAACGAGAAGATGGACAGCAGGGACTCGGCGATACCAAAAACGAAGGATCCTGCCGAGCTGGAGCCGAACATTGTGTGCGGCACCTCCACCATCCGCGCCACAAAGTGCAGAAGCGCCGACATCAGCACATTGGCGTGTTGGCACTTAAAAACCGTGCGAAACACAATCGACTTGTCCGTGGGCTGCTGGGAAAACAGGTGCACCGACAACAGGGTAATCAGCATGTTGACCGCTTCCAAGTGCAGGTGGTAGGTAAACTCCTTGACGGGGATTACTACAATCAGGTTGACCAGGGCATCGATAAAGGTCTCGAACTTGGATCCGTCTACAATCACCGGCAACGCCGACGCCGCCGAATGTTCAGTGGCCTCCATGGCAATCGTGGCGCTCTCGGCCAACGTCTCCTGCTGCTGTTCCAAGGCCGCCTGGAGCAACTCGGCGCTGGGCATGGCCTCGAAGTGCTGCAGCAGCTGAAACTCGGAGCCCGTCTCATTTATGTACTTGACCAGGCTACGGATGATGAAGAGTGCGTTGAAGGTTTGCCAAACGTGCATGTTGCTCTCCTGGTCGGATAGCGATAGCAGTTCGCTAGTCTTCTCTAGAAACACGGTCACCAGGGAGCCGAAGTTGCCCGTCTTTAGGTTGTTCCCGATGAAGGACTGGCACAGCGACTCCAGCCGGCTGTCCAGGTTCAGCTGATCCTGGCTGAAAGACGCAAACCACAATTCCGGATTAGCCCTGCTGACGTTGCCTCACCACTCCGCCACTCACCTGTTTTCCGGTAACACAATGTTGTAGTTGAGCAGCCCGCTCCAGAAGGCCTCGTCATCGTGGGCGATGTGCTGGCGGCCCACGAAGCGCTGGAGCCACTGGTTGGACCCCAGGTCGGCCGTCCTGCTGACGTTGATGCCCATTCCGCAGTCCAAAAGAGTGCTGTTGGCCGGCCAATGATTATATTGGTGGCACGTCACTTGATCATTGAGCGGGGGGTGATGAATTTCCAGGGGCTGGTGTGACCCTCTCGCGGAGCTGCATAAATCCACATCTACTTGGTAAGACCTTGCTGCCCATCTCAGTTATCGACTATCGGCGCTAAATTCGAATTCTACATGAAAAACAAATGTTCCTAATAAGTTCTAAGCTAGCAGTAGAAATAGATGGTCAGTTTTAGAAGGCACAGAACTAATCCTTTAACTTTTTCTGTATAAGTTTCTGAAACAATACATATAAATTGTTTAGAAAGGTTAGACTTGTGTTATATATGTTGACGTCAGTTTATCCCACTTTATCTAAATTACTTTTGTGACTTGATTTTTTCATTACTGAGTTCAAACTAAAATTTGAATTAAAAAAAAAACAAAATTTGCATTCATAAATATGTTTAAATATTCCCACCCTAAGAATTCCATTCCAACATGTTTTTATGAGTAGTTAGGTTTATTTTGCCCTTGGTTAGAATCTGACGAACAGATATAGGAAAATAGCATAGATTAAATATTTAATAGTTCCATGTGAGGGCTTGCTTGCTTATATTTGCATATTTTAAATGGCAAACATAAATAAGAAATCATAAGTTTCCAATTGAATATAATGCATTTATTTGAATAAGAAACTATAACTAGTTTATTTCTTGGATACTGACGCTGCCTGCTCGGCGATCTGCTATCCAACGATGTCATTATGGTTTATATCCCTTCTTACTTAGTCGTTTCTCTGGTTTCCAACTTGTAAATAAATATACGTATGATAGACTTGTTTACACATAAAATATATAAAACTAAAAGGACAACAAAACGGTCTAGGATAATTTTGGGATTTCCGTTAATTTAGCGAATCTCTATCTTCATCGTTCAGTTTGTTTGCTGATTGGCTACACTCGTACTCGATTTATCACAAATTTATTCCTTTTAGTTGGCGCTGCATGGTGTGCATGTGTAAACAAGAAAATATATCTATATATGCGCATGGAACTCTATCGTCCTCCGTTCCACTTAACGAGAATATTACAAAACAAGCCTCCATGTCCGAGTTCCGGTTGTGTCTGTGGTGAGTGGATGACTTAACTTAGGCAAATATACACGATGATGGTTGATGAACTAATCAAATGTGTGACCTCAGGACATGGCGCTTTGGCTCCTCATCGCTCCTTCTGCCGCTGGTGTTTTGGCATCGCTTCAATCTTAGTTTTACTTCTTGGCTAAATCCACATCCTAGAGCTTGCGCAGGGCCTGGTGCTTCTGCTTCTTGGCCAGTAGCTGTTTCAGGCTGAACGAGGAGAGCGCAATTCCAAAGAGCGCCAGCATGGTGGCCGAGCGGGTCACCACACGGTTGGGCGACGACGAGCTGGTGGTATAGCCATGGCTGCAGTGCGTCGTGGCCTGTGCGGACAACGGCGGCGCCTGCGGGAGATAAGATAGGAGAACCGATTTAGATGTCGTGTATTTATAGCTAGCCAAACAAACAATAAACTTGGCCCACTGCCCGACGGCCCCCGCCCACACAGGAAAACTGCGCAGCAGAAACATTTTTCGCCGGCCGTTGGCAACCTGGTTCGAGTGCTCCGGCCACACGAATGCGATTACCCTACACGTTCCCACGTTCATTGAACTGATTATAAAGGTTTGATGTAATGCCTGATTAGTTAGTCCGCCTCCTGCTGACAATTTTCTCGTGATAGGGCCCGAATGACGTCCATCTGCCTTATCGGTTGCATCCAGCTCTACAGCTAATCCTGGCTTAAAACAGCTCTTCGCATGACGCACTTGGCGCGACCTCCGTTCCAAAGTTCACCTCTACTGATAAGATGGCCTCTTCGGCAGCGCTATCTTTTCGGGCCACTTGAACATGCTACGGACGCGTGCCGCTCATTAATAATCCGCAACTTGCGTTGCCAAAAAAAAACAAAGCGGAATTGTTTATAAATAAACGAACTTGAATTCTCGTCCGGTGATTGCGTGCATAATTTCATATGCAAATTTATTTCTAATACTTGAATAAGGAAAAATGGAGCTGATCATGGAGGTGGTGCCGAGCGTTTCGCATCCGCAGTGGTTTCCAACTGCTCTATCAAGTTCCTTAACTCCTGGGTGCGAATGCCTCTGCCTGGGGTTTCTCTGGTTAGGCGTCTGGGTCGTCTTCCTCCTGCACGAGCAGTGTGTTTTGCCTCTGCGGAATGGCGCTTGATGGCGTCCAGGAAGGGAATGGCCGGATTCAGCTCGGGAATACTGATAATGATATTGACAGCAGGCGATGTTTGAAGCTGCGTTTGTGGCTGTGTTGATGCTTTCTTCGGTGGAGTACTGAATGGATCACCCTTGGGTTTTATTCTTGGGGAACTGTTTAGAGATGCGGGTAGCAAGGGTATTTCCAGTTTTCTCTGGAAAGTGGACCCCGTAAAAATCTTGAGAGGAGCCACTTCTTGCTTAGTTTGGGAGCTGCAAGTATTAAGTGGAACAACATCCTGCTTAACTTGGGAGCTGGGAGTCTTAAGAGGAGCCACTTCCACCTTTACTTTGTAACTTTGTGGAATTTTAGACTTTGGCGGAGACCTTAACTTGGCTGGCAGGAGAGTTATTTCCTGCTTTGCTATCACAGCTTTTGGTGGTTCTTTAAGTCCGGTAATATTTTCCTCCAGGAAGCTTAAGTCCGGAAGCTCCAGTTCTGGACAAGACTTTTCTTCTGTATGGTTTAGAGAGAAGAGATCTGCCATTGAGCTGAGATTCATATTTGATTCAGTAAAAGATTCAACTGAGTTCGTGTCTGTGCTAGGAGTCAGTTGTTGCAGCAATTGTAGTATGAACTCGTCGTCATCATCTGAAGGAGGATTAGCCAATGAAATAGCTCCAGAGGGAGGAGGTAGCGTAGGGCCCGGAGTTTCTACAACACGAATAGCTGACAATGGATCACTAAAGGGAACTCCTGCCTCCAAGTCTAGCTCTTCATCCGAGGAGACCTCGTCGTTGTGTGGCCACAGACAACTCCGCGACTCGCACTTTAGCAGCTGCTCCTCAAGATTTATGTTGAAGAAGCGCAGCTTGTGATTCCTGCCCAATCCTAGGCACTCCAGGCATGCGTCTCCCGGCTGCAGTTGCTCCATTGTGTATGGCGATTGTGGGGTGATGTGGGTTCGCCTGGCCGGAAAACTCAATGTCTGCCCCCGAAATGGGTATGCTGCTCCCTGCTTTTGTGGTTTAATGTGCGAGAGCTCACCTGACCGAAGGTTAAACGGAAAGCGTACAGGCCGAGATTGGTTGTTTTCATGGTCCGTTCCAGTTCCAAATCCAGCAATTCGGGACCTGAAATCAGCGACACGGTATCCGGTTATTCGAGCTTACATAACCCGAATTGATTTTTCCCCGAGTTTCTGTTTCTCAGCTCATTGTTTGCGAGCGACAGCAAAAAAAGGTGTTTCTTATCACTTACGATTCGGGTGGCGAGTGAAAATTGAGTTCGGCGCTCTCTAATTATCCGCGGGCGTTGCAGCCGATTAAACCAGCAGCGTTGCTACAATTTGGCGAGCAAATAAAAATCAAGAAAATAAAACGATCTAGAACGCATGTGAGCAGCAGAGCGAGAGCGAAAGGGATGGGTGATTAGAGCTGGATTCATAAGTGATATCGATAATATCGATAATACGCGATAATTCGATAATATTCGAATATGTTTTTCTGTCAGCTGTTTGAAAATAAAATTGTATTTCAATCGATATATAGAGTACTGAAATTATTTCAGCATTATATTTTGCCTTTGAATCAGTCTAGTTACATTATTTCAGCATTAGTTTTATAAAAGATATTTATTTTGATTTGCAAGCTTTAATAGGCAAAGTGCCAAGGCACTTGACAAGGTTTTATAATGTCTAGTAGCTATATTGTATTGAAAGACCAGCGTTTCGAAAAATAAAATTTTGTATATGCTACGGAAATTTAATAAATTTAATCTTTATAAAATAGCAATTTAGCTATCATCCCTAATACCTTTTAATTAGTAAACCTTTGAAACATGCACTCTTCCATTATTATTTGTCATAAACTTTATTTTTACTTTTACTTTTAACCATTTGCCCAGGTGAAATACTTTATAAGCAATTGCAAAAAAAAATAACTAACATTAGATATCATAAAGTACAAAACATTGGACTAGAATTCTGTGAAATATTCGATTTATTTCAACATTATGTAAACTTCGTTGTTTCGATTTTTTTTTTGCCTGTTGAGTCTTTTTTTTTGCATTAGCACTATCAAATAACTTAACAGTTGTAGTGAAAGAACGAAAATATACATGTGCAGCAGTTTGACCAACTCAAAATAAATTAAAATCTACCGCCTGTCTGCCAGAGTTGCCACATAAACAGAAAGCAATTTTTTTATAAAATTCAGTCTCAATTTTTTTTTTTTGTAATTCTTTTTTTATTTCAGGCTCAGCAAGCTGCGACAAAGCTTTCCCTAAATAAAATAAAAAAGCAATCATTTCGTTTCAAATAGTTACTGTCAGCTGTTTCGTTCTCAAAAAAAAAGCGCGGCTTACCAACACTAACTTTTCAGTCGGTGCACAGAATTTTATTTCATAATTTGCGGAACGGCCTAAATTAAATATCACGAAATGGAGCTTTCTGAAGGAGTCAAGGAGCGTCTGGGTGTTGTTGTGGACGCCGTACAGACTGGATTCCATTGGGGTTTTGTTCCCCTTGTCCTGTATTTGGGTGAGTTTGTGTCATGTTTTTTGCTCTTCCACACGCGGCTGGGAAGAAGAAGCAGTCGGTGAATAGTAATAAACAGACATTGATTTTGGCTAAAATTTATTTTCCAGGATTTATGAAGGGAGCCGAGCCCGGCATGCCGCCGTTGAACGTTTTCAGCTTGTTGTGGCAATAAAAAATAACCAACCGATCGAAACGTGACCACTTTCCCGTCGCGTGCCCCGCATTTTGGTTCTGATTGGATTTCTGGGCACAGTACCTGCAGTTATTGGAAATAAATTTCTGTTACAAAAAATCCCAATCGTGCCATGTATTCTTAAAAAAACGATCCATATAAAAACCATTCTTATCGTAAAAGCTTGTCGTATTTTGAGTACAGCCCGCTAGTGAGTTTTTCCGCACTAGCGCGGCTTATATTTAGTTTGTTTTAACGGATTTAAGAAGTGTTTGTTTTGCTTCGCATGTTTTTACAGTGTTATTTTTAAAAAGGAAAACAAACTTTGATTTTTCGACCCAAATATTTTCGGAAAACCTTCAACGATAGTTGTCGTTAATGCCCAACATTTCAATAAATATAGTGTCATCACTAGACCTGCCGACATCGAATCAAATGAAAATAATCGATAGCTAAAAGAAATCATCGACATTGACAAATTTCTCGAGATATCGATATTATCCAATGAACACCAATTTTAGTTCCAGCTCTAATTCACACACACAGCAGCGCGGTTTTTTCGCTGAACAAAATTGTATTTTTAACGCAAAATAGCAGAAATTAATAATAACAAACGGTTGGACTAGACATCTAAAACTGCCGGCCATCTCGCGGAATTCAAAGTGTTCCAATTCCTACGCGTCGCTGCCCGAAATCACGTGATGAAAATCCGCCTGAAAAGTCGCCCTCCTCCGTGAAATGTGAAGAAGTTTTTTCAACCAAATTGGGCGGAGTGTGGAGTTCGAGTTTGGTCGTGCGAATTTTGCTATTTGTTCAGAAAACGATATATATATATCCCCGGCAATGCCCCCGCAAAATGTGAACCTTCGCTGGTGCGGGTCCTACGCAATAAATGCGCAATTCGGGGCCAATTAGTGGCTGTCTGCGGTGTCCTTTGGCCGCGCCTCCCGCTCCTGCGGCTCTTTCCACAAAAACAAAAACAACCTCATTCGCAGGCCATAGACTTTGAACTTGCGACGCGCGTGTGCGTGCGATCGTGGAAAACAAAAGAAAAGCCCCCTGCCAGCAAACAATAACAATAGCTCCAGTCGCACACTATCGATGCGAATACAAAATATGTTATCTGCGCCCCGGCTAATCTTCCTGGGCGCTCTGCTCGGCGCCTCCGTTTGCGGTGAGTTTCCAGGGGCTCGGTTAACTCAAACCAGGTGCGAAACTAACCTAAAATCTTCCCCCCTCTCCGTACAGCCTCCCCCATTGAATTCGTGTTGAACACCAGTCCGAATGGCTCGCGATCTGATCCTGCATTCCATGCCGGTAAAAGGCCACCGACGACCAGGGCTCCGTCAAGTGGAACAGGTGGCCAGGCTTATCAATCGCCATCATCGTCTCTGGCCGCTGATAACAGGAGCCACAACAACAACAACAACAGCGCCGTGGCCATGCTTCTGCCGCAAGACGGCAACGGATCCGCAGCAGTCGCCACGGCCGCTGCCCCCCAGCTGCAGGTCTTCGTTGATCAGCCCAGCACCAAGAAGCCAGAAAGTAAGTCCCAGGCCGCTTAAGAAATATAGAGAACACACTGAGGGATTTGGTTCGAGTGGCAAAGAAATGCGAGCTAATGAGACAAAGTATATAAAATACAGTCGCTAAACTCCACTATCGCAGATTAGTTTGAGTTATAGAAATTTTAAAATTAAATTAATTAGTTCAGTTTGTGGAAGTATGACTGCAATAAAAAAGAGATACTCTCTTCCCGTTTCACTTTTTAATATTCATTTGAATTCCATTTGAACTACTGTTAATATTACTGCAAATTGAATTTTTTTAATTTTCTTACAGGAAAATTGCCAACTATTTTTCAACATTTCTATAAACTTTAAGTTAATATAATTGTACCTTTTGCTAGCCGAATCAACTTTTCTGAAGGTGAAATACGGATCAGGATTTATGCCATCTATAATTGTGTTGGACTTTTATTTTGCTAAAATCATAATTGTTGCAACTGAAATATTAAAATTTCCATTAGCCCCTAGTTCGTCCAGAAATATTTTATATTTATTTCGGCGTTAATGTTTTTTAGTTTCTCACTTTTGAAGAAATTCTTATTAGAAAAGAAATAAATATTACAGAATTTAAAACGGATCACTAATCACTACTGATTATTTCTGCAATAGGTATTCATAGGTATAGATCTAGGCATTGGAAAAGTATTGCTTTAAAACCAACATTTAAAATTATTTTCAAATGTAGTAGAATAGGTTTTTTTTTGGATAGCTTTGTGATCTTTTCTCCAAGTGTTTATCGCGTGACTGTAACACCTCAAAGACTCTGAATGATTCTAAAAGGCCTCTTCGTCTGCGTCTCCGCCTGAGGCTCCGAATCCGTCTCATCTCGTGACGTCAGCGCGGCGTGGTGTCAATGAGCTGAGCCAGACAGCTCTCATGGCCCACTCCAACGCTGCCTGGCTGCAGACACCCCCACGTCTGGATGCATTTGCTCGTTGCACTCAGGCACTTGCAACTGCAGTCGGCTCAAAAAAAAAACCCAGGCCTAAGCACTGGATTCTCGCAGTGGGGGGAAGGAAAACTGGTCGTATTGTCTGGCCCTCCACTTTGCACTTGTCTTCTCCGCGTCTGCTTTGTTAATGCTAAATGGTTTTGTTTTTGTTTCATCACGCTTTCGGCGGTGTCGGTGAATGTGGATGTCTGTCTGGGCGAGCGTGTGCCCGGCCAGGTGCCCCGGGGGCATGGTTATGGCGAATCCAAACTGGTGGTCAGCGCCGAAGGAGATGCCAAACAGCGAGCGGTTGATTTATGGATCTCTTCGTTCTCTAATTAGTTAATTTCTGCCAGCACCTAATTAATTAATTTGCTTCAATCAAAGTCTGGGCGTTTTGGGAATCGAACTTCAAGATGAGCTTTGGCTTTGTTAAAGTAATAAACACTCTTAAAATTATATATATCGACCATATTTGTAAATGTGTTCATTAAACAATTTATTCTCTTAAATTCTTTGCAATGAGAGTTAGAGATAAAGATACTGATCTTTAAGAAATGTTGGATAGGTTGAAGGTGATTGGTTTCTACTGAACATTTATGAAAAATAGTATCCATAGTGTTATTTTTTATTAATTTAATTTTCCTGGAATGACTTGAAATCCAAAACTTTCATAAAAGCTTTGTTTTATGTGCTTAATAAATAAACCTTATACTTAAAACAATGGATAGAAATGAAATTTAGCTTTCGTAGCCTTTGTTTTTACTTATATTTTCTGACGTGCCAATAAATGTTGGATTAAAATCAGTATGTCAGTTTGTGCTTATACATATTTTCAAATTTTAGCAAAAAGTTTTATCTGGTATTGCAATTTTTCTTTAAATTTAAAGTTATACATATATTAAAAATGATCTAATAGTGTTTTGTTACTTTTTCTCTTTCAGAAAAGATCAAGTGCCACTGCGACACCTGCAAGGAAGCGAACAACATATGCGAGACGGATGGCTATTGCTTCACTTCCGTAGAGAAGAACGCCGATGGCAGCATCATCTTCAGCTACAGGTGAGTCCCTTGCGCCTGGGGAACAGGCCGTGGAGTAGGTTAGCACTTGCCTCTCAGAGAACAGCCAGTGGATATTTTTATTTGAACTGTGTGATCTGCGGTGCAGATGCCTGCACATGTCGCAGAGTTTTCCGCCTGGCCGCTTTATCTGGTGCAACGACGGATTGCACGGCGGACCCACGGCCCGCCCAGTGGGCCGGAGAGGCGCCCACGCCTGCTGCGACAACAGCGACTTCTGCAATCTTTACTTGCGGCCCAAGACGAGGGACCAGCCGTTTTATCCTTTGGAGGGTCAACGGGGGTCATCGGTCGCCGTCGAAGGTGTGTGCGCTTCTGCACGTGCTTAGCTCCTAATCCCTTTCCTTTCTGACTGCTCCCTCTTTTTCTGTTCACTCGCACGCCGTTCAACAAGTTGCCCCGTTTTGATCGTTCTTTGGACTGTTTTCCCACACTTATGCTCGTTAAGTTGAAGTTTTTTGAATGGATCATAACCCGAAATGCAGAGCACTACTAATGACGACCTTCTGAAAACCAGTGCGGCGTTTTATACATTGTTTTAAATATAATTATAATACTTTTATTGCTACTAACCAGACTGAAACTTCAATTAGCAACAAGCCGAAGGCAGCAACAACTACAGCAGAAGCAGCAGGAAATCAACAACCAATGCCAAGCAATACTAATTTCGTTTAATTGTTATATTTTCTCTATCACCCAATCTTCACTCCCTTCGGCCTTCACTCGAAAATATCGAATAAATACCCGATCGTTTACATAATTGTGTACCGTGCTGTACGGGGACGTAGGTGCATGGATGTGAAATACAATATGCAGCGAAGTGAACCCCTCGAATGCCTCACTAGTAAAGAAAAGTATTATACATATAGGATTCAGTGCTGTAAGACTGATTTCTGCAATAAGAATGAGCTTATGAAGAGGCTATTTGAAACAGGTACAGCCACATTCAAGTAACAAAAACCACACAACCAAAAACAAATACAATTTCTCTCTTTAGTTTGCACTCTTTCTCTAATTCACTCTGCCTAATTAAGCACTGCATCAATATAATTAAATTAATAACAATACAATAATCTGTAATAAACTTTTTAGTTTAGTTTAGTTTGTTACTCCGTCAGGTGTGCACAACGCCAAAGGTTTTTTCTGTTTCATTTTTTATTTACTTGAACTATTTTCCCTTTTTTTCGCTTTTCGGGCTCCCTTTCTATTTTTTCTTTACTTTTCACTTTTTTTTCTCTATTTGCTTTTCCTTGTGGCACAACACACACTATAAATCTTACACGGAATCCAGCTTACACCTTATCCTAATAAATTACTCGTAACTTTATGCATGCCAAAGTATCTCTTCAAATTCGAATCGTGTTTGTAGCTTGTAGATATCTGACTTTTTACAAAAGCGGCGAATTCCTTGTGTCCATATTCTTTTTTTTACCCTTGGGGAATCTGCTGTTTTTAAGGACTTTTTTGTACTTTCTATCCGGACTATCGAAGTGTCTCTTGGATTTGTTCTGCATTGGAATCTTGATGAATCTGAGTCTCAATTAAACCAATTATGATAACTCCTTGGATGTTTTTCTATTTTCTGTGGCCTTTTGTTTTGGAA